TCCGGCTATATCGCTCGGCTGGCAGTTCACTTGACAGCGCGTACCGACAGCCTCCCGAGGCGCAGGCCGCAGGGCCCGAGGGCGTGTTCCGACCTTCAACTGTCGAGGCGGGCGACCCACTCTCCTCGACCTCCTTCTCGGTCGCTGTCATGTCAGCGCTGTGGGCCCCTCAGCAGAGAGCGGTCCACGACTGGATCAGGGGCGCTAATTTCCAGAGATGCTTTCCACTCTGAAAGTCATGTAGTACAGATTCTCCATACAAGGAAAATTCTCTATTTTACGAGGTGCAGTTGACTTCGTGCCATACCTTTGAGAATTCACCAAATTTTGTAGCTACGAGAAACTCTTCACTTTAATATGTTAGTGCTAGGGATGTGCGAATCAGTGGGATTTTCGTTCGAATCGAATCTTAAATTATTTTTCGATTCGAATTCGAATCGAATCAGAAAAGAGTCACCGAATTGAATCGAAGTAAACGATCCGATACCAATACCCGCCAACGCGGGTCTTCTGGCCCACTGCAACGCGGAGGGCCGACTCGAGCAACTCGCCCAAGTCGGCTCCCTTGGCGTCGTCTTGGCTCGACTTGGCCAACTTGGCGGCAGTATTCCTTCGGTATTCCCGGTGGACAGGCCGGGTGGCTCCTCTCCGGAACTGTTTTCCCTCTGCCCCGAGGACCGTCTCCAGAGCCGCCAGGAAGCCGCCGGACCCCGGCATGGCGTGATGGATGTCCCCGGAGGACCCCGAGCAGGGCCTGGAGCAGGGCCTGGAGCAGGGCCTGGAGCAGAGCCTCGAGCAGCGAGTGAGCGGCACAAGATCCTGAGAGGTGACCAGCGCATGCACTCCGGGGCGGTGTCCGTACGCAGCCCCTCCGCCACCGCCTCCGCGAGCACCTTGCCCGCGGCTATTGCTGGGCCTCCACCGCAAGATCGTCCTCGGAAGGGTCATTTGCACGCCCTTCCCCTCCGCCATCAAGACCCCCGCCCCGGACCGCGCCCCAGGGCCTTCACAGGGCCGCGTGGACCACTGCGTCGCGGTGGAGGCTCGCCGCTTTTCGAGCGCTAGGAGGACGTTCAGGTCCTGATCGAGGACTCCATGCGACAGGTACGGCCCGCCGCACCTGGACACTGCACTGTTAGGCCTCGGCCCCGCTAGTTCGTCCTCGGCTCAAGTCGCCCCACGCCCATCTCGACCCCAACCATTTGGTCCTCGGGTTAAATCATCTCCAATCAAAGACGTTCTTTTAAATATTGTTATTTACTTCTACTTTTTTGAAGGGCTGACTCATGGACACGTTACTTTAGTTTGATCGGGCCGATTGTGACCGATGGACTCATCACACAAGAAACTTGCATTTTGCGGGCGAAACAATCTAATCAAAATTTCGGATTTTCTTGTAGGCCACCTGGCAGAAACTCGTTTAGCGTAGTCCCTAAATGTTTGTCAAGGCTCCCTATGGAATCCTCGTTCGGAGAGCAATCCATTAGTGGGGTCACACGTTCGGTTCGAGTCCCATTGGGCGACTCTGGAGGTCAGAACGCGTCCGAGATTTTGGCCGCCCCCTCCGGCCTTCTGGCAAATCCACTGTGCGAGGCGCCGTCAAGTACCCGACAATGACAACGAGGAGGGGGTCGGCGTTGTTCCCCGGCGCCATCCCCTGGGCGCTGCGCGCTGCGCGCTGCCGGCGCTGCTCACTGGCATCGAGACTGGACTTACCCCGCGCTGCGGCGCGGCCCACGGCCGGACATGGACATACTCCCCGCCTCGAAGACACCACCCCGGCCTGGCCGTCGGCGCTACCCCACGCCGGGTGCAGCGTGAAAAGCAGACCAAACTCACCGACCTGAGAGCGAACTGTCTAGCGTTAGAGTTACACGCTGAACAGAGACAGCTGCTTCCCTCTCCTGAGGCAGCCGCCCGCCGCGGAGAGTGCGTCCTGACAGACCCGTTTTGATCACCAGCACACCCCGCACACCCCGCACATGGTGGCCACTGCCTCGGCCACTGCCTCGGCCACTGCCCTTGCCACCCTGGCCCGTTTCCCACGTGGCCCTTCCACCCCTTCATGCACCACGCCGGGAGCCCCAAGCGGCCAGGTCGGGAACTGCTGCGCTTGGCTGGCGATACCCCGTGCGCAGTGGGAGGCCTGGGTGGACGAGGGCTGTGGCGAGATCTCTCAGTCGACTGAGGCACGCATTCTCTCTTACTCTCTCACTGCAGTACGCTAAAGAAGAGCGAGTTGTGGCCTTTAATCGAACTACTCTGCAATAACCTTCGCTTAGTCCTTGCAATAAGCGCCTTGCGCTTGAGACTCCCGGGCGGACGGCGCTCCAAATTGCCTGTGGGTATGCAGGGCATCCTATGCACTCTCATCCTTCAATCGACATTTTATCAATATTCATTGACGTTTGTGCGCATCAATAAGAGTTTTGTTAAGAATTTGTTAAGACGAAATTGATAATTTAGTTGATAACAAGGGAAAAAGTTAATACGTTTGCAAACGTCAATAAGTTATGAAGCAAAAACTCAGTGCGAGTCTGAGAGTGTGAGGGGCATTTTCGGGAAGTAACTGATCCCCTGACTCCTCCTTCACCCTTCTCCACCCCGCCCCCCTTTCCCCTCCTCTCCAGCGCAACCTACAAGAGACACTTTGGCACAGACTGGTTTCCAAGTGCTTCTACAAAAGATTACCCACAAAGACTCCTTTTTCGAGCATAGTGCCCAGTGGCGGATCCAGAGGCGGCATGGCATATTGGGGGATGGGGGCAAAGGGGCAATTTTGCCCACCTTCCGAGTGGCTATCTGGCACACACGCACACACGCACACGCGCACCACACACACACACACACACACACACACACACACCCTGTGAGCGCCTGATAGTACCGGCTGTCTAGGAGCGCCGATTCCGACTGTTCCGACTGCAATTCCAGCACCTTATTCCTGACGTGTTTGTCGGGTGCATTTTTGCGGCTGTGGTGGGCGCGGTGGGTGCGGTGGGTGCGGTGTGGGCGCGGTGGGCGCGGTGGGCGCGGCTGGCCCGGCGGACACAGCAGGCGGCGGATGAGTGTTCTGAAGGGCTTTCGGTGCTCTGGGGCTTGGCTTTGGGGCACGTGCGGTGAGCTATATGTGCCCCGGTCCGTCTGGCCTTGTAACGATTCCATTCTAAAACACCACCTTGCTTTAGACGGACCGATTCGCGATGTGGATGGGGTCGAGGATGGGGAGATGAAGCCCCTGTGGAGGCCAGAGCGCCCCCCTCCCCCTCCCCTCTATCCGACCACCGCCATCGCTACAACGGCCCGCTCGACACGGCCCCTGCAGTGCCTTTACAGTGCCTCTGCCGCACAGCGCTGCGCCGGCAGAGTCGTCCTCCGCCCGGCAATTTTCAGGCCGACATCGACTGGCTGCCAGCACCTTGGGCCCGTCGCGTCATGACGAGTCATGGCCTCTCCGAGGAGACACTCTCACTCGTCTTTTCCTATTGTTTCGCTTGAATCGACAGAAATTCGAGTGCCCCTAAAAATTCAAACGAAACGACGCATGTTTCTTCCAGCGGTACACTGTAAAACCAAACGTGGTCTAGACCACACCACTGGTGTGGTCAAATGGGTGCCATTTTGACCGCATCAGTTGGTGTGGTCTAGACCACGTTTGGTGTGGTCTTTCCATGCAATGACTACCAAAACGCACCAAACGTGGTCTAGACCACACTAACTGATTCGGTCAAAATGGCACCCATTTGACCACACCAGTTGGTGTGGGCTAGACCACGTTTGGTTTTTCAGTGTACCGGTGGCTTTTTTCTGACCGTGGTGGTAAAGAGGTACGAGGGTGTGGCATTTTCACGCCCGTGAGCTGCATCAAGGCTTCGAAAGGCGTTGCAAGGCGTGTTTGGCAGAGTAAGCTGTGTTGGGAAGGCGCAGATGATGAGTGATCACACATCGCGCCGCATCGCGCAGCGGGCGGGCCGCCAAAGGGTGGGCCACGCCGTGGCCACGCTGCCACACTGCCACGCTGGGCTACCTCGCCGCCATGCGCCATCCACATTTCAGCGGGGCAAGCAAAACTAGTTTTCGCCAAGGCAGTTCGAAGCAACAAGCGGGATGGGAATTCACTCGTGCAAATTTTGTCAGAATGTCAGAAACACACTGGTGAAACAAAGGCATTAAAATTATGCCCTTTAAGGGCGTAATCGGGCATAAATCGTTAATGCCTTTGGGATGGGCATTAAAATTTTGCTTGAAATAAACGATTTATGCCCTTGCAAGGGCGTAAAAGAGTATTTATGCCCTCAAGGGCGTAATTTTTATGCCTTTGTTTTACGAGTGCATGTCTGAAATCCTGACCAAAATTCGCGCACCTCTGAAAGCTGAAATTATCAAAACTTATTCTAATATTGATGGCCCAATATTTCTACAGAATTTCAGAACAAGTTTTCAGCTTTCAGGGGTGCACGAATTTTAGTCAGGTTTTCAGACAGGTTTCTGATCGAATTGCGATCCATTTCATTTCGAAGCGTTGAGCATTGGCACAAAGGATTGCCTCCATGCTATTCGGTACACAAAACGAATCAATAAGTGTCCGTAAACATTTACTGTGTAATACGTCAGAACATTTTATGCAGAAGTGTGAATGCAGAAAATGCTGTCGAACAAACAGCGCTCAAGTAATCATTCAGTTTGAATATTTGTCGGAAATACACCGGGCGCGTCCCCTGCTAAAAGAGAACCATTCAATGTCAGGACGAAAGACGCTCTTTTGTGTGGCCCCTTAGCTGTGACAACGCCGGGCGCCACGTCGCTGGCCTGCCCCTCGTCCCTAGGACGGCCAGGGCGGCCAGGGCGGCCAGGGCCACCAGGGCGGTGTGGTGTGGCGGTGGTCGCGGTGGCAGTGTGGGGATAGCGGGGGCAGCGGGGCCAGCGGCGGTGGCGGCGCACAGGGCGGGGCTGCCGGCGATCCTTGGGAGTCTTCTCTCCCTCAGTCCCGTGACGGCCCGCTGTGCGGCCGAGCCGGCCCCAGCCGAGCGCTAGGCCAGCCAAAGGCCTGCCAGAGGCCAGTCAGAGGCGCCGCGGCCAGCGTTCCGGACGCCGGCACGGCCATCAAGTGCGTCGTCCACGTCGTCCACGTCGTCCACCAGGGCCCAGGACGCATCCGTCCTCGCGCGGGTACCCAGGCGCCCAGGACATGGCGACCGCCACCCCGCGAGCAGGTACGGCAGGCACGGCAGGCAAGCTGGGGCGACCGCGGCCTCTCCCGGAAGGGTGCACTTGGGTTTGGCTCAGCTTCAAAATTTTCCAAAGTGCGATGTGAACGTGATGGTGCGACAAGCAATCGGTCCACTCTACTTCGCGACGGTGGTTGGCGTTAGGGCAGTTGGCGGCGTGCACGGCGGACGCGGACACTTACGGGCGCCCAACATTGTAGGAGTCATTTGAACCCGTGTCCGCGAGCCGGGAGTAAAGCACAGCAGCACATCAACGGCATTTGATAGCGGCAGCTAAAAAAAGGGCTAAAAGGCGACCCCAGCCAAAGTGACGAGGCTGCAAGCCTTTTAGTTCTGGCCTCGCTCGGACTTGACGTTGTCCTCGCCTCGCCCGCCCCGCTTGCCCCGGGCTTGCCCCGGGCTTGCCCCTGGACCGACAAAGCGTCTCAAAATGGCTGTCCTGATAGCGCGACGCGAGCGCGACGCGAGCGCGCCACAGTGTCCCCGAGTCCCGCCGCGGCCAGCCCGTGCGCCGAGCGCTAATTCAATTTGAGGTTGGCTTCCCGCCGTCGCGGCCGTCGCGCTGCAGACAAGCCTCTGCCAGGCGGTTTGCCACCCTCCGAGTAAATGTCCAATTTATTGACGGCAAGATCGCTGAGATGGCCCTCCTCGGTGCAAGGAAAAGGTTTCCGCTACGCACAAGTATGTGGAAAGTGCTTCGCATCGTGCGCGTTAGCATCGCGTCGAAAAGTATTTTTTATGAAAGAGCCCTTTGTTTACCATTTGAATTCATTTTCTTCTGTTCTGTCAGCAGCGTGTCCGGGCCGGCGTGCCGCTGACGCCCTCACAGCGCTCACTGCCCAACACTGAGGCGCTCCCCCCGGACAGCGGTGCGCGCCGCCACGGTCCGCGATGAGCGACTCGGGGGACTCGGAGGCGCAGACCTCGAGCACGGCCAACCTGGCCGAAGGAGAAGGCGACGGCAAGCAGGGCTCCAAGAAGAAGATCATCCGCCTGCTCACCGTCATGGCCTACGTGTCCTCGGTGTCCGGCACCGCCTTCATGCTGTCCATGTACTACCTGTTCCTGTGGGAGCCCAAGGTGGCCGAGCACCACCTAAAGGGCGACCCCATGGGGCACCAGGCGCTCGCACTCAAGGGCCATGTTGACCACGGGCAGCGCGGCGTGTACGACGGCCTCTACGACGGCTACCCCTTGCCCGGAGTGATGTACAGACCGCCGGGCACTGCGGACAGCCGCGGCGTGGGGGCGGCGTACCCGGTGCCCGTGGGCAGCAGTCCTCCTGGCACCTACCGGTCCGCGGCACCGCCCATGGGCCCACCCATGGGACCGCCAATGGGCACGCCAGGGCGGCCCGTGCCCCGGTACGACTACCAGTACCAGGACTCGGGGCCCATGTGGGTGCACAGCACGTACTCGCGACAGCCACCTCGCCCACCCAGCCTGAGCCAGGTGCGCGAGCCGAGCGACCCGCTGTTCATGCCGAAGACGCTGGCTCGGTCGCCGCGCGCGCACCCACCAACACCGAAGCCAGAGCCCACGACGGTGGTGGCGGCAACGTCGACGACGATGTCGTCGTCTGCACCAAACTCTACGAAGCAAGCGGCGATGACAACGACGGCGTTGCCGCAGACAAACTCTGCACTCGCTGACCTGCGACCGTCGTCACCCTGGCCACTCACCCCTTCAGCGTCCCCGCAGGCAACCAGCTCGCTGTCGCCGAAAGTGTTGACCGACGAGCGGGCGCCAGCGCCGACGCCAACGCCGACGTCAACGCCAACGCCGACGTCAACGCCCACAAACACGCCGAGGTCCACGCCGACGCCCATCTCGACGGTCACTGTGACGTCCACGCCAGCGTCTCCGTCGTCGTCCGCGGCGACCTCCGCAACGACCTCCACGGCTACCTCCACGGCGACCTCCACAGCGACCTCCACGCCTCCTCCACGACGTGCTCCTCCGAATCTCACCGCGCGGAAGCAGCCGCCGATATTGCCGCCCAGGTCACCGACGGCACCACCGCGGGCGGTCAGGTTGCCGCCGGTCGTCCAGGAGACGACCCCGACCAAGTCACCCCGAAGGACCGTCGACGCGAAGAAGACACCGCCTCTCCTGTCGCCGGGAGCGCCCCCGGCCAAGGTCCAGCCCCCAGCGGTGCCTGCCTTGGTGCCCGCTGTCCCGCGGCCGTCCCCACCGCGCTGCTCCTGTCCGCGAAGCACACCGTGACCGCGGCCCCGGACGCCTCGGACGCCCCGGCAGTCTAAGGTGCCGCAACGAGCGCCGTCCGGATCAGGTTTGTGGTCTAGCTTTAGCGTAACGGTCTTCATAAGTATTTGCGAGTGCATAGCCCCTCGGCCAAAACGCTCGTCGTGCCACCGCTGCCCCCTGCCCCTTTCGCGGCCACCAGATTGATGCACGGTTCGCGGCTGGGCCCGCTGGGCCCGGGGGACCGCGGGGCTAGCGCTTTGGCCACTCTGGCCAATGAAACTGCCCCGCCTCTTCCTCCACCGCGCAATGCCCGTGAGACCGTCATGGGGTTCCATATGCTTAATTGGGTTCGCGCCGAGACAGTCACCGTGAGCGCGCACAATCCTCTAAACGCATCCAAGAGTAGAGACGTTCTAAGGTAATGCGTGGGCTGCTGGTGCAAACTCAATGGCTTTAGTTTAGAGCCCCAGATTTTGCAAAGTTTTCTGGGGAGGTCAACATGTCATGTAACAACGAGGTTGGTGGTTCGAGTTTGAGTCCCGCTGTTGCTCTTTTCTGCGAATCAAACCTAGCTTCATACACACCGCAACCACGAGGTTGGTGGTTCGAGTCTCGCCATCTATTTGCTCTTTTCTTACACTTGGTTTAGCAGTGCATACAGTATGACCCTACCATAGGCACATTGCCTTCACTCCATGCGTCCCGCAGGTCTCTAAGGTAGCAGTTTGACTTAAGGTTAGGTTAAGTTCGTTATTTGTTGCTTACGTGTCTTGCGTGACAGGCCTTCCTTTCTCCCCCCCCCCCCTCTCCTCTTTCCTGGAAACATGTCGGACAAACCGCAGTTCGGGCAAACCGTAGGTCGGAAAAAAAAAGAAATGGTGATGCAAGAAAAGCGAAGAAACGTCTAGGTCGGACATGAAGAGGTCGTTCAAAAATAATTTAAGAGGGAAGGAGGTTGGACGAAGTGGTATTCAAACGACGTAGACCCGTGGCCTTGGCCTTACCCCTGGGGATGGCTGACTAAATGAAATAAAAGAAGAGCATGAAAAGGTGAAGCCACGTCAATGCTCTCCGCTGGCAGCGCGTCGTGGCTTGACCGTACCGGTTCGCGGCAAGGCCGGCAAGGCGTGCAAGTCTAGGCCGAACCATGGCGCCTGCCAGTGCGGGGTAGGCCGTCCCGCCGTCCCGCGAGGCGCAGCGTGCGGCGTGCGGCGGCGCGGCAGGCGGCCACGGCCGGTCGAGCTGGAGCCTTGAACTTCCGGCTGGAGTTCGCGCTTGCCGCCAGAGCCGCGGCCGCCAGGCCTGCCGACAGTGCTCACGCAGGGTCTCCCTCCAGGGCCGCCAGGGCTGCCACCCCTGCGGGCACCAGGCGCATGCGCGCGGCCGTACCGACAACCACCCTGGACTGGACCAGGGCATCGATTAACAACTGCACCACGCCCACACACACACACACGCACGCACGCGTACACAAACGTGTTGTGATTGTTGCAGGACGGGGGCGTTGTCTGGACGGCATTGCTGTCTAGGCTGCTCGGCTGCGTCGCAGGTTTGTCTCGGCCCTAGGGCCATCCCTGCCGCGGGCCCTGCCGCGGGTCGTCTCGGTAGTTAGCGCGGCCGTGGCGCGGGGTGCACGCGACGCGTCGCGAGGGTCGCCCCGACCGACCATAACCTCAACCGCGGACAGTCAGAGGCGACGACGGCGGGTCGTTTTAGCCCAACGCTGACCCCTGCCACTTTCTCAGCGCAGGCCATGGTCAACGACTGGCGAGCGCTGCCTTGCGACCTGTCCCAGTCTGTCAGCTGCCGCCGTGGACTGCGGGCTACGGGCAGACATAACCCCACTGGGGTTGCCAAGGGCAGTGCCAGGGCAGTGCAGGGGCAGAGATCGGAGGCGAAAATGCAATGCCCCGGTTGCGTCGCTGCAGCGGGGAGGTCTTGTCTACGCTGTCCGTCAGGGGACTCTACTTGCCAAGGTCCTTTACAAGTTGAGCCCACGCTGACCTAGATAACATGGGAAAGAGGGGGAGGGGGAAGGCCAGTGCACCCTGACCGCGACCACAGACACCGCCATGCGCCGCCATGACTGCATGCACTCTTCTCTCGCAGCAAGCACCGCGAGAAAGAAGTTCTCCTCACTTTGTTGTTGGCTGAGCGATACCGAAAAGCCAAGGGCTTAAAATGATACTGTCAGTCCGTCTCAAGGTCTCCCTGTCAGCATCCCCCCCCCCCAAAAAAAAAAACAGCGAACGAGTGGAAGGAGCGTAGCGTGGAGAAACGAACAGGCAGTCCCGCTGCGCTTCACGCGCTTCGAAAGCGAGGGGCAGCCCAGCCAGGCTGTGGCATTGTCTTGGCTTTTTCATTCCACCCACGCACTGTCCACTCGCGAACGGCGCTGTCTGCGGGGTGCTGTCCACTGTATACACGCGGCTGCCTGGCGGCCTGGCGGGGTGGCTTTGCGTAAACAGACCGAGGGCCGAGGGCATTGTCCTAGCCGCAGTCCGCGGTCCGCGGTCCGCGGGCGGCATGGACAATCGCCGTCCCGCCGTCCACGCCGTCCACGCCGTCCACGCCATCCACGCCCCGCAGACTTGCGACTGGCAGGACTTGTGTCTCACTCGAATCCGTCCCCGGCCCTTCTCGTCACTTACAGATTCCGCGATGCACTGCCGAGCGCCAAGGACGGCAGGAAAGCGGCTGACCCTTCCCGAACGGCATTTTGCCCACCTAGCACTTTGCCACTTAGACTTGGGGGTGCAGGTCGGGTTCTCGCTGCGCAAGAGTGGTCCGTTCCGTTCGCAGCCGCAAGAAGAGGTTTACGGTGTAGTCGGTCAAAGCGGGTGGGGAACTCGGCAAGCTCGGGCTAAGCCGCCTGGGAGGCGGGCGGGCCTGTCGAGCGCCGGAGTGCGGCGTGCGGCCTACCTCGGCGTCGCAGGCGCTAGGCGCTCGGCGCTCGGCGCTCCACCTCGGAGGCTGCGCGCCGCCCGCCTGCCGGGCCGGCCTGCCCGATGGGTTGCCTGCCTGCAGGCTGCGGGGCCGCCGTGACGCGCGGGCCGTGTTGCCCCACTGCACTGGTCGAGGCCGAGGCCGCCGAGGCAGTGTTTGTTGGTCCGCGTGGCACCGCTTCGCGCCGCGCACGAGGAAGCAGACGCCGCGCTCCTCTCAGTACATTTATCCCGAGTCAAAGGAAGGGCAACAAGGCGGTGGGCTTGAACCAATCCGCTAGTCTTTTCAAGTTCCCTCGGCCCTGTGCGCATCTCTGACTCGGAAACAGGACTGCTTGCTTTGCTTGCTCCAGGTCCCAGGTTGCGGCGCGCGGGGCTGCCTCCGAGGCGGGGGCAGACGACGGCCGCCCTGGCCAAGGCCCTGGCCATCCCACCGGACAGAGGAGCGCTCGGGTGAACGAGAAGAAGGGCAGGCCGACGGACGGAGAGGCGTGTCCCCGGCGTGCAGATGACCGCCGCGACCGCCGTGTCGTCGACGTCGGCCTGACCGCCGCGAGCCGCGAGCGCCCCTTGCCTTGACGACGTCGGCAGCGTTGGCAGCGGCGCGGCCGCCCCCCGGCCCCAGCATGAGCAACTTCCGAACCCTGTCCGGCGGCAGCTTCGGGGGCAGCTTCGGCTGCGACGGCAGTCTGAGTCTGACGGTGCCGCTAAACCCGCACGTGGGGGGCCCCAGCCCCACCATCGTCGGCCCGGGCGGTGCGGGCGGCGCGGGCGGTGGCAGCAGCAGTGGCTCGGGGCCTGCCGAGGTGCGCCTGGCGGGCGTCGACACCAAGGAGAAGATGTACGAGCCCAAGCAGCGCAAGAAGCTGGTGCGCGTGCTGACCGTGGTGGCGTACCTGTTCTTCGTGTCGCTGGCCGCGGCCATGCTGTCCCTGTACTACGTGTTCCTGTGGAACCCGTCCAAGAGTCCGCCGCACGTCAAGGCGGTGCAGCGGTTCACCGACGAGCAGCTGCGTCTGCAGGAGCACAACACGCTGCGCGAGCTGCAGCGGATCCAGGAGCAGCGCAGGGTCATCGAGAAGCTGCGCGTCGAGGAGCAGGAGAAGGCGCGGCAGCGACAGAGGCAGCGGCAGGCGGAGCAGGAGCGGCGGGCCCTCGCCCTCGCGCTCAAGCGGCAGTCCGCGCCAACCACGCCGGCGCCCAGCTTTGCGGACTTCACAGGTAAGGCTTGCATTGAGCCGTGCATGGCCCAGGCCCTCTCCCTCTTTCCTTCGCCTACAGAATCTTTTCCCCTAAGGCACTTTCTTACTAAGGGCATTGCGCGTTGAGTTTGTTCGCGATCCTGGGCCGCTGCGCCGCGCGATCCTGGCCGCTACGAATGTAAGCAATCCCTCTGGCAGCCGCGCCACTGCCTTAGAGTGCCTGCTGGGTCTGCCGGGACTCTCCGCGCGAGAGAGATTGGATCGGAAACACGATCCAGGCCAGTTTGGTCACCTCACCGGCAGGCTGCGGGGGAGGGGTCACGGCATGTCGGGCTGGGGGCTGCGGGCGCGCCGTTGGAGTCGGATTGATCCTGAAGGGTCGACAGGGAGGGTCGGTCTCCTCTGCTGTGACATGAGACTGACGCGCCCTGGGCATTCGATGAGTTTTTCGCGGGTCTTCGTCACTGACTGAAACTTCCCGAGCAGCGTGCACGTCCGCCCTGCACTCCTAGGAGGCCCCCTCCCTCTCCACCAAGGAGAGGGACTTTCTGGTCTCCCGCCTCGAGCAGCCTCCGACTGCCACAAAATACGTTTCCAACAATAGGCCTGTAAACTTGTAAACACAGCCCCGCCAGACCGCCAGATCGTTTCCCCGGCTTGTTCGGCTCGTTCCCGCGCGCGCGCGGCCATGGCGCGGCCTCGCCCTTGCCTCGCCGAGGAAGTGCGCCGTGCGCCGCAGCCCTGCCATGTAGTTCCCCAGTGTTGTCGTCTTGTCACAGTGGCCTTGCCGTTGTTACAGAAAACGCAGACTACGAAGAGGGCCTGGTCCTCACGCCTCCCCCCGTCTTCCTGCCCGTGCTGCGCCACCGCGGCAGCGTGGCTGGAGGCCTCGGCGTGGGCATGGGCGGCGACCTCGACGAAGGCCTGAGCCTGGGCGTCGCCTCCCTCTACAGCAACGTGGGCAACGACATCCCCAGGGCCAAGGCCGCCAAGGCCAAGGCGCCGGGCAGCGCGCCAAGCCTGGGCCGCGGCCTTTCCGGAGCGGCCTCGGGGTCGTCCAGGATGGCGTCAGGGTTCGGAGGACACAAGGCGCTGCGGCACGGCGGCCTGCACAGCCTGCACGGCCTGCGGGGGCTGCGGACGGACTGAGTGGAGTGGCGAGGAAGCGGCCTAGGGCAGGACCGTACAGGCAGGGTCCCCGTCCAGCGGCGAGCCAGTCAGAATCAAAAATCAATCAGGGCAGGACTGATGCAAGCCACAGTACGGACTAATATGTTCTTTGTTTGCATAATTTTGATATCATTTTTGCCCGGACCCCTAGTGAGTGCAGACCACTGTGAAGTCCCAGCAAATAAGCCGCGTGAGATGCTTTACAGACCACCTCTAGGCCCTAGGTCCCCCCGCTTTCAATGATAAATGATAAATTGTGTTATGGCTGTGCTGTTGTGGCGCTGGACCGCCCACTTGGAAGTCTTTAGAAATGCCCCACGTTCCTTGTTCTATGGCAGAGGCTCTATTTCGCCAGCAATAATGCAATGAAGAACAACCATCCGTCCCATCAATAATTTATGTATACATTTTTAAGTACCTGTGAAGAAATATAGAAGGTAAATTCCAATCTTGGCAATAGGCATCATCAATATTTAAAAAAATCTTTGTGTTTGCTTATTTTGATGAAAACCAATAAATGTAGTATTAGAGATACCTTTACTTTTAACTGTACACTTGAAATTTACTGATTGAACATGAATAGTTGTATCATGAAAATGTGGTTGTTGTGAGATGCAATTCCATCAAGAATGAACTCTTCCAATAAACCTGGAAAACTTCATCTATTGCTTCATCTCCTGCAAGTCCTTCCACTCCGCTTCTTTTAAGTAAGTTAGGACACAGCTGCATTTGGCCTTCCCTGCATTGTAACTGTGCAGAACCTCATTGTACTAACAAGCAACTAACAAATGATTTTCTTAACATGCTCCACTTTTTGTCTTAACAAAGATGATGGGGAAACAGGAAAACAGCTCTGATGTTTTCAGTTATGATTTTATTAGTAAGTGCTGCAGCCCCTACCACTAACATATCACTAAATTGGCAAATAGTACAAAAACAAAACAAAATTCATAACATTATTACATATATAAATATAATATGACACAAAGAAGGAATTAACGAAAAATCTGAGTAGATAAAAATACAAAAATGTTATTAATGGTAGTTAACTTGAGGTATTCAAGCTTCCTCAAGTTTGATTTTTACATGAAGTTGGACCAAGGACTGGACAACCAATCCATGGTTGAACCTACTATAGGTATATGAGAAGGGGAATCGGAATCCATGCTTAATTTCACATCAGTATCTACATCATCCTCATCGAACCATTCAGCATCTTCAGCCCCCGATTGCTCATCCCTAAATAGACACAGCAACTCCTTCCCTCGCCTGGCTAAGACACATGCAGGTTGAATTTTAGCAATAGGCTCAGGAAACATACCATGTACAAGTTCTTTATGTTTGGCCACACCTTTTTTAGATGCAAAGTACAATCCACACATTGAACACGTTTTGTCAGCAAGGTGTGGAACAACTGTAGGGCAGAAATAATCATAAGGGGTCTTTGTGAAGCACTTAGTTGATGGATTGATCTGCAATGACAAACGTAAAAATAAGGGACAAAATTTGGCATGATTTCCTCTTTCTGTTGCAACAAGCCCTGAGGAGCTTTGCCACAACTTGCAAGGAGGAGGTAGAAAACCTTCTGGCAATATACATCTCAGACTACTCCGCAGTATTCCACAACAATCTGGGTTTCCACATTTAACTATTTGTAGGAAGTACTGAGACTCTCTCACATGTCTACAGTACCAATCTGCATTTTCTTCTAATTGAGCACACCACTGGGGACCTGATATTTGCTCTGCTACAACGGCATGGCTGTCTATCACAGTTGAATTCCACACTTCTGCCAAGATTCTGCTGGCACATGCAAAGTTTTCTGCCTCCAATTCTTTGTTTGTTGTTCGCCCTTCATCATCTAGGTGACTGCCACAACGATCGTGTGGAATCACGAGGTCAGTTAGCTGATGACTTAAGGTTGCTAATCTCCTCTCTACTCGGTTAAGAGCACTCTGTCCTGGTGCATCATTCACAAGAAACAACGCATCTAGATCATAATCTCTAAAATGTTTAATGGCAAAAGAAATTTGCTTGGGATTACGAGCACTTTCATCGGGTCCTCCATTCACTGCTAAAATTACCACTGGCTTTAGAGCTCCATTTTCGTCTTTGGCGATGGCACGAAAGTTATCTAGATGTACAAGTCTGTCAAAATCAGTAGCATGTGCGTCAGCACTAGGAAATCCCTGACTGCCCATTCTTATGGCCACATAAGTGGGTCCAGAAAAGGTTACACCTTGAGTGTCACCCATGCTCTGAGCATTTATCACTATGCCTCCATACATGGAAGGAATTAACTTCTGCTGGTCAGCAATAATGGACTGGGTGTCCGGGAAGCACACATTGTACTCCATACGCATGAGCAGAGGGGCTTGTTTACAAGGAGCAGTCATACCAAGAGACACTCTGGCCCGATGATCTTGAGCAAGGTAAAACACCTCTTTTGGACCCAAAATGGCCGCAAGTGAATCTAAATAGTTAAGAGTAGTGGCACAGAAGTCTTGGTCTGGATGTCCTTTCTGCTGTTCCTTGGCGTCGTTTAGCGTTACAGGTACAGTAGCAACATGTCTTTTTCCTTCTCGAGTGTTGCTGTTTTGAGGCTGCAGGCGCAGGTAAGTTGCACTTCGAGAAATAGAAAAACCTGCCTTTAGTAATTCTTGATGAAGAGAGTCAAGTGTTTTACAACTTCTTATTTTATCTGCTTTTTGTTTCTCTTCATCAGATCTCCCAGAAACCGCAATGTCTACAATAGCTTTTAAGAGTTCCGGTTGATTTTCTTCTAGTCGGGGTCGTCCTGGACCATCACGCATCTTTAGCTTCACAGCAATACCAGGATTCTCAGCACATGCAGCTTTGATTTTAGTTTTGAAAGTTTCCCTAAATTTCTTCTGTCTTTGGGCATTACGCTCCTTCTTGCTCAGAGCTTTTTTCTCTTCTTCTAGTTCCATCCTTACCATTCTTAGTTTACTCTCTAAATTATCATCAGAGCCATTTGTTTCTTTTAACTGGCTAAGGTGCGTCAATTCAGCTTCAAGAGCAGAAATCCTCTTCATGGAGGTCTCTTGTGAGGGTTTAGTGTACTTTCTTTTTCCAGAGGAGTTGAGCTCATCCTCACTGGAGCACTTCTCTTCATCCAAGAAGCTCGCACTGTCAAGAAATGAGGTGCAATCTGACTTCCCCGATACCTGTAAACAGAAGTTGAGTCAAGGAATTAAAGAGTGTTATAGATAAATGTGAGATCTTACATCCGTGTAACTTTAAAAACAAAATTCTCAACGAAAGTATTTTACAGAAAACAAGTGTCAAATCTCAAATGAAAGACAATGATCACATTCACAGGCCAAATGTCAGTGCTGCATAATGTTTTGCTTCTCTTCTGACAGGTATTGGGAGGTTAAGTCAGGCGTCGGGGCAAACGTGACCTGAAACCTACCTTGTTGGCCCCGAGACTGCGACTGTTTCTGCTGCCGGCTCCACTGGAGCTGGCCTCGAGGAGGTAGTGCTCAATGCGCTGGTTGATCTGTTCCTCGAAGACGCCCTGGTCGGGGTACTCGGCGCGCGCCTGCTTCCACTCCTCCGTGGCCTCCGCCGCGGCCGTCAGCGCAGGCAGAGTAGGGTCCTTCTTCTTGAAAGCGTCGAAGAAACGGCGGTACAGCAATCCCATCCCCGCACTGGACGACATGTTTGGCGGGGTCGGCGTCAGCACCCTCCAGGTGCCGCGGCCGAGGCTCACGACGACGCCCCCTTCGAGATCGCGACTTGACGGCCGGGCCCCGCCGCCGCCGCCGTCCCGTCCGCCTGTCGTCTGCTGCGCCGCTGTGCGCTGCGCTCGCTGCCTGTGCTGCCGCACCGCGTCGGGCCGCGTCCGCGTCGCGTACCGTTCGTTGGGCGCCGACGCTGGCGGACTAGACGCCGACGCCCTCCATCGGGTGGGAGGAGGACGTCACGGAGGTGGTTCGAACGCGGTCCAGCGAAGCGCGGCACGGCGGCGCGCGACCGAGTGCGACGCGGCGCACGCGGCACGACGGCGGGTTCGGCGTCCTCGCCGCCTCCACTCGCTCCACTCTGTCTCGCTCCCTCCGACCCGACGGGGACGGGGCTGAATGGGGTGGACGACAAAGACGGCGAGTGTCCGGCCGAGCGCCCACGGACGCAGTCCGCGTTTTCCCTTCCCTTCCCAGGCCTTTCGATCGTTACGTAACGCCACACTTGGGCCACGCAGCGCAGCCCAGCGCCTCACTGGCTCCTACAACGTCTCCAAAGGACCGGCCCCCGGGACCGACACCACAGGCACCACGTCCGCCTTCCCGCCTCACTGAGCGGCACATCTCGCCACCACTTTTTGCTTTAGCGGGAAATGAAGTGAATGTGTAGACTCCTCAGACTCTCGCCGAAGGGCTTCTCCAAATTCGTTACCTAATTCGTCTTACTGACATATCAGGGGGACAACCAAAGTATACCCAAAACTTGGCACTTTTTGACGTCAGGGGCAATGCTGATGTCACAGAGATTGCTTTTAACTTTTGTGTTCTTTCTGGGATTCACCACTGACACTAGTCTAGTGAAGTCTACTGGTCTAACGAAATGAAATCATCGACCGTTTTCTCCCCCTCGTTACGTGATCGCGCAACGACTGCGTTGCCTCTGGAGCCACTGCGACGCCGCTGCCTCCCCATCACCTCTGCCCCTGTTCGTTACGCAACCCTCCTCCCTGCGGTTCACCCCAACAACAGCAACAAACAATATCCATGCAGCTGGGTTGACGATGCAGGTGTGGTGGGGTTGGGGCCGCGCGGCGACGGGGCGGGGACCTCCCTTCTGCCCCCTCGCGTGTCCCCCTAGGTCCTACGTAGTCCTACGTAGTCCTACGTCCTGGTGCTGATGGGTCTCTCTCTCTCTCTCTCTCTCTCTCTCTCTCTCTCTCTCTCTCTCTCTCTCTCTCTCTCTCTCTCTCTCTCTCTGAACCGGAATATTAGACCAAAGATCAGAGATCTGTAAGGATCGGGTTCACTTTGAAATGATCGAGATGTCCAGCGAGCGAGTTGGGATCTACCGCCGTGCCGTGTCGCGCATTTTGCCTACCCAGTGTAGTTACTGCCGCGACCGCATTTGAAAAACCCGCGCTACAACGGCACTTCCGCGACCTAAATCTCTGCCGTCATGAACACCAGCGCTTGGTGAAATATTAACGCGCAACAATATTAGTTGTTAATGAACAAGTATTTTCTACACTCCCACACAAATATTTACTCACAATTAGAGTAATAATAGTGAGGAAGGCCGTCGATAGTCCTGGCCGAGTGTGAAAGCAATCTCGTAGCCAAAAGTTTCCAAGAAGGGTTCACAAACACAACAACAGCAGAAGTCAAGCGAAGTCTGTTCAAGTACTGTTATCGTATCTTTGTTTTCTCACTGCAGCAGAAGGTTTGTTAAATTGGCGTTCTTTTTGCCCCAACACCTTAGAAAGTTCCAAAATCCAGCTCCCTGAATCCTGCTGATCATTTCAAAGCTATGAGCAGGAAATGAATTGACTATTTGTTGCGAGGCCTGGGAAGATTAAGATTTCGATAAAAAACGATAAGAAGTGTGGCACAGGCCTGTGACATATTTCGAGCCTAAATCCTGTTGTCTTTATAACGGTTGTGAATCTCTCGCGAGCAAAATGAGTAATCGGGTGTGACTCGTGTGTGCCAGCAGAGCGGACGTCGCCAAGTGCAGAAGACAGAAGGCGCGGCACGGACGCCTGGGCTTTGGTGCCAATCCAGCCCAGCTGTTGATAACAACATGAGAAGCTGGGCCGCTATCTGGCGCAACGACTACGACGACACATTCTGAGTCATGTCGAGCTCCACGCCGTCAAGCATGTCCAGCGCGAGCCTATCCTCCTCCACCAGCACGCTGGCCAAGGCCTTGAATGCCACCACGGCCGCGGTGCTGGGCAGCACAGCAACATCTCCAGTGCCTGGGTCTGGAGTCCCTGGCCATGGCCCAGCATCTGCTGTTCCAACGACGCCTATTTTTCTGCAGACCAAAGCAGCCCAGGGCATTGCGGGTGTTTTTGTGTTTGCTGCCTTGTTCCTGACCTGCCAACAGGTAAAGTTGTTGTGATATCATGTCATATGGGATGGGAGCGTTGACCTCAATGTTGCTCACCGCTCTTGACCTTGCGAATAGAGTTGCATATCTCTTTGTTTAGACATTATTCGTCTTACCGTAAATTTTTGTTCAATTTTTTTCATGTCTTTTCTGTATTTTTTTAAAAACTGTTCAAATTATTCTTTTACATTTTTTCATCGCTGAAATTAATTCTTTGTATTGCTCACTTTTTCTGACAGATTTATCGACACTTGCGTTGGTACACTAATCCAGCTGAACAGCGATGGATTGTCAGAATTCTTTTCATTGTACCCATATACGCCCTTCATTCGTGGGTCAGCTTGTTGTTCTTCAACTCGGAGAGTTACTATGTGTACTTCTTTACTGTTCGAGACTGTTATGAAGGTAAGAGTTTTATTTTAATGTAAAATTAATTTGTTATGACCTTTTAATCTTTTTTTTTCCATTCTAATGTTTTTGTGCCTCTTTCTAGCCTTTGTAATTTACAACTTCCTGAGTCTATGTTATGAGTATTTAGGAGGTGAAGGTAATATAATGAGTGAAATCAGAGGGAAACCTATTAGGTAAGTCTTTTTTTGTTGTTGTTGTTGTTTTTTTTTTTTGTTTTTTTTTGTTTTTTTTTTGACTGGAATAAAGTAGTAGATAATATTCAATTTACAATTTGTGATTTCAACCATCCTACTCATATTTCACAGGTCAAGCTTGCTGTATGGTACCTGCTGCTTGGTTGGGAAAACCTACACTATCGGCTTTCTACGTTTTTGCAAACAAGCAACTCTTCAGTTCTGCCTTGTCAAACCGCTAATGGCATTTGTGATAATCATCCTGCAGTCCTTTGGGCACTTCCATGATGGTGACTGGAGGTTAGTATTTTATGTAATTATACATATGCTTAGTAAGTTTTAAAACTATGTCCCTTAAACCCGTCTTGTAACATCTTGTTTTGTTTCAGTCCTGATGGTGGTTATCTGTACATCACAATCATCTACAACATCTCCGTCAGTCTAGCACTTTATGGCCTGTTTCTATTCTACTTTGCTACTCGTGACCTCTTGACCCCATTTGAACCTGTTCTCAAATTCTGCACTGTGAAGTCAGTTATCTTCTTGTCTTTCTGGCAAGGTAAGATATTAAATAATATGAAAAATTCATATGGGTATTCACATAATTTCATGTATCATGTATTTTGGTTTTGTCACAGGCGTGCTTTTAGCAGTTTTGGAGAAGGCAGAAGTTATATCACCCATTATTGCTGGTGAAGGACAGCACACCACAGCTGGTACTGTTTCAGCTGGTTATCAGAACTTCCTTATATGTCTGGAGATGTTGGTAGCTGCTGTAGCTTTGAGATACGCCTTCCCTTATCATATCTATGCGGGATGTATTAGTGATGGGAGAGGACGTTCGGTGACGATGCAAAGCATTTCTAGCAGCTTAAAGGTATTAATTTAAAGTCTCAAACTTGAAAAGAGCCAATCAAAACTTAAAACAGAAATGTAATTTTATTTTGTTTTTTTAGGAAACTATGAACCCCAAGGACATTATGACAGATGCCATTCATAACTTCCACCCACAGTATCAGCAGTACACTCAATACAGCTCTGGTGAGTAACAAAACAATATTTGCTTGGCTAATAATCCTTTTTCAGCAAATAGATTTAAGCCAGAGAAACCTTTCCCTCTCTAAACATGAATTAACATTACCATGATGCTAGAAGCTCCAAATATGTGCCTCATAATGCATTGGAGTAGTCCATTCATACATTCAATTTGAAATTCGGTCACACATATAACTGCTTGCTAGGAAAAGAGCCTTAGGCTTTTTGTTGTTGGTAAGAAACGGTGTACCCATCATGGAGAAAGCCAGTTGTTCAGGGTAAGCATCAAATCAGAAAATGACATACTCCTTCAAATTTTCATATCATATTAGTATTGTAACTTGAACATATGTTTTTGGTAATAGATACAATGCCAATAACTGTACATACCCTTGTATTCAATACTGTATAGGTGGTTCATTCATTTCACAGCCTCACTGAAACAATGTGCTAGTTTTCATTAGTGCAAATCAGTGAAAGTTTAAGACTCTTCAAGTAGTTTCAAAATTAATGATATTTCAATTTATTTAGCTGCATTTTGTTGCTTACGTATATGGGCTGAACGCATACTGCATGCCTTTTTTCTTCCCCTGAAAACAAATAGTGTAGTTTTCTTTTTTCTGTTTGGCCTGTTGGACTTTTGTTCTGAAGAATAGAGAAGAATGCGTTATGCGACATGCCTCCAGCAGCGCCTCATTATTTTCTGCTTATTTTCTCCGATCCCCTTTTCTTTTAAAAAAATATTGTTTTTGATTGTGTGTGTTTTCTTTTATAAACCTCTTCATGTGTTGTGTTTCTCTTTTTCAGAGTTGAATTCAAGTCAATCGTATGAAAAGCTTTGAGCTATCTGCTTGTGGCCGTGACCAACTTTGCATCTTGCATGACTGCTGAGGACTTGTCTTCAGCTAATTTGTGTAGCTATGAGGTCCATTTCTGCCATTTGTATGTAGCATGAACTAGTTTCTACCTCGCAGAAGGCATCAACGAACTAATTAATTTAATTACTTACTTTACAATTGTGACTTATGGTGAACCTTAGAAGCATGCGTCTTAGAGTAAACCATCCATTAGAACAGTGTTATGTTTTTAAGACAAACAGTGAAATGAATATTCGATTTGCTTTATCCCTCTTTTCCCTCTCTCGCCCTCTCTTTCTTTTGAAAACATTTTTTGACATTTCTATCTTCTGATCTAGTTCACTACTACTACTGCCTAGCCAGAAGCTTTTGAGAAGCTTTGGATCTTTTTCTAGCTATGAAAATTACAGTAATTGATTTGCCATTCCGTCCTACTTGCACAAAGCTGTATATCACCTATCAGCTTTTTCCTCAATGTCTCTTTGATCAGTTTAGTTTTAAGCTTAAACATGGTTTCTGGCATTGGGAAGGGTTCGAGTACTTACTTAGATTGGTAAAAGAAAATAGGCTAAAGACTAAAATGTACTATTTTATTTCTAATGTTTTTTTCGTATTATCTATGATCTTAAAATATTTGCCCCATAATTTTATAAAAGTAAATTACAACAAAAAAAATATACTACAAAAACAGTTACCATTTTGTATTGTGTGAAGTGTTAAGGTATATTTGGCAAGTGTTTGCATCAGTGAGATTGTTTGCCACATTTTTATTTCTTGAAGTATTGTTGGACCGAAGATATTATTTAAATTGAAATGTTGTCAATGGTCTCTTTGAATCTTTTTTTGTAATAATTTTAAACAGTAAATGTCATTATCTTTTTAGAGTAAACTGTTAGCCATTGACTGTTAAAATTAATTTTGGTTTGGCAATAGGCTAGAAATTTGTTCAATGATGCAGTACCTTATTTTTCATAAGGTTTAAAAGTTTATGGCCCATCTTCATGTCTTGTATCATTTACCTGCAATGTGGGCCTTCTCTTTTCATTGTGCAATTATCAAAAGGCATTGTATTGGTAAATTTAGATCCTAAGGAACATTATGACTAAGTTGTGAACAAAAAGTCTTACATTTCATTTTGGTACCTATGGTACTTTGGTTGTGTTTTTGCCTCAACAATTCTCCCATTTATTGGTGCTAGATACGTTTTAATGCATGGTCAGCATGTTTGTTTTCATTTAGTTAGTTCATAGTTCTTTTTAAAATTTTGTGTTTTTTTTTTTCTTCTAATATTTTTAGTGTTTTAATTTATTTAAAAGATGCTTTGGAGTGCTTTCAGTATTTTTAAAATTACTGGACTAAGTTTTTGGTTGAAAAGACACTCTTCCATTGAAGAACAGAAATTGCTGCCTCAAATTTTTTCCCAGGTCTTGCAGAACATTTCCACCGTATTATGTTTGCAATATTTGTGGAAAGACAATAGCGAAACCAGTTAAACATGATCCAGCGTGATTGTGTTTTTGTTATCTTTTCCTTAGGGAACTTATATACCGGCATATCTCAATGTATATATATAATGGGTTCCCATTACTTACTTGTCAGAGCTTTCAAAAATTGATTGTTTGATCGTAGTATTAAAATGCCCTCATCGTGACAGCCGGCAGGCAGTGAAGCATTTCCATGATTTGGTGCAATTTCTTACAGTTCTGATGAGTTTTTAATGTGATCTGGTGTTCGCAGTCAACAATCAATAAGTATCCAGTAAACTACTACCATTCTTCTGATATACGTGGCAACTCATTTGTTATCCCCTCCAACACAAGTCATTCTGATTCGCCGATTTTACTTTGATATCTAATCTTTAATTATATCCTTTGGATGAACAATAAAAGTGGGAATGGTATCAAATGTTAAAATGCTTTTGACAGATTCTCTCCTTTTTTTTCCTTTTTTTTTTGTCTTGTCGTGCGTGCATTTGGTGTGTAGTGTAGTTAGTGTTGTGTGTTTGTTCAGGGACTAAATAGGTCTTCTTATGTACTTGATTGTGATGAACTCTGTCTGTGAATCATTAGTGCTAGCTCTTTTTATAAAAACGTTTTGAAGTGCCTTTATGACGATTTAGCTATTCATATGTATCAATAAACTGCAATTCCATTTTATTTTTTTGCATTCTTTTTTTAAAATGTTAACTCGCCTTTAAAAATTTGCTTTGTAGCAAAGGGATGAGAATGTATCCCCGTTCATCTCTGAGAATAGTCTCCTTCTTTCAACCATTTCCTGAATTGGATTTATTAGAATTGCCATGCTCTAAGTCCATTAATGTGTTTGCCATGAGTTTTGAGCACTTTGGCATAAATAAGAAAGGTGCCCTAGTATTGGAGTAAACATGCAAAATCTTTGTTTAAAAGAGATGTTATGGGAGGAACAAAGGACAAATATGGTACCAGGACTGCCCTTTCTGCCCTTCCTCTCTTGTGCCATTATAAATACTACATGTTCTGTTACATGGAGATCATGGAAATCATCATCATCTCATCTTCACCGAAGATGAGAGCGGTTGGCCTTATTGATAGACTGAAATTACTTTGCTTCCATTCTCCTAAAATGTTTCAGGTGGTTCCCATGGCCCTCGAGGAATGCGCATCAACAGCTATGATCCAGATGAAACTCCTGGAGAACAGCAGGGGAAGTCTACCTTTGGTGCTCAGGTCACCAACCAGCGTAAGCCTGCCTCTCAGCGAGTTGCAACTATATCAAATCAACACAATGAAAAGACCATGCTTTTATCATCTGATGATGAGTTTCAGTAAAATGACCTCTATGCTAAAAAATACTTTCTGTAGCAACTTATGATTAGAATATTTATGACTCCTGAATGTTCTAGTCATTGAGACTACTGATGAGAGTCAAGCTTCTCATAACTTAAGTGGCCCATGCTTCCAACTTCCAACTTAACCTACCCATGATTCTATTTTCCCTTGGGCTGGTTTGTTGGGTTAAGTTTTCCTTACTCCTTTTCTTTTGATGCTTGCCACAGTGCAAACAAAGGCCTCAGATAGATATGCCTATTGCATTATGTTTCTCTCAGCGTCATATTGGGATTATTGTATATATACATTTCCACCTTAAGCTACCTTTTATCTTTTCCTTGCATGAGACTGAAACAAATTCAATTACTGTACCATGATGAAAAAAGTGCATCAAAGAGGCTTGGATTCTTAAAACTTGTAGGCCAAATTAAGGGATGGATATTGTTCCAATCCCATGGTTATGACAGGACCTGAAACGGTAACATTACTGACAAAGAAGCAATGAATTTAGTGATGCCTTCTTTCTTTTCTTTGGTTTGTTTGGAATCTCAACTTTGTTGAAGATCTCTAAGACACTTTCATCTTAGTTGGATGGCTGAGATGAGACTGTTTATCAAGCTTTGCTTGATTTGTGTCAATTCATTTCTGTATGCCAGGCAACGCCTTTTTAAAGTTAGTTTCATGGATTTATCGCACCATTAGTTTTATGAAATGGTAAAATATTGTTGAAATATCATTTACTATTACAATATATTTGAATTGGCTTTAAATTGGTGTTCCCTACCTCATCTTCCTTTATAAAATGTATTATTTTAACCTTAGGCTTTCTCTTTAAGTTTGGAGGTGATTAGGTGGTTACATTATTGGTATCAATAAGTAACAGAAAAAATCCAAAAAAATGTAAAATAAACACAAAAATTTCTTTCTGTGTGTGTTAAGCTTTATGGTGTATGTCTCATACCAATTCTTCTTACTTCCTATTTTGTGTCATAGTTCAATCATTTCAATACATGTTGACTGGTTGGTAAGAAGAAGATTGGGATGTTTTGCTGAGCAACTGCAATGCATCAATTGACTTTCTCATTGTGTTATTATTGTGTTGTTAGCTTGTCAGGTTTTAGGTCAACACCGACCAAACAAAATTGTCTTTCTCTGTTTGTTTTTTTATTAATTTTAAGTCATGTGAGACATTGCGGTTGCTCAGATGGTGTTGTGATCAGTAGAGCTATTTTTCTATTTCGTACAAAGTGTTCTGTGTTATGTGGTAGGGCTATTTAAAATTAGCTGTATGCCTGTTGGAATCAATCACATCACACAAACTTTCCTTTTACCCATTTTGACTCAACCATGACAAACTGATTTGCATATTAATTTTTAAGCTTGTTCTCTTCAAGCTTGTAGCGTCTTATTACTGTTACCATGAGTCCGTTGTGATGATTATGGAGAAAACATCCTCTAAAGTATGCCAAAACTGAACAAAAAAAAATTAAGTTGTGAAGTCTAGGATTCATTAAGATTTGAATTTTCTCTTCACATAATATTCTTGTAAAAACTGGTCAGGAAATCTTAATTTAATGGCATTTGTGATAATTGTTTTTCTCAGGGGAGATGTATTTGTTTTGTTTTCTTTGTTTGAAACTATAGATGTTTTTGATCGCTTGGACGCTGTCATGTTGATGTGATTTATTTTCTCTTGATAATTTCTTTCTCTGCTTTCTCCCCATCCCTAATTATTCATGTTTTAAGTTTCTTGAATGTTTATGTGGAGGTGTTTCTTGCAAATTTCATACTGCTTGTATGAGAGCATGAGAAGTGTTTCTAAAGTGTTTTTTTTTCCTTATTGTTAGCAGGTTAATATTCTAATTTTATGAAAAAGGGAAGACGTATTTAACTGAAGTGAGGTGGTTTTGGAAACCCTTCTCATTCTGCGTCTACTGTGATTTATTGTTTAGTACAAGTAGTTAATATAATGTGTTTGTTCTTGTTAGGTTTTTTTTCGTGGTTTTTTTTTGGCAGTTTTTTTTTTGGGCCAAGATCTCTCTTTGCACATATTGGTTTCAAATTAAAATACCTCGATTTGCCTATTGATACACAGAACATTTGTTTTATTGTCTTGCTATTAAAATCATTTCTATGGTTGAACCAAAGAGAATGATACGGATTACGTTCCACCGTTTTAATCATTCCATTTGCCAATGATGATAGTGTTCAATGGAAATGTGTTATCATGAAATCAGTTAAGCCATTCCTTTCATGTGCTATTTGGGCTGGTAAGACATGACAATCTTAGTCCTATGTTGGTTCAACCCCAGAAAGACTATTTTGTTTATAGATCAGGGTAGTAGTTCTTAAAATTCCATGACATTTTGATTGACAGTTGTTGGATCTTGTTAATGAACTCATGAACTGCATTTTAAGTTTTAGGTATCATCTTGTTTCTTCATATTTATGGATTCATATTGCAGATATATTGCAGATTAAAAAAAGGAAATAAAAATAAATATCTCAGTGTGACTTACATTCTGTTGAATACTTTATTTCATGATAACTCCCCACAGCCTGAAATAACAACTTTTTCTGTCGGTTGGCCACCCTTGGTTCCATATTTCTGGAAAGTTAAAAAAAAAATTAGAAGGCTCAGAAAGGCGCACTGGAATCTTATCAGTTGAAAAAAAAAAAGGTTACCAAAGGAGTAACTAAGCATTGTCAACTTACCTCCATCTTTTTCAAAACGTCCAGACCACTTATAACATGGCCAAACACTACATGCTTTCCATCTAGCCTAAAGGGAAGAAATCAAAAGAGTACACTTGCATTCCAGCATACATTAATTCATGGCAAGATACAGGAGCAATACTAACCAGTCTGTTTTAGCAGTGCAGAGGAAGAACTGAGACCCATTGGTACCTGGGCCTGAATTTGCCATGGACAGAGTTCCTGGTCCTGTGTGCTTCAAGTCAAAATTTTCATCCTCAAACTTTCGGCCGTAGATGGAACGTCCACCTGTACCGTTGTGATTAGTAAAATCTCCTCCTTGGCACATCTTTCAGTACATTAAGGAAAAATAAACAGTTGAATGCAATTGGTGTTTTACTCATAAAAGAACAGATATTCATGCAAAAGGATACAAATCCTGGAATGATACGATGAAATGAGCTTCCTTGATATCCATAACCTTTTTCATGTGTGCAGAGGCATTTGAAATTTTCAGCAGTTTTGGGAACCACATCTGCTCGCAGCATTATAATAATTCTTCCCACATCAGTCTTACCAATTTTAATGTCAAAATAGACTTGAGGATTCTTCGTTTTCTTCTTATCCTCAGATGTGCCCTGTAGGTAACAAAGAAATACAAATTTGGAGATGGGAAATTGCATGAAAGAATGGAGAATAAAGAAATGCTTGCCTTTTCCTTGTCTGTTGCGGTGGAATTCTTTTCATCTGGTTCATTTTCAAGCGTTTCCCCAGCATGTTCTTGTAACCACTTGTCATCTGACCACACTGGTTTCGAGGACCCTTCTTTTATTCTCTGTGGTTTGGCAATATTGACTCGAATTGTTCTACCAAATAATTCTGAGTCATTCTGCACATACAGAAAAGATGTGTTTCAATACAACAGGTAAATATAAGCCAAATTAAACCCTTTACTTCAGAAACTATACCATATTATCTATGGCTGCAGCAGCATCTTCAGCAGCTTCGAATTCTATAAAAGCAAAGCCTCTGTGCTTTTCGGACTCGTAATCTAGAGGAATCTGTACATCGACTATGTCACCAAAGGGAATAAAAGCAGCATGGAGGACTTTCTCGTCCACTTCCTCGGCCAGACCACCTGTGAAAGAGAACACAGAAATTTTGAAAGATTAATGATGGAATTACAAATAAGTTATAAAACAGAATTGTGAGAAATTTAACTTCACAGACTCCAGTCAAGTCAAATGAAATAGACGTAAGAGTAAATAAAAAGTGATTCAGATTGTCACAGAATTTAGTTGCGAAAGGTGACACTGCGTTGTAAAACACGCCTTTGCATGAACTGTCATGATGTCAAGACACCAAGTATCCCAGAGATGCGTTTAACCTCACGCAGGGTACGGTAAAACGTAAAACCGAACGCATTCTATCATGTCAGTAATCTCACTAGGGCTGCTGTAGACAAAGATACGAACCGACATAAATTGTCCTTTTCGGATTCGACATGGCTCTATGTGTTCAGCCCTTAGAGCCGGCAGCCGGCGACGAACGAATGTTTACGACCGTGAAACCTCAAAACAAACGTTGCATGAACGCTCCGCCATATTAACGGCAACGGCCATCTTTCTTTCCTTCTTCCTCACCAAAACCGCGAATTTCAAAGTGGGAAAGGCACGAGGCCTCGGTCTTATGATAGTGTTCATTTTTGTCACAACTCAGCACTCGTCAGTCACCAACTCAAAGGTATTTTCAAAACATCGCGGTACAAGTCACTCCAAAATTTCATCCTAGATTCAAATATGTGTTCGCGCAGTGTCAAGTTAACATTTATGTCCAAATAAAAGTCGTGATCGACTCGATTTGATTCCCACTGAATGGAATCCAGGTCGGTGCAATTCTTCGGTGTCGGGTCCCTGGAAAAAAAGGAAAACTGCAGTGGCTTGAAGAATGGTTTGCATTTGCATGAAATAATGAACCCAAAACTTTGAGACGAATTCCAAGTTCGATGGGAGGAGGAGGGGAGGGGAGGGGGCACCGCACAGGTTCGGCTTCGTACGGAGGACACATGCTCGTGCATGCGTGCATGCTGCGTTGTCTCGGGGCTTTGGGGCTCCCCCACTCCACCCCACCTTCCACCATCCGGTACGTGGAAATGCAAAAAGTTTACCCATATTTGACAAAGTTGGTCCACAAAGTGAGCAGTCGTCGGCGTGTCTCCATGTCCGGCGAGTCTGCAGACAGGGATATCGGGGGAAGGACCTTCATGTTAAACAAGTAGCCGAGTTCGTCGGCGTGTCCGACCCCTGAGGCAAGAGCAAAATGTGCGGCTAGAATGCTGCAATTTCGTCACATTGATGTAGAGGAATGAACGGGAACTTGGAGCTGGAGTCGAGGGGTTACCCACTCGGTACTTGGGCGTACACACGATTCCGGATTCCCGCGATTCCTGAACAAATCTTGCATAAAAGGAGAGGTTTTTGAAGATTTTTCTTAGCTTTTGAGTGTTTTGTGTCTATTACATATCCCTCTCCATTGAAACTTTTAAGATTTTCGATAAAATTTTGAGCAAATTACGAACGATTCCCGGACTGAGTGTACACACGATTCCCGGAGTGGGTAACCCCTCGGCTGGAGTGGCCCTCCTCGGCACCTGGGACAGTGGTGCCCATCAGGCGCTTGATGAAGCCGAGGCGGCCGTCGAACGAGAATCGATACAAGTAGTGTGGTGACTCCGGCCTCTCCGACGCCCAGCGGGCTTCAAGGGCAGCCGCCTCGCGCACGCCGATGTTGAAAATGATGTCCGAATATAACTAGAAAACAGAAATGTTGCTTGAACAAAAAGAATGCCCCCTGTGAGATTTGAACTCACGACCCCTGGTTTACAAGACCAGTGCTCTAACCCCTGAGCTAAGGAGGCAGTTGAAAACACGGATGCAAACATCCGCACCCAATTCAAGCACGGTAGGTATTAAGACGAACGACGGCCCCTGCCCGATAAGGCGCCGCGGGCACGCCGAGCCGACCCAGCGATGGGGCCCCTCCCTGCAGGACTCACGTCGAGAAACACCGGCAGAGTCCGCTCGGCGACGCGCTGCCTGCCGAAGAAGAAGCTGCGGATGAGGTGGCCGGCCTGGCGGACCAGGGCCTCGGGGGGCGGCTGCTGCGCCCAGGGCGTGAAGGGCAGGTCACCGACCACCAGGCCGAAGTCGCGGTCGACGCGCTGCAGCAGGCGCGCCAGACTCCGCCGGTTCATGCCCGCCAACAAGACCATCCCCTCCCTGGAGTTGATCCCCATCATCGTCGGCACGCTCTGGGTCGGAAGCAGTGTTAGTGTCGAGGGAACAGGGCGCGCGGCGGGGCGGGGAGACTGTAAGCCAAGCTGTAAGCGACGCTACCCGGAATGTGCCCTCGGCGAGGGCGGCGGCGGGGCTGCGCGCGAGGAAGCGGCGCTCCAGAGGGTCGGGCTCCTCCACCACGGGCAGCCACTGCAGCGGCCGCATCCCCGTGCCCACGGAGTGCTGGCCGGACAACATGTCATTGCCCAGCCAGTTTGGCGGCCGCCCCTCGGGCCGCCCCCACCCACCCACCGCAACCACGGCCCAGAACCCGGGCCCGCTGAAGGCCGAGGCCGACCGAGGCAGGTAGGCGCCCCCACGGCCCCCCGGTCGCCACCACACGACTACACACGACCCGCCTGCACGCTGTTGCGGGTGCAACTGGGAGCGCACTGCCGGTGCCTAGGGCGCTGGCATTCGATGTAGTTGGATCGAGGTGGATGCAAGTATGCGTGGTAACCAAGAAGCAAATTTGATTAAACCCTCCCTGGCTCGCCCTGCGGCCTGTGCTGTACCGACCGTCATGGTCTCGAAGGCGCCACCCGCCGCGACGAGGTGCTCAGTGGGCACCTTCCTCAGGAACTGGACGAGGTCGCGGGGGTGGTCGGGGCTCCGCGTCGACGGCCAGCCCACGGTGTCAGCCAGCCTCTGGAGGGCGTCGAGTGGTCGGTCCTGCACGGCCCAGGGCAGGATGGCTACTCCACTGCTCAGGATGAGGCGTTGGAACGGGGCGGCGGCGGCCATGCTGTGCATGTGGGCGCCGATGGCGCCAGCGCTCTCCCCCCACACCGTCACCCTCCCTGGGTCGCCGCCGAACCCCGCCACGTTGTCGCGCACCCAGAGCAGTGCCAGCGCCTGGTCGCGCAGCCCAGCGTTGCCCGGCGCACCCGAACCAGGGCCTCCGTACAGGAACCCTGTAGGTCCAATCGACTGTTCGATGCTTGTCGATGGCTGTCGAGCTGTCGGGCTCTAATGGGTCGTGGAAGACGTCGGTGACGTACCCAGCACGCCCAGGCGGTAGTTGAGCGTGACCACGATGACGCCGCGGTCCAGCAGCAGCTCGGGGCCGTACTCCCGCGGCGAGCCGTCGCCGATGAGAAAGCCCCCGCCGTGAAGCCACACCAGCACTGCGGACGCGTTGGAGCCGTCGTCGCCGTCGTCGGCGTCGTCGCGGTGCTCCGGTACGAATACGTTGACGAACAGGCAGTCCTCGTCTTGCTGCAGCGAGCTCCACAGGAGCACCGACACCAGCCGCGGCACGCGCACCAGCCAGTCCAGCACGCCACCCTGGCGGGGAGCCGACAACCCGGTGCTGCAGCCTTGCCTTTCCATTCCATCGCCCTCCAGGCCGCCCGGGCAGTGCACTGACCGCGCTCGTGGGGAAGTTGACGAGGAACGGGTGCGCGCTGGGCTGCGGGCAGATGCGGCCCTCGCACGCCGCGTTGCGCACGCCCCTCCAGGGCCGCGCGGGCCGCGGCGGCTGCAAAGGGGTGCGGGGTCAACTCCCGCGGCCTGGCGCCTTCGCTCTTAAGCCGCGAATCTTCCGCCAGCCCACCGCGAAGCGCAGCCTGCCGACGGGCGGCTCGGCGTACGGGATGCCCTGGAACGCGGCGTAGCGCCGCCCCGACGCGGCGCCGCACCACGCCCCGCGGACCGCCCCGCCGTGCACCAGCCACGCCACCGGCTCTACAACCACAGAGGCACGCCGGAGGCACCGCACCGGTCCGGTCTGTGTCTTTGTCACCCAACACAAAGCACATTGGCAACGGCCTCAAGAGCTGTCTACCCGGCTCCCTGGTCGCGAGGTCCATCCGCAGCGAGGCGGCCAAGAGCACCACCACCAGCACCACGGCCAGCAGCTCCAGCGGCCGCGGCATCTCCGAGCCCTTCTGGGCGGGATGGGGCCTTGTGGTCAGGCCCGTCAAGCAGTCACCTGGCCGAGAATCGGGGCGGGGCGGGGCGCGGGGCGGGGTCGTCTGCAGGGGCTGGGTAGGCCTTCATGCTGCCACGACGCGCAGCAGCGCGCAGCGGGTGGCCTACCCTCAGTTGCACAGGCGCTCCTGTGCGCTGTGCGCTCCCCTCCGTTTCCCCGGCAATCCGCCGTTTGTTGCTTTTTGCCGGGAAATGGGAAATGGATTGACCCACTTTGGGCCAGGAACCCCAGGAACGGTCTAACGAGATTAGAGTTCACCCGACTGAGAGTGGCTGGTCTGCCCCCGACCATCCGATGTTGATGCGTCCAGTCGCCGTGTTGCGTGCGGTGGGGGGGGGGGGGGGCTGCTGTGCTTGTGTTGGTGCACTTGGCCCACTGAGCGGTGGTGCGGTGGCGGCGTGCCTCGCGGCGACACACCTGTCGAGGTCATGGCCAGACCGACAGAGCCAGCAGCGGCAGCAGCGGCAGCAGCGGCCCCACCCCGCACCGCCGCGAGCCGCGAGGACTTGCCGCGCTTTTTGGCCGGGTTTGGGAAACGCACTGTGGAAGAAACCGGAGCGAATACAATGCCTTCCTGTTTTGTGAGCTTCGCTGTTCGTTTCCATGCTCGGCGCGGGGAGAGGGGAGAGAGGGCGGGAGGGGGCGCTTAGCTGCCGCCCAGACCACACTAACACGACTAACACTGAATGGGCGAATGTCGCGCCGTGCCGCGTGCGTGCCGCGTGGCGGCGGCCAGCGTGACGCGATGCGCGATAGCGGACTAACGTCGGGGCGGCATCTCCGACCGCGTGTGATAGTCGTGGCACGTCTCCACATCGCCGCCGAACGCGCCGAACGCCCACAGGCAGCGGGGGCCGCAGTCAAAGACCTGCGCCAGAGGCAGCCAGAGGCAGCCAGAGGCCGTCGCGGAGGAGGGTGCCAACTTCGCGGATGGGTGCACTGGGTGCACTGGGGGCAGCGCACCGCGTATCTCAGACGCGTGGCGGCAAGCTGTAGTGTATGCAACGCCCCCCACCACCACCTCACCCAGGCCCGGCCCGCTCCGGCCCGCCGCGGCAGAAGGCCAACCACAGCAGTCATTCGCACGAACCGTCGAAACGCCTATCGGGAAGATCTGTGTCTCAGCAGTTTCCGTGTGGCCACCGGGCCGCATTTGGATTTTTAGTTAAAGAACTAAAAACTAAAACGTGAGGACCCTGCAGCCCTCTCCCCCGATCGGGTTCGATCGGCCTGCTTAACTTTGGTGTTTGGATGGGACCGGTGTGTCCAGTGGTGCCGCATGGTTTCAGATTCTGGGCCGCTCCGCCAGTGAAAGATGGCCGATGAAGGTGGCAGGCGAGCGTAAAGATGGTTTTTGTCACTGGCCACGGCGCATCCTTGCAGATCATAAGAGCCTTATGATAAGGCCAGATTGACACGTTTCGTCGCAAGTAGTCGAGGAGGCATGCCAAACAATAACGCCTGGTTCTTCGTTTTTGGGGTCGTCTGGAGCACTCTGACCCGCTCCGGTGACCCGCGTGCGGACGGGCCAGCACTCGACAGCTCCCACGCGACAGGTTGCAGCGCCCGGGCACCGCCGGGTTGGGCCGCTGGCGGGGGCTCGCCGCGCTCGAGGGGGGTGAGGTGGGGGGGCACTGCTTGGAGCGGTGCGGGACGGTGGGACGGCGGGGACCCCGGGGACCCCGCCGGCCCCTGCCCTCCGCCTGCAGCCCCCGGCCCGCGTCCCGCTGCGGCTCCCGCCAGCCCCAGCCAGCAGCAAGACGCGCACGAGCCAGTCCGTCGGCGACCTGGCGAGGATTCGGACGTGTCGGCACCGACCGAGCCCCGCCGCGCCACGCCACGCCGCGTCAAAATCGCGTGCGCTCGCCGCGAGTTCGCGTTGACGGACGGGCAGTGCTTCTCGACGACGAGAACCGGACCACCGCAGCAGCAGCAGTGCCCAGTGAAGGCTAGCGTTACGTCGGGCAGGCTGCAAGGACTATGACAGTGGTGCACGTCGAAGTTGACGTCCGTGAGTATTGGCGGCGGACAGCGGAGGACTGTTCAAGCGGCCTTCCTTGTGCAGGGCAGTGCGTGTTGTGTGGTGTGCGCGATCTTGTGTGTGTTTCCGAGAGTGGGTCCTGAAAGCTGGCGCGCATGTTGCGAAGAGGGGCCACTACTCCAGCAAGAAGCTCTTGTTCCGGCCGAAATGTCTTTAAATTAATTAGGCTCATTAGAGAAACAGTCTTTATATCCATAATTAGGGAATGGCATGTTCGGCCTACCACTGTCGATTTCCCCCTCTTTCCTCGACCCAGACTGGGGCACGGACAGGACAGCACATCCTTTTGTATAATATATAAAGGCAATCGATCAAACGAGTGAGACCGTTTGTGCGAACCGCTGCAACAATTATTTCTCAGCAGTGTCTCCTCCGGCCAGTGTCTCTTTTGAGCATTGCGTTTGGCTAAAGATTTCACTCGAACCAAGTGATACTCGCGCTACGCAGCAACAGTCATAATAAGTGCAGATCATTAAAAGGTGCCGTCATTAAAACGACAACTGTGCGAGTATTTTTTACCCTGTAGAACTAAAGATAAAAACAATAAATGTCTCATTATAATTTGTTTTTTAAAAGCAAAAGAAGGAAACAAAAGACAAGCTGCGAATTTATTGTTAATTTGCGGTTCTTAGAAACGGCTATGACTGTCTAAATGCGTGCAGAGTGGAAGGGGGAGGGGAGATCGCGGAAGCTTTCAGAAGTTTTCATAACTGCGGACGCAAATACTAGATGATCCTGCAGGAGGCCTCGTCCGAAAACCGTATGACTTCTCCTGGAGGGTCGAAAATGGCACTCGACACGAAGAAGTTGGTCTAAGTTGTTGAAAAGTTGGGAAGATGTCTAGGCCGTGGGAAGGGGGTGGGGCACGTCTCGCGTGCTTCTTCCAGGAAGGCAGACCGTCACACAGCGTGGCACGGCTTAGCAGTGTGCAGGGCGGCGCACGCTGCCCACCCTCAGCCGCTCATGGCCCTGGGCCTGGGCACAGGGCCATGGCCCCTCCCTAACTGTTGCGTTTGTACCTGTTGCGTCCTTTGCAGGTTCCTAGTCGCCACCGCGCCCATCGGGACGCGTTCCCTCCAGCAGCTGGCCCTTGCCGTCCACGCAGCGGGACGCTGCGCCACTCTCTGTTGCCCCGAGACAGCCTAGACAGGCTAGACAGCCGGCCGGTAAGACGAGACGAGACGGGGCACCTGCTGTCCGAGCGAGCGAGCGTCCACGCCGAGGGTCATTGCTTGGTAGCCGCGCTTGTTGGCTTGTCGGCGCCCGGTGCGTACACCCATGGCGCACGCCCCTGGCACGGCACGGCACGGCACGGCACGGCACCCACGCGCGGCGGGCAGTCAGACGTCATCCACTGACGCGCGCCGCGGGGCCGCCTGGTGACGGAGACGGCCCCGCCCATCCTTTCCTCCGGCGGGGCAGAGGCTGATGTTTGGCAGTCCGTTGGCCCGCTTGCTTCTCGCTTGCTTCGTTGTTTGCGTGCTTCATTCCGCAGCTCCAGCTCCACGACTCCATGACGCCTGGAGACAGCACGGTGGCGGGGGCACGACAGCGTGTGTGTGTGGGAGGGGGGGGGGGTCGCGTTATCGCGTTTTGCTGAACACACGGCAGTGGCGCCCCGACACTACGTAGTGCAGCCTCTCAAGTTCAAGTTCCAATCATCATGCGATGCAACCATGGCCCACGATATGCAGGCGCGTCGCGCGGGATGCCTATCTCTGCCTGCTAGGCGTTTTAGCTGCATCGCCTGCAAGAATCTGCCTATCAGGCTGTATCACTGACGGGGGTCAGAGGGCTCCGGGGCCGAGGCCGGGGTTGGGGCAGCTTGACACGTCCTCTGAGGTTCGCAAAAATTAACGGCGACGGTGGACGAATCATTGAAGACAGGCGAGAATCGGGGCCAATCACCTGACAGGCTGGAGACAGCGGCGGAGGAGCCTCTGTTTGGGGCAGTGCCGCGTTTTTCTCTGGGCGGACTGTTTGGGTCGGGACTGGTCGGGTCAGGGCAGCCAGACGCGGCCACGCGGCCACGCGGCCAGACGCCAGGGCGGCCAGGGCACACATGATTCCGATGCTCCCTCGGGGCGCCACACAAATGTTGACGCGCGGACAGAGAAATTTGGGACGTTTCCAAACAACGCCGTGAGCGCAGTGCCACGTGCCTTTCAGAGGCAGGGAACTGGAAAAGGGGGGGGGGGTCTGCTTCTCGTATTGACGAAGTTTAGCGCCTTGCGGCGTTAACAGAGACAGTGGCTGTGCACACGCGTGCAGAGTTTCTTACTGGTTTCTCCATACAGATCTTACTCCGCTGGAAACAACTTGTGTTCAGTCACCAATGGAGACTTTCGCTCACATGACTCACAACAAGAGACGCTTGTGACAACGTTTTTCGTAGGTGTGTCTGTCGAACTCTCTTCGAGCTCTCGCTCTTGGCTGCCTTGACCGCCGCCGCCCCGCACCCCGCGTTGGTTTGTTAATCAGGCTGCATCGACCAGCGTCTGACGTGTCTCCTCCAGCTTGTTGTCACGTCACCGTGTAGTCCGTCGGCGTCGCCGCCGCGCTGCCTGTGTTTTGTCGCCGCTGTGGTCGCGGGGAATGTGGCTAAAACGCTGAAGCTCGCCGAAGTCACGTTGCCGGCGGCATGTCCCAAGGCATGCCCCCACACGGCCCGGCGCGGCCCGCTTCGATGATGTACGATGACGGTATTGGGTTCCTCCGCCCGATTTGCATGGCCCGCGCGACGCGCGTGGTGGCGGAAAAAAGACCATGCGCTCAGCAAGGGGGAAACAACTTTCGTCAAAGCATAATGTGAAATAACTCGAATAAACGGCGGTTGACCTACAATTGAAATCATCCGAATCGCGGAGAATTGAAGGTCGCGCGTTTAGTAAATTCACAAGTTGCTTCCCTGTGGCAGGCGCGGCTGCTCTGCTTGGTGTTGGGTTTTGGGATCGCTTGCCTGGCTGCCTGCGTGCCTAGAGGCGTGCCTGGCCCGTGGCCTGGCCGCCCGGCCTGTGGAGGGAAGACGCGTCTCTATTATCAAGTCCATCATTGATCCCCTCTATTATGTGTCCCGGTGCTCTGCGTGCTTGACCTATTGTTTCGACTCGCTGCAGCTCGGCCGTAGCCTCGCGTAGCCTCGCGTAGCCTCGCGTAGCCTCGCGTAGCCTCGCGTAGCCTCGCGTAGCCGGTTCATCAATAAGCCGTTCGCTGCGCGACGCCACGCGGCGCCACGCGGCCACACCCTGCAAAACGAACCATTTCATCGAGGAAACAGACGAGGATTTTCGTCTGGCGGGAAAGTGAGCGGAATAGTTCCGGAAGCAAAATGACAGCTCTTTCAGAAATGCATGCGGGGGCGGTGGTGCTGCGCGCCACGGTTCGAAGTGCTGCCAGAGCTCAGCCACAGCCTAAATTTGGTATATATTTTGTCATTTATGGCTTCCAATATTCTCACCTCCACATCACAAGATTTGTGGAGTCCCCTTAGTGGACCGACTGTACATAAATTGGATACTTTCTTTTCTTTCTAAAAGAATCTTGACTCTCTAGAAGCCATTTTTCAGGGTGGGGCGGTGGAAGGTGCCGGGTGATGGTGGTGGCGGTGTTGGATGCGGTGATGGCGGCGGCGGTGGCGCTGGTGGTGGCGGACACCCTGCTGCGGCAACGTGTGCTCTGGGGTAAGTACTGCGCAATATTTGAACGGGTTGTCTGTTGCAGACGAGATGAAGCTGACTCTGGGAACGACGGGGGCCAAGCCGGCCGACAAGCCGCTGCCGGCGGACGGGGCGGATGGGGCGGATGGGGTCAAGAGAGCGCCGCCGGCCAACCAGGTAGGGAGCGCACCGCGAGCCGCTAGCCGCGGGCCACACACGCCGCGGCAACGCCACTGGCGGCCACTGGTGGGGCGCGAGCGGCTGCCCGTTGCGGCGGCGAAAGGCGAATGGGAAGAAAATACGTCCACAACACGGCCGGTATTTGAACCGGCGCGCGAGGCGCGCGAAAACGACGACGACTCGCTTGTTGTTCGGTCCTCGTCCAGGAAACAAGGCGCGGCGCGACGCGTCGCGGTTCCTGCTCGAATACGCGCGGCGCGGCGACCTTGCCTCGCCTCGCCTCGCCTTGCCGCCTGTTTTTCTATTCCGCTGTTTTCCGCGCGCGGTGCCGCGGAGAGTCTGCCGCGCTGCTGCCTTGCCTGCCGGTGCTCGTGTCCGGCGGTCGCGTCGCGTCGCGTGGGGCGGGGCGGGGCGGGGCGGGGCGGGGCCGGGCGGGGCGGGGCGGGGTGGGGCGGGGCGGGGCGGCCCGGGCGGCGCCGTGCACGTGCAGCAGTCCGATGGGCTGATAACGCTTCGCCGCGAGCCACCCTCGCGAGGGTCACGCGGCGGTCGCCTGACCCGCTCATGACCATCCTCAGTGATTCCGCCGATTCCCCGAAAGTTCCTCTTTTTCGGTGACCCTTCCCCCCACCCCTCGTCCCCGCGCCGCGTTGCTTGATAATTGAACGCCGCGCCGGCGTCGCGCCGTCCAGACCGGCCGAGAGCGAGAAAAAAAGGAGGAACAGGGAAGTGTCTCCCAAGTCGAAACGAGAGTTGAAGCGGGTGTCGCTTGCAGACGGCTAAGCAGACCTCGCCGGCAAGAAGGAAAGGGTGGGGGAGGGGAGGAGGTCGAGTTTTGCTAGCGATAATTATTGTCGGCTGCTTCGCGCGTCGAAGGAGGCGCGCTGTGCTCCGGGGCCGGGATGAGGCTGCCGAAAGTGGCCGGATGAATCGATGATGCCGACCGAGGCCGAAGCTCCAGCTGCGTGCTGCATCCCGGTCGGGAAGAGAAAAGTCTAGACGGCGGTAACACGATTCCGGCCGCCCAATCACACGGTGCTCGCGACAAAGACAAGGAGAGGAACTCTGTGGATCAGATTGAGAAGGGGGAAGTAGAACAAGGGGATGATGCGATGCAGGCGTTCGTAATGGTGAAACGGAAATTACCTATTTCGTGGGGAAAGGCTCTAGGCTTAGGCTTTCCTCAAAAGGAGGTGGCGGGGAGGCAGTGTAGTGACAACGTTACAGCTATAAAAGTGCTTTCCGTTCCGTGGGATCCTGAACCCGCCAAGTTGACCGCGGTGGGAACAACAACCCGCCTAGCTCGGATTGGAGTGGGGCGGGCCTTTCCGCCGCGCCGCCGTAGATCATTTTGTGCGGAGGATTCCGCGGCGGTGCGAAGCGAGGCGAAGATAGGCGTCATCGTGAACTGGTTCCGCTCTTGCTGCTCAAATCGCCATTTGTTTGGTTGTTTGGGCGAAGCTGGAGCGCGCCGTGCGACCGACTAGCCCAGTCAGTGCGCCAATGGCAATGCAGGATGGCAGTGGCTCCAGTTGCCTGCACGGCATGTCCGTCCGAGCCTCGGTCCGAGCCGAGTGCGGGTGTCCTGCTTCTCCACGCCGGGCACGCCGGCCACGCCCCGCCGCCGGCCCTTGGGCAACACCCGTCGCCGTGGCCGGCGGGGCGCGCGGGGCGCGCGGGGCGGCTCACTGACCTCACCATGTGACCAACACCGCTCATGTTCCTCTTTTCCGCGGTACGAATCGCGGGCCGTCACGTGGTTAAACTGGTTTGCACCCCTCCCCCTTCCACTGCCCCCCTCCCTCCCCGCCTCTTCCCTTCCATCCTGACATAATTCCTCGATACTCATCCAGCGTCGCGCCAACATCGGCCTACAGCTGTAGCCCGCCGGGCTGTGGCGTGGCGTGGCGCGGCGTGTGTGGCGTGGCGTTTGTGCCGTGGCGTGCGTGGCGTGCGTGGCGTGGCGGGGCGTGGCGGGGCGTGCCGTGGCGCGTGTGGCGTGCGTGGCGTGGCGGGGCGTGGCGGGGCGTGGCGGGGCGTGGTGCGGAGCGGTGCGAGGGCCGATATGTGCCAACCGGGGTTGGGCAAACCGCTGCGGGTACGCGGAAATCTCGGCGGGGCGGCCACTGCTAATCAACGGCAGTGCGGCAGCCGGTAGCGCCAAAGTAAAGGCGCAGGACTCTTCAAAGGAGTTCCCTGGCGGTCCGGAGGTCCGGAGTCGCCTCAAAGCTACGTACACGGCGCAGTCCTGTGTTGACACTGCGCCGGTGGCAACTTCGTGTTGACCACGGTCGCCCGTGCTCTGAGGCTAAGGTCGAAATCTAAGACGGCCCGTCCGACTGCCACAGACATCCCTCTTTGTGTGTCGTCGCTGCCTCCGTCCCTGTTAGCACTGCAACTCCTCTCAGTGCGAGAAAGACGACGCCGTGCCTCGTGGCCCCCTCCCCCTCCCCCTGGCTGACCCCGCGCCACCCCGCGCCACCCCGTGCCTCATGCGTTGGTGTGGTGTCTGCCCCCGGGCGACAGGCCGGCCGTGCGTTGCCGTGCGTTGCAAGGTCGCGCTCGTTGCACCTGACCTTCCGGCCAGCTGCGCTGCACGGCGCTGCACGACGCTGCACGGTGCTGCACGGCGCTGGACGGCGCTGGACGGCGCTGCACGGCGCTGCACGGCGCTGCACGGCGCTGCACGACGCTGCACGGCGCTGCACGGCGCTGGACCCGCTCGATAACCAGTGCGATGCGCCTCGGAATAGCAGAGTGGGCGGACGGAGAACGAGAGCTTCAAGCGACAGTGACGCGGCACGGCCGCAATAATTAAACAACGCTCGCCGTCCACCGCGCCGTCGACCGCGCCGCTACCTCGGCCAATTAGTGGACACGGTGCAGCGCGGCACGGCGCGGCACGGCGCGGCACGGCACGGCGCGGCACGGCGAGGTGCGGCGCGGCGACGCATTCAGATCGAGGCGACACAACGGCCTGTTACCCTAGTGTAATTATACATTGCATTTGTGTGCCGCGGGGCGCGGGCTCGCTGCCAGTGTCGCGGGCCTCGAAGGTGCGCGTCGTTCAGGTTGCGGTGCCTCGCGGCGCCTTGCCCTTGGACTGGGGGCACGGCAGTGGCGGGCTCTAGGCCCTACACTGGCGGGAGAAAGCGTCGCCGCCCCACTGGGAACTAAACCTTGACTGGCACGTGCATTGTCAACTAATCAGATGCGACCGCCACGCCCGCCGCGTCGAGCCTCACCTTGGGGGCGCTGGGGCATGCCGATGCCATTCGCGCCCCGCCATTCATTCGGTGCCGAGCTGCCGAGCCGAGGCGCTGCGGAGTGCACCCCCCCCCCCCCCCCCCGTTCCCGCCGTGTCCCCGCCGGCCCCGCCACCACGGTGGCTTGCACACAACCAGCGCCTCCTTCATAAGCCTTCCGAGGCTCGATGGCTGGCGCGGGCAGCGCCCCGGCCGCTGGACACCACGGTACCTACCAGGGACGCCGAGGGGGACGCGCCGCCGGGACCCTTGGCGGGAAGTAGGTCAGCGGGCGGGGCGGCGGGGCGCTGCGGGATGCGGCCGTGCGGTTTCTCGGCGCACACACGCACGCACCGCGCGGGGCGTATTGTCGTCGGCAGCCTGTTGAAGTGGCTCTGGCGGCCAGGCGCGACCAGGGCGACTCGCCACGGACTGGGTCAGCCTGGAGGGCCTGGACGGTCTGGACGGCCTGGACGGCCTGGGGGGCCTGGCTGGGGCCGCAGCAGGTGCAGAGGGCGGCTGGGCTGCAGCCGACTGCAGCCGCTGGAAACTGGAGATTCGAGGACTGTTTGCGAACGGTGCGAGGCGTCCAGTGCGTGTGCCACCATTTCATTACGCACAGCGCCCGTTTGAGTTCCACGAACGTTTGCCAGTGCCGCGCGCGCGGGCCTGGAGCGGTACGGCGTTTGGCGTTCGGCTGCTCATGCGGACGGGCGGACGGGCAGGCGGTCCGCACGGATGGACACGGGACGACTCGCGTGTTCAGAGTGCACTACACTACCGCTCCCACCTCTCTTCCTTTGACATCAAAACACTCGTCTCTGATTGGCTGCCGGATCGATGCGCTGGCAGAGCGCGGCTGGACGGGCTGCACAGACGGCACTGGATGGGACCGAACCTGCGTAGAGCGACCCCTCAGTGGATGACGATGTCCTTCCGTTTCTCCTTCTCGCTGGCCGCGCTGGGGACCGACCGCAGCGAGGCGCCAGGCCCGGCCGGGCCAGCAGCCCGCACCCAAACGGGGTCAGTACGAGGCGGTGGCCTCTAGGTGGCCCCCTTGAGGGTGTCCGGGTCGCACCCGTCGGACCGGCAAAATACCGCACAGCCACTCAGCCCGGTGTGATTGAGTCGGGCCCTCGGTCGGGCCCCACCCGGACCGGCGGCACAGGCCATCCCGCGCAGTGTGCTAGAAGACTTTCCGTCGAACGAGTGTTACTTTTTCAGCTGTACAGCCTCCACCAGGACTCGAATCAAACATATTGCCGACGTCACCGACGTATTTCCCGTTTCGAGGGCAATCCATTAGGTTGCTGTTTGAGGACCTCGGATTCCGAGACATGTGTCCCCCTCCCCTTGCGGTGAGCTCCAGCCTGGCCGTGGCGCCGCGGCCTTGGCTCGGGCCTTGGCTCGGGCCTTGGCTCGGCCTTGGCCCCCACGTGAAGGGCGCGCAGCGCGCAGCCAGCGTGGCGTGGCGGGCGGCGCGGTGCATGGTCAGTGGGTGCAGGGTCGCAGTTAAGAATAGGAGCGGCGTGGCGCCGGCCGGCCCGGGGGCCCGGGGGGCGGAAGCGGGCGGAAGCGAGCGCTGCATGGCCTCGGGGCGGGGCGAGGGGAAGGGCGAGCCGAGGGAGGGACATCGGGCCGATGCGATGACGGCCCGCGAGGTGGCCGGGATGAGCGGAAATTGCCGGGAAATAAGCAAAAAGCGCGATAAACGAGCCCGAAGAATCGGACCGTGTCCGCGTCGCCGCCACGGAAAACAACTTTTGGCTTCCAATCCCATCGCTGTCGCGAATGGACCGTGGCGCGGGGCCACGCGGGGCCCGGCAGTGACGCACCGGGCCTCGCGAGCCGAGAGCGCCCTCCAGGGGTGTCGCCGGCGGGAGAGCCGCGATGTGCTGGAGGAGCCCGCACAAGGGGCGAGCTCGGGCGAGTAAGTGCACGGCACACGAGACGAGGCGAGTGCAAAGCCTCGGCTCAGCCCGGGCTCAACCCAGCGGCGGCAGCGGCAGCATGGCTGGGGTATGACACGGCAAGAAACGCGGCGCATGGGATGGAGTTGGCGAGGTGCGAAAGCAACGAGTTTGATCGCCCCCCCCCCCCCCTCTCCGCACGCACTCCCTCCTCTCCCTCCGCGCGGCGTTCGCAGCACGGCCAGGCGGTGCAACAGGCAGGCATGGCAGGCACGGGCACAGGTTGCGTCGCGCGACGGAGCGTCACAAGGTCTGTTTGACTTGCGGTTCACTGCACGCACGCCCGCGTGGCGTGGCGGCGATGCCGCGTTGGACAGATATTCGAATCAGCAGTTTTGGGGCTGCTCGGAGGGCGTGCCTGGGGCGTTGCGCGCGCGCTCTTGCAGTCGCTCACCGTCGCCGAGCTGCTCCGCAACGCTCCGCACCGCGCTGGCCCGCCGTCGCCGTGCCGCCGCCGACATGGCGTTCGAGTGCCACTTGGTCGGTCAGAGCTGTGACTCTACTAGCGCACCAGCAGCTGGAGCGCGCCTCGGAAGACTTGCACTTCGGCGTACTGATTTCTGAGTGCACTGCAGTGGCCGCTCTGACGGGTTTGTCCGCTGGTATTCACACCGGGTGGTTTTCTGTCACCAGGAGGATGACAGCATCGAGAGGCTCATGGACTGCAACGGCAACAGCAAGGATGCCGACGGCGGGTCTTCCCTGGCGAGCTCGGCGATGTCCAGCCCCGCCAAGGCCGCGCGGTGCGGCCCGTTCTGCGACGGCAAGGGGCGCCCGCTGCTGCTCACCTACAACGAGGCCCCGCCCTACCTGCAGTTCAACCCGTTCATACTGTCCGGCTACCGGGGCTACCTGTCCACCAAGATGTGCATCGAGAGGTAAGTGGCGAGGCGACGGGAGCCAAAGCACCGGCAGCGAACCCTAGCGCTCACCAGTGCCTCCTCTTTCCCCTGCCTCCAGTGTCTTCTGGTGGACCAACGAGACCATCAACATCTGGAGCCACATCTTTGGATGGATGCTGTTCCTGGGGCTCACCCTGTACGACCTGCTCTTGCTCAACTTCCACGCCTCCACCGTGGACAAGGCCATCGTCGGCGGGCTCCTCATCTGCTTCCAGGCCTGCATGATCTTGTCATCGCTATACCACACCTTCTCGTGCAGATCCGAGAAGGTGTACGACTGTTTCCTCACCTACGACCTGTTCGGCATCTCCCTCAGCCTGCTGGCCATCTACATGTCGGGCATCTACTACGCCTTCTGGTGCCACAAGGTGAGGCCTGCGCCGCGCTGTGAAAGCACTGCTACTTTTCTGACCCGATTCTAACACGCAATTCACTCCACCAGGCCTGGCAGACGTTCTACTTGACCACAGTGGGGCTCATCTTCGGGCTGGCCATGTCGCTCCACGTGCCCCGGGTCGGCGCCTCGGCCAACATGAAGCTGTTCACGTTCGTGGGATGGGCGGCCTACGGTGTGGTGCCCACCTTCCACTGGACCGTCGTCATGGGCGGGCTGGACAACCCCATGGTGCAGGTGAGGCTCGCCGCGCGACAGGGCAGACAACCGCCCCCTCGTTTTCCTTGTCTCGGCGTCATGCTGGTCACCGTGCTGGTCACCGTGCTGGCTGTGGCTGCGTCCGAGCGATTCGGGCCGCCCAGCCTGGCCCGGCCCGGCCTAGCCTGGCGGCGCTGGGGCACAATGGCCGCGTCCAGGCCGCGTCCAGGCCGAGTCCAGGGTGACAAAGCCTTGTCGGGGAAAGGCGCCGGCCGGCCCGCCGCGACACCTGCTGCCTGCAGCGTGCTTGCCGCCCGCTTGCCGCCCGCTTGCCTTTCTTCGCCGCGGCCCGGCCGGACTCTCCCTTTCGTCCTGCAGTGCCCGCGGCGGGACTGCGGCGGGGATGTCGCGGACTTTGGGCTCCAGGGGCCTCCAGGGGCCTCCAGGAGCCTCCTGGAGAAAGTCCGCCTCGTCATCGACATTGCCTTGTCACCTCAGGGGGCGTCCTGGAACCGCGTCGCGTCTAACGGCACTGTGTACCACTCCGTCCGTTTTCTGCAAGTTGGTCGTTGCGAAACCAACCTATATGAAAATGAATCTCAAACTGTTCAAAGTCCCCCTCCAACATAGAAATGACACATCATTTCAATATCGATTTTAGCTGCTTGCGTGCAACCACTCCTTTCTCCTCGAATAGTGCTATCTCTGCGACAGCGAAGCGGCTTTCACGAACCCTTCGGAGCACTGAGATTCCAAACGCTATGAGTATAGCACGTATGGTGCAATGCGCTGTGATATCGCACCATACGTGCAATGCCACAGCCATATTGCACCTTTGGTGCAATGCTTCCCGAAAATGCCCTATGCTAATGCATGGGAATTTGGAGGCATTGCACTTCATGTGCAATGCTTTTGTATTGCACCAATTGACGCTATACTCATAGCGTTTGGATTCTCAGTGAGCGTCAGCATTGTAAATGTGTGTGGTACCGGACGTCCTGGGGCCTGCACCGCGAACTAGGTCGCTCATAACGTATTGAAGACTGACCCAGCAGGGCATCAGGACAGCGGGCAGCCCCAACAGAAAACGCGACCCGCCCGCCGGCCAGCGGGGCCGGAGAGGTCACTCGGGGGACGGCAAAGACGGGGCAATTTGCCATGAAAATCTTATGAGGTCTAAATGCGCCACACGCCGTCCGCGATACGGTGACGAGGTGAGCGGAAATCGCGTTCCCCTGTCCCTGTCTCGTTCTGCCGCTACCGGGCAGAGAGACGCATCGCGTGAGGAGCGCCACTTTTAATAGTTTTATTGCCAACTTCCGGGGCGCTTAGCAGTGTACCACTTCGGAACTGCAGTGCGGTAGAGGCAGCGCGTACAATGCAAGGTGAGGCACGGCCGCATGCACGGGCCGGCCGGCCTGGGCTGTGTTCGGCTACATTGCCGCTCGCTCTTCCTTTTCGGCTGACCGTGGCGCCGTCCTGCTTCCTCGTAAGTTTGCTTTTGACCAAATAAGTGGCCTCACGTGTTTAAGTTTTGCAACGGGATGCTGAAACCAGAAACTGGACCGGTTCTGTGTCTTCACCGCCGTCTATGCTGCAGCCTCCACGCGCCCCGCTCCCCGCGTCCCTCCCCGCGTCCCTCCCCGCGTCCCTCCCCGCGTCCCTCCCCGCGTCCCTCCCCGTTTCCCTCCCCGCGTCCCTCCCCGTTTCCCTCCCCGCGTCCCTCCCCGCGTCCCTCCCCGCGTCCCTCCCCGCGTCCCTCCCGCGTCTCTCCCCGCGTCCCTCCCCGCGTCTCTCCCCGCGTCTCTCCCCGCGTCCCTCCCCGCGTCCCTCCCCGCGTCTCTCCCCGCGTCCCTCCCCGCGTCCCTCCCCGCGTCCCTCCCCGCGTCTCTCCCCGCGTCCCTCCCCGCGTCTCTCCCCGCGTCTCTCCCCGCGTCCCTCCCCGCGTCTCTCCCCGCGTCCCTCCCCGCGTCCCTCCCCGCGTCCCTCCCCGCGTCTCTCCCCGCGTCCCTCCCCGCGTCTCCCCCCCGTCCCTCCCCGCGTCTCTCCCCGCGTCCCTCCCCGCGCCCCGCTCCCCGCGTCTCTCCCCGCGTCTCTCCCCGCGTCCCTCCCCGCTTCTCTCCCCGCCGCAGGCTGGCGGCTGGCCTTCTGTGTGCGTTGGGCTGCCTACCCGGACGGCGCCACCGCGCCAGCCACCGCGCCCTCGCCCACTGCCCACTGCCTGACGCCGACATGTTTGTTGTTGCAGCTCCTCCTGCCCCGGGTCATGGGCATGTACGCCATCAGCGGCGTGGCTTTCCTCATCTACGTCACTAAGTTCCCCGAGAGGCTTCTCAACGGTGAGTGTGCAGTTTGCGGCAGTTTGTAGCTGGAGGCTGGGAAAGCACAGCCTGTTTCGCTGTTCTCGGTTTTGACGGTTTTGCCCTGGTCGCTGTTGCAGGCAGCGTGGACTACCTCGGCCACTCGCACCAGTGGTGGCACCTGCTCGTCGTTCTGGCCCTGTACTACTGGCACAACACCGGCATCCAGTACGTCGAGTACCGCATGAACCACGGCTGCGGCTACAACGGCTGAGCCGGATGGGTCACCTACCCCCCAGGCGGGGCCACTGCCAGCAGACCAGCAGGCCAGCAGGCACAGCCGAAGACGTTCTCTCTCCTCCTCCTTGAGCTGCGAGCCGACGCAGAGTGTTCTCTCGGCGTCCACGCTGGCGTCCACGCTGGCGTCCACGCCGAGGACACGAGTGCCGCGGGCAGTCCGTCGAGGGAGCGCAGCGCGCAGCCCTTGTGTCTTGGGCGGCAGCATGCGCCACTGCAACATCACCACGAAGCGCGGCCGCTCTTTGAAGCTACCTATTTAGTCTCGTAATGTATTTGATCATTTTTTGTGATGTGCGCGCGTGCGCGTGTGTGTTTGCATGTGTTTGATTGTGCGTGCGTATCGGTGCGTGTGTGTGAGTGTGCGCGCGCGTTTGTTAATGAGATTTCGAAGGCGCGAACTACATTGCGCGAACGCTAGTCCTTGATGGCAAAGGAAGATTTGCTGCGATTATGAATTAATTCTTGTCATTGTTAATGTTGTCTCTACTCTGTCGAAGAATATGCATGTTTCTTGGGTGTGATTTATCTGTGTTAGTGTTAGCGTCGACGAGTGAACCTCGTTCATCTCAGAAGACTTGCCAGCACCCCTGTGATTTTGCTCAACTGTCGGGCAAATGCCCCATTCCTTTGCCCTGCTGTAGTTACCAACATTTTGGTTCCTTCTCGCTACTTGACCCGTGTATCCCTAGAAATAAACGAAGTAGCTGCGTTTTCCAGTGGCTGCTTCTCGTTGCCCCATATGTTGTCAAGTTGAAACTGCGAGCCGTGAGACGGCGGACAGAATGACCGTGTATTCATAGCAATAAACGAAGTAGCTGCGTTGCCCAGTGGGTGCCTCTCGTTGCGTCATATGTTGTCAAGTTGAAACTGCGAGCCGTGAGACCGGCGGACAGAATGACTGTTTAAATGCGGCGAATTTTTGATCTTTACTCTTTAACGTTCGTAGTTTGTTACAGTGCCATAACTGTAGGATGGCCCATGACCCACTGTGCATTTTAGGATAATTTCCAGTGTGCTAAAGTATGTTGCGAAACATTAGTTAGTTTCTCAATGTTTAAGTCTTAAGCCAAACTCTCCAGCTCTCTAAATAGATGTCTAGGTGATTGTAGTTAGTGTTGATTAATTAAATTATTTGTGGTTGTTTGATGCACTCTCGTGCTACGTTATCTCATACATGTTATTACTTATGACAAGGTAGAACTGGTGGTTTTCCTTGTGCATGTTAATTACAAAAAAAATAAAACTCATAAGTGTTTTCATACATTTTAATGTCGTTCTTTGTCAAACTGTTCCCTAGCAATAGTAACACAGTAGATATGGCACAAAGTAGTCAAGCGGCGTAGTTGAGAATAACAACCGCATGAGATCAAAATGAATTGGAACGTCACAACACGATGGAGAACGCAAGCCCTAGACACAGGAACGGTCACGTCGCGGCAGACTGCTGAGTCTGCGGCTACTGGTAGAACGCAGGGGCCGAGGGGGCGAGGTGCCTGTGTGCCTCTGTGTGCGTGTGGTGGTGAGCCACCACGGCGGTCACGGGGGCCGCGAGGACCGCGGGGACCGCCACAAACCCTGAGTCTGCGGCACCAAAATGACAAGGGGCTCGCACTGCTCTTAACAAAGTCAGTTTGCCGCTGCGGCGCAGGGAGGCACGCCGCGCACGGAAGGTCGGCGAAGTCCGCGACACCGCGAAGGTCGTCATCGAGTACCTGAGTACGGCGAGTACGGCCCGTTGACTGCGGCGACGGGGATCGGCGCCGCCACGCCCACGGGGACGACTGCTCCGCCGTGCTGCTGCTGCTGGTAGCCGCCGTAGCCAGCGGGCGCGTAGCCACCGCCGTAGCCCGGGCCGCCGTAGCCCGGGCCGCCGTAACCCGGGCCGCCGAAACCCTGGGCTCCAAAGCTACCGCCAGGGCCGCCGAAGCCTGAGGGACCGCCATACCCCGGCTGCCCACCGAACCCTGAGGGGCCGCCGAACCCTGACGGGCCTCCGTATCCTGGAGGGCCGCCGTACCCCTGAGGACCGCCATATCCCTGGGGGCCGCCGTACCCAACGGGGCCTCCGTAGCCGACGGTGCCGCCGTAGCCCCCTGCAGGGCCTGCTGGGCCTGCAGGGCCGGTGTAGCCGGAGCCGGGGCGGGCGATGACGGGCACGGGGGCGGCGAAGCCCACGGGGACCACGCCGGCGGCGCGGGCGGAGGCAGCGGCCAGCGCCAGGACGACTGCAACGGCCTGGCGATGGGGGACAAGAAGGTCGCCGTTAGGCTCGACGTCGCGGTAACGTGGACGCCACTCTGGTCGCCGGGCTGCTCACCAAAGGATGCATCTTGACGCGGAGGACGCTCGCAGCTGGAGTGGTGGCGATGTGAGTATGCCGAGTGTTTTGAATTCGGGCTATTATTTATAGACAAGCAGAGAGGTGGGGGCCTCCAGGACGCCTCCAGGATGCCTCCAGGCCCTTGGTGGGGGTCTAGGACGGGAAGGGCTCCGCGCTGCTCCGCGCTGCTCCGCGCACCTTCAAGGGCAACTCCAGCTTCCAAGGGCACTGGCCGAAGGGCCCTGCACGTGCAAGGCGGTGCAAGGGCCTCCCAGCCTCGAGGCGTGGGGTCCTTGCACTCCACGCGGGTCCGGGGATTCCCCGTCTCAGACGCAGTCGGGCGATGGACTTGGTCCTTAGAAAACGATTTGGGATTGGGATCTGTTCATTCTGTTCGTTAGCTGGCGGAATTCCGGGACTTCTGAGTGGAATACCAGCGACCAGGAGAGGGCCCTATTGAAAAATGTATTCTTTCAGCGCCACTCCAAGCCAGAGTCACGAGGCCTTCGTCTTAGATTTAGATTTACATTGTGGGTGTAGGCTTACATATTTGATGTTATTGAAGTCAGTGTCACCAGAAATCCCTTCCTCGGCCTGGGAGGAAAAGGGGGGGGGGGAGGTGAGCGCGGTGGATTTTGGCGGAGCCCGGGTCTCCACCCGAGCACCGAGCTTTTGCTAATAAGCCCTGAGGCGCGTGTTTGACTGAGTCAAACTAAGTCAAACACGCGCTAGACGCTGCGCCGCGATGCACCGGGCGCCATGGTGAATATGCATCGCGCTCCTGGCCTGATTCGGCCTGCCACAATTGTCTCTCTGCGAGGTTCGCCAACCTCCCGCTGATTTCGGCTGCCGTTAACTTTGGTGAATGCACTAATGGCGGGGCACTGCTGCGTGCGCGTCCTCGTCCAGCGGCCCCCTCGCCTGGCTCCGTGACTGGCCCAACTATTATATGTGTTTTGACGCCCCTCTCCTCCTACCCCCTCCAGGGCCCCGCTGGACAGCGCGGTGCATCTCCGGCTGCACCGCTCCGCGGGCTCCGCGGAGGGATCGACCGAACCTGCCGCGGCGGGTGAACGAACTCCTCCTGGAAATAATGCAGCGGCCGCTATTTCGGTTTCGGTCTGGCCTGACGTCCTCGGGATGGAGTGCTCGCTCGCTGCTCGCTCCGCGGCGCGTCACCGTTAGAGAGGTGGCATGGAGTGCATCGCCCATGCACGCTTCGCCAAAAAGACTTCCGATTCGAAGAGCGCCGGCCGTAGGTCCTGCGCCCTGCGGCCTGCGGCCCATGAAAAACCTGAAATCTGCTGCGATCGCTCTGGTGGAGCTACGAGGAGCTTCCAACGCGCGCGGCTTTGTCACCCTGAAGCCCGCGGCTCCGCGGCTCCGTGCACCGGCGGCAATGGCAAAGTCGGCAAAGCCCCGGCCGTGTTTTGGCCGTGTTTTGGCCGTTCCCGTTGCTGACCACTGGAGCCGGCGACGCAGGCGCGGGCCTGCAGGCCGCCTCGAAAAGCCTTACGGTACCTCCGGCCGCCCTGCGTCCCGCCCTCCGCCCTCCGCCCTCCGCTCCGCGGCCCTTCGGGGGCCCTTCGGGGGGCCCTTCGCCCGCTGCTTGCAGCCTTTAAAAGGCCCTCGCAGTGCCAAACAGACAACAGTCCGCCACTGCCGTGCACTGCAGCCGGTCCAGCTCGCCCGGCCGCCCATCCTGCCCAGCACCGCCGCCAACATGATCCGCCAAATCGTGAGTTCGCCCGGCCGCCTGTTTTCCTCCCTGAATAGCTGCCTCTCTCTCTTCCTCGCCGTTCGCGCCTCAAACTCGGCCCGCGTCTTTGAACGTGGACTTGAACTTGGAGAAAACCGGTCTCTGTGCGGGCCGCAGCGTGGTCCCCATGGCAGCCATGGCATGGCCAGCCCTAGGAGGTCCTCGAACTGGCGTGACGTCAGCGTGCAGTGACGCGCCGCCAGCTATCGTTACCGATCATTCTTCATTCAGCAGCGATAGCTGTTGTTTTTATTGTTGTAAAATAGTCGAAAAGTTTAACTTGTTTCTTCTTCATGACCAGGTCGCCTTCCTCGCCATGCTGGCCGTGGTTGCCGCCGCGCCCGCGCCTTACGTGTCCCCCTACGTCGCCGCCGCACCCTACGCCGCGACGTACGCCTCGCCCTACGCCTCGCCCTACGCCTACAGCTCGTACCCCGTGCTCAAGACGGCCGCCTACAGCCCCTACGCCTACAGCAGCTACAGCGCCTACAGCAGCTACCCCGCCGTGGCCGCGGCGGGCGTGTACCCCTACGCCTACGCCCCGTACTCCCCTGTCGCCTACATCTAGACGGACGATGACCAAGACCGACGCGCTGGACGGCTCGGACAAGGACAGGGCGGCCTTCCGGAGCTTCGTTCGAACAAAAGGATCTCTCCTGCGAGTACAAAAAGACGCCCCATGCGGTCGCCAGAATGCGCTTGTTTCGCAGAACGCTGTCTGCTGGAAACGATCGCCATTCCCAGGCACCATTTTGAGGAGTGTCGGAAATACCAAGTGCTTTTGTGTTTCTTGACGAAAATGTACAGAGATTGTGACTTCCTGTGCTGGTGCCTAAATTTATTATACCATTGAAACATCAGACAAAATAAATGACAGATTTTCATAATTAGGTGTCTAATTGATATTTCTTTCCCCTAGAACTGATGTAACATTCGGTTTGGGTTTGAAGAGTGTCTGAAAAAAAAACCGACACGAGCGGCTTGATAAAAAAACTAGATTTATTTTTTAATTTAAATGGCGAGTTGGTGGTGGTGAAGTTGGTCTAGCCCACGACGACCGGGGCAGAGTAAGCCACGGGGGCGGCCCTCACAACGCCACTGGAGTAGGCGACGGGGCTGGAGTAGGCGACGGGGGCGCCGACCACCGGGCTGGAGTAGGCGACGGGCCTGGCGGCGTAGGCGACGGGGCTGGAGTAGGCGACGGGGGCGGCGGCGACCACCGGGCTGGAGTAGGCGACGGGGCCGGCGACCAGGGGGCTGGAGTACGCCACCGGGCTGATGACTCCGGCCGACGCCGCGGCCACGACGCACATGAGGACGACCTGCGAAGAGGACAGCCGTGAGAACGAGAACGCCGCCTGAGCCGTCGAAGCACAGCGACGCGCAGTCTGGAGGCAAGGCACTCACCAGCTTGTACATGTTGGGAAGTTTCTTCTCTTGCAGACAGGAGACGAATGATTTGTTTCCACGGTCTGTGACTTTTATATGACTGCCTGGCCCAGGCGGGCCCAGCCTGGCCGGCACGCGCCAACACAGAGCACCGCATGTGGCGTTAGGAATTGGCAAACATTGGCGCCGTCCTCGTCCTGGCCGCATGTCCAGGCGCGGAGTGCGCGGAAGACGGCCCGACTCTCGAACGCAGTCGCGCTGTCCTATTCGGTGGGAACCTTGGTGGGGGGCTCGATGAGAAGGAAGTACAAGTAAGTCCGCGGCAGGGCTAGGCGTGGCTGGCCGGCTGTGTGGCGTGGCGTGGCGTGGCGCGGCGTGGTGCGGCACGGGCGCCAGTTCAATCATGAGATGGAGCCGCCCGGAGGCTGCCCGTCTCCGTCGCACCGCCACGGCGGGCCGGCAGCGCTCTGGCAGGGCGACGGGCAGCGCGCGGACTGGCGCGGACTCGCGCGGAGCGGCATGGAGCGGCGTGGAGCCTTCCGGGCGGCAGGACTGCGACTCAGCTTTCGGGACATGACGCCAAGCCGCGCCAAGCCCGAACCAGGAACACGTCCCCCAATCATCCACGACTCATATTCGGGACGGGCGTGGCGATAAGCTAACCGTTCCTGGAAATGGCTCTTGTTGTTGTGGCGATGCGAAACAAACACCGATTATCGACTGGGAGAGGAGCACCTAGCGCGTCATCCCGTCGATTTGGAACTAACAGGACCGATATCGGCCCTAAAACGGCCCATAAACGTCCAAAACCAACAGAACAAAAAACTACGTCGAAGGTAAGATTATTGGAGACAGAGGAGGGCGCCTGCAAACTGCAGGGTAGGCAGCACCGCAACACTGCGCCGCGCTGCACCGCGCTGCATTGCCTACCTCCCAGGCGGGAAGGTGCTGCGCTGCACAGTGCGTTGCGCCCGCTGCACCGGCCCCGAGGCACCCCGAGGCGGACCCGCATTCCTCCCTGGCCGGCCCCCTCTCGGACAATAGCAGTGATCCGCCGACGTGGCCGATCCTCGCGCCGGCTGTTCCTGGCACCCCTTGAAGCCGGAGGGTGGAGACAAGCGGAGGGGATGCAATCCTGAAATCGCCTGGGAAACTGGGTGACCGAGGAGGCGAGCAGTGTGTTCTTAAGTTTTTGCGGGTCGAGCATCGCAGTCAACAAGTGCCCTCCTGGAACGGCTTGGCCGAGGCGCAGCGCGCAGCATGCCGTGGGCGGGCACAGGCTTCACTTCCCCGTCCGTCCGCCCGCCCGCCCGGCCGCCTCCCACTCCAGCAAACCGCGCCTAGAACTTCCTCCTCAAGTTCGCCAATATAAGAAGCACCACGAAACAGGCCCCAGCACTTCGTCTCCTGTCCGCAAGAGAAGAAACTTCCCAACATGTACAAGCTGGTGAGTGCCTTGCCTCCAGACTGCGCGTCGCTGTGCTTCGACGGCTCAGGCGGCGTTCTCGTTCTCACGGCTGTCCTCTTCGCAGGTCGTCCTCATGTGCGTCGTGGCCGCGGCGTCGGCCGGAGTCATCAGCCCGGTGGCGTACTCCAGCCCCCTGGTCGCCGGCCCCGTCGCCTACTCCAGCCCGGTGGTCGCCGCCCCCGTCGCCTACTCCAGCCCCGTCGCCTACGCCGCCAGGCCCGTCGCCTACTCCAGCCCGGTGGTCGCCGCCCCCGTCGCCTACTCCAGCCCCGTCGCCTACTCCAGTGGCGTTGTGAGGGCCGCCCCCGTGGCTTACTCTGCCCCGGTCGTCGTGGGCTAGACCAACTTCACCGCCAACAACTCGCCATTTAAATTAAGAAATAAACCTAGATTTACATCAAAGAAGGGCTCTTTTGGTTTTTTGCAATACCTCCGTTCGCTTTGGCTGCTACGATCCGAATTTAATGACTCTAATAGCCTGCAAAGCAGAGCTCTGGGTTTTTGCATTTTGGATGACCACCACGGATCACCTGCTATCTTAATAGACGAGGCGAGGGGGGAGTGGGGGGTGGGGGTGGAGTCTCCCTCACCCTTAACCCGGTAGGCAGGCCGCCGCACAGACCGGCGGTCAGACTATGGTGGTCGGGCGCTGGCGCTGGTCGGCCTGAAACACAAAAACGTAGATCTCTGCTTTGGTAATCCGACAATGCCAGCCCCGGCACTGGCCAAGCCACAGCGGCGGCCCGGTGGTGCCTGGTGGCTAGAGATAAGCAGTGGGGGTTGCAGCTTTGACAATGCACTGAGAATTGTGCGGAAACTAGCATATCACTATCCCGATCTTCTATACTGCAACGGCGGCCCTCGTAACCGAGGGAAGTTCATTCCGATGCTCGCTAAACGAAGGCCCTCGAATCAATTTAGACTTGTGTAGGGTGGCCGTTGAAACCTGTTGATCCTCTGAGCAGTGTCGTGGCTCGGCAGGGTGGCAGGCAATCTAGCCGGAGCGCATAATGGCTGCGACGAGACGGTTCCCTCCGAAACGCGGCGGGCCGCGAAAGACGCCGCGCCGGCAGGCCACCCATTCTTCGCGCAGCAACCCATCGCTACAAGCGTGACTGAGTGGGTGCCAGCAGTGCAGCCGCGGCGCCGCGGAGGTAGGCCTCCCCTCCGTCGCGACAGCAAGAGTAGCTGCGGCGTTGCCCGGCTGAAGCACAGAGTGCGGGCGGGATTGTCGTGCCGAAAGGTAGCTCTAGAAACGCAAAAGTTTGGGGTACCATTTATTGGTGGCTCAGCAGATAGGACAGAATAATGGCTCTGATATTAATGAAAATGAGCTACAAAACTAGGAAAGCAAGTTTTAATTGTACCGTCACTAATACTTTCTAGTAAAATAGCACTATAAAAAGTGAATGGTATCGTTCGTTTTGGCGGAGGTCGTGGAGGTTGTTTTGTGGGATGCGTTCTTCAGGCCACCTTGGCGGGGGCGCGCGGGGACTGCGGCGGCCTGGCGGGCCTGGCCCCGGCCACGCGGATCGCGTTGCTGCCGATCACAATTTCTGACTTCTGTTCGCCGCGTTGCTCGGCTCCGGGGGCCGCGACCTGGCGGCGGCGGCGTCCCCAGGGGCTGTCGTCCGCCTCCACGCTCTTGCCGAACAGCTTGTCGTACCAGCGGCTGGCCTCGGTGGACGTCGTGTAGCCTGGCTCCACGGAGATGGGGATGTTGTAGACGCGCGGTGTCGTGGTGCGGTCGTGGCCGTAGTCCTTGACGTGGTCCCTGTCATGGTCCCTGACGTGGTCCTTGACGACGCCCGCGTACGTCGGCGGGGTGGGCCGCTGCACGGAGGGCCGCGTGGAGGGCCGCGTGGAGGGCTGCGGCGGCACGTAGGCCTGGCGGGGCGGCACCAGCTCCCAGTCCTTCTTGGGCATGCCGGGGGCGTCGACGCGCTGGTGCTGCTGCGTGCTGCTGGTGGTGGACGGGGGACGCAGCGGTGACCGCGGGGGAGGTGGGGTCGTCGTGGGGCGCACTGGCACGCCGGGTGCCGCAGCGGCCGCCCCCGAGGCCTGCTCGTGTGCGATGAAGTCCAGCGTCGCCCTGGACGACTGCTTCGTCTGCTGCGTCGCCGGGGCGCCCCACGCTCCGCTCAGCAGCAGCATCGCGGTGCCCAGCGTCACCTGCGGCCAAGAGTTTCGTAAAGTATCGGCAGGCGGTGGGAGAACGAAAGCAGTCCTTCAGTGGTCATTCCCCTGCCTTGAAGCAGGCCAGGGAACGGCCCAGCCAAGGGCCCAGCCAAGGGCCCAGCCCTGCCGTTGGCCGTCAGCACTCCTTGCGGTCAATCAGAACGTAGCTAACTACGTAGTTTTCTCCTCGGAAGCTCATCCGGGCGTCATTCCGAATGCATGTCCGACCGGTGTGGGCGGCAGGGCCAAAGGAAGGGCGGCCCTCGTGGCCCTCAATCAATGTTGTTCCCTGACGCCAGGGCCAGCCAGGGCCATGAGGCCGCCATATGTGGCGTGGCGGCCGCGGCAGAAACCCAGCGCTGCCGCGACGGGGCGAGGCGTGGCGGGGCAGGGCAGGGCCAGCCCGGGTTATCGGCGCGCGGCGTGGTGCACGCCTTGAACACAGTGGCGCCGACGCAGTGGCGTTATGAGGAATTTACGAGATACTTCCAACCGAAGACGAAATGCTTTGTGGAAACACAGGTGCAGGATAACGACCGTACACTGTAATTCAACGAATGTGACGGCACATCAGACGGCCGCATGATGGCCTTGTGACGTTCAAACGAATGTGACATCACATTCAAACGAATGTGACATCACATTCAAACGAATGTGACATCACATTCAAACGAACGTGACAAAATTCACATTCTAACGAATGTGATGTCACATTCGTTGAATAACAGTGTAAGAGTATGACACGAGGACAGTCAAGAGCAGTCTCATTAATTATGCTTTTCCATCTCTTCCATTCACCTGAAGCTGTTATTGGTTCTCGACATCTTTCGGCGGACGGTGAATCCACTGGGCACACGCCAACCGCGAGGCCAACGGACAGATCTTTTCTCGAGCGACTCCGTGACGTCATAGCGTGCCGCTGCGTCATCGCGGCATCGCGTCACCGGGCCCTGGTGGGGACCCCTGCAGGGGTGCCGGCCCCTTCGGTTCCGGGAATCCGTCCGCCGTGCCGCCCTATAGGGAGCAGTAGCGTGCGCAGAAAGGGGGGGGGGGGGTCATGACGCCCCCCTTTGCCCACTAGACAGCCGCCTGGAAGGTAGGCAAATTGCGTCACTTTTCCCCTGTAAGTAGGCAAAAGGGCTGACCCCTCCCTTTCAAAATTTCTACGCACGCCACTGATAGGGAGCAGTCCGTGCATGGCCAGGGAGGCCAGGAAATACTCACAAAAAGCTTCATGTTGACTGCGGTCCAGCCGGCGGCAGACTGAGGCGCTGCAGAACTTGTTTATTCCGCATCGGGTACAGTCGCGCGGGCTGCGCGGGCTGCCCCGTCTGGCCGAGCGGACGCTGCGGACGGCGCCTTCCCTTGACACTCGGGCGGCGGCGACGAGGCCGCGGACACAGCAGCAATCGAGGTCTCCGCGCCATCAATGAAAACCCAATAATAAACTGGAAAGGAAATTCCGATGTGGCGGCGTGAACTGTGTTCGAGAACCCGCAGCGCCAAAGGGAGCGACTATGGCTCCATTCTGGTCGGCGATTTTGGTGGACAGTGGACGCACCGTGGACACGTTTTGCATAAAGCGACACGGTACCCCGAGGGCGAGCTCGCTGTGGGCCGCTTGGGCGCGAGATCCTTGCTGGGACGGATACAGTCCTGCCATCCTCCGAGATGGCCTTGACTTTGTCGCGCGGGCGACCTGGCGCGGCGGGTTCTCCAAGAAAAAGGGGGAGGGGGAAGCTGGCGGAGCAGGAGGATGGGCTGCGCCGGGCTGCGCAGTGACTCCACACACACTTCGCCTCGCTATACATCTCAAACAGGACGCACGGCTTTCGCTATCCAGCGCGTGCCCGCCATGGGCCGCCATGGGCCGCCATGGGCCGCCAACGGTGACGCAAGTGGCGCCTTTCGCGGCGCGAACGTGAACTAGACGCATCAGCCCGCATCGGCCTATCAAGCGTTTGGGCACCGCCAAATTATCCAGCGTCTGTTCGCGGTCCTTCGCGGCGCTGTGGCGGGCTCGGACCCTCGCTGAGCGGCGCGGCGCGTCTTCAGCCGGGTCGCTGACCCGATGCGCGATGCGCGGGCACAAGCCGAGGGGGCAAAAACTCGTGCAATCATGTGTACACGGCCCCCGAAATCACACGCGAATCATTGAGAATCACGCGAAATCAAGCAATCCGAAATCAGCCAAAATCACTAAAATCGACCGAAATTAGGCAGAATCACACGAAACCAGGCAATCAGTCCGAAATCATTTCTTTCCGAACACAATCAAACGCAATCACGCTCAACATCACCCTGGTGCGTCGCGAAATAAGGCAAAATCAGCCATGAAATCAATTAAAACCATGCGCAATCATTTCGTTTTCCGAATCATGTGTACACGAAAATCCCGAGTTTTTGCCCCCTCGGCACAAGCAGCTCGCAAAATCCTGGCCACCCCGAGCTGTTCCAGGCAGCCGGTTGTTTGGTCCGAGCAAGTCTCTCCGGTTCCGGTCACCGCGCGCGCTCAAAGACAATTCTTATTATGCTGGCTGCGACGATGGCGGTGTACAGGAGGGGAAGGGTCACGGGGGGCCACATCGCCGCCAATCACACCGTATAATACGCGCTCTCGGCAACGCGCGCCTCCAGTGCGCCTCCGGGGGCCGAGTGGACATCATGGCGGCCGTCTACGCACCCGTCTTCGTAAGGCCCTCCAGGAACGCGCAGCCGCGCAGCGCCCGCACGGCTCGCGAAGCAAGCCTCGTCTGTCGCGGCAAAGTGGCCGGAAAACGGCGAGATTGCTGAAAGAGCCATGGCAGCACGTGAACCTCTGCAACGCCACTCCATGGAGTGGTTGCAGCCATTTGCTCACTTTTTCCGATTTACATTGTAGTTGATTTAAAATCAGTGTGGTATCTACGATTTAAAAAGGCAACCAACTCCGTAGGTCCAATGATACTTAGGGTGCAGTCGTTCGGCACAACAGAGCACTCCAAAAGAGCTCTAGCCCGCAAGAAGAACAACAAAAACGGAGGTTTGACATGACCGTTTCTATGAGAAATGCACGCTGCGGATGAGTTGCAGACCTCATCCGTTGCGTTTACCAGTCATAGAACCTCCGTGTTTGCTCTTCTACTCCTGCCGGGCTAGAGTTCCTCTGGGGTACCCACTGCCGCTGCTCAGGACGGCAGGGAAGTCGCGGAAATCCTGCCTGTACAGTGCAGGCGCAGATCACCTGCTCTTTGAAGGTGTGGGAGCGCAGCGTGGCGGCGCGGAAAGCAAAGTGGTTGAAATGTGACGGTCCGCTTCCCTCTCCCCCTTTGTGGGCGTCCCGCGCGTCCCGCTTCCAGGCGATGCTGGCCGTGCTGGCGATGGCTGCGGTGTGCTGCGGGGCTCACGCTGGCGCCCGCGACGCGAGGGTGCTCCAACGCGAGGCGGATGAGTTTGCCAAGGCGCCCGTCGGCATCGAGACCGAAACCGCCACCCTCGCCGCGGGGCTCCCCGACAACGACCACTTCCGCCGCCGCCTCTTCTTCATCGGCGACCTCGCCACAGACTTCGTCCGGGAACCGTCGCGGCTGCTGCTGCCCCCGCCTGGAAGCGTCGCCGACGCGGTCGAGGACCTCAGCCAAGGGACGGCCGCGTCGAACTACGCGGCCGAAGATGACGACCAGCTCAGCGGCGAGCTGCTGGTGCACGAGAAGGACTACGACGGCCAGGAGCGTCGCGGCGCTCGACCGGCGCAGCGCGGCCACACTGCTAGAGACCAGGAGATCCGCCAAGCGATGGAGGACAGCGAGGACTTTCAGGTGAGTGCACTGGTAAAACTGAAGCGTAGTATTACCCTCTGTTTTCAAGCGTAATCAGGTTATGCTTGAAATCAAGCGTAACAGGCTCATCGGCCAAGATTCCCCCTATCTAAACGCATGGGGGAATTTCCAGAGTATCATTTCAAGCGTAACGTCTTCAAGCGTAACTTTATGCTTGACTCAAGCATAGAGTTACTCTACAAATCAAAGAGTGTATGGTACGCTCTAACTGGAGCATGCCTGCAAGCACGCTCTAACTAGCGCATGCCTGCCAAGCATGCACTAACTAGTGCATACATGCCGTGTACACGATAACTGAACCGTACATTTACTGCATAAGGGATAGGGAGTTTTCTGCATCAGGAAGCGTGTACATGGCATGTATGCACTAGCTAGTGCATGCTTGGCAGGCATGCACTAGCTAGAGCGTGCTTGCAGGCATGCTCCAGTTAGAGCATACCATGTACACTCTTTGATTTGTAGAGTACGCTTTAGTTCTACCAGTGTGGTATGGAGAGCGCAATCTCGCCAATCTGATGTTGTCCATTTACCAAAATATTATTGAACGTCCTTAAATAACATTGCGAAAAAACTGGGCTTAACGTAACGAAGAAACGTGCACTCATTGAGCCGACTGGCTGGAGGAGGTGCAGCATGCAGAGTTTGAGTGCAGTCCAAAACCTTCGTTTTCAGCTTCGTTTGTGACGATCTGCTCTTTAATGACTCGGGCGTTCTCTCTGAACAGGGTCCCCTGCTCGGGCACACGGCCGGGAAGGACAGAGACGGACACCGAGAGGGTCGTCGGCAGACCTTTAGATGGAGTGTCGTGGATACCGCTACCTAGCCCCTGCAACACTCTTCTAGTGCTTCTACGGTTGATCAGCGACCAAGCCTCATTATTTACTGAAGTTTTGCGAAAGAACCAAAGTGCATCAACATGTATGTGTGCCCTATCAAGAAAAATAAATTCCGGAAACGAGAAAAGAAATGTGTTGCACTTATAGGGAAGCTGTTCAAGATCATTTTGGTTTCTATTCAATAAGTGTAAAATTTTGTGGTTTGTAAAATAGTTTTTGGAAAAAGACTCAAATCCGCAATATTGGAACCCTTTGAAAAATAAGGAGACACTCGGAAAACAAAGAAATACAGTAGATCTGATCTACTGAAGAAGAAGCCCAGCAGGGCGGAAAACATTGCAAACTGGTTTGATTTCTTCTAGCAACGCTTGAGTGAGCGACACCAGCTAATGTTTCCTCTGGTACTCTCCGAGTCGGGCCGAGTCGTTGTGGTCGCCCACGATGTGGTCCAACACAGAGCTGCCACAAGGCTCGGCCGGGCTCGGCTTGGAAAAGACTCTTCAGTCAACACGAGCCGGGGAATCTGCCTCGTTTCGTTTTCGAGACAGGTTCCTGGACACGCGGTGTTATCGGACGAATGGCAGTACAGAATTTTGGCGTGCGCCCATTGGCCAGGGCACGGCCAGGGCACGGCCAGAGCACGGCCCCACCACGGCCCCACCACGGCCACGGCTGCCCTGTCCCCACACGAAAAATATCCGTCACATTTCATCTAGCGTTACGTGATCTCGGTCACTTGACCAGATCCGATTGTGGTGGAACCGCGAGGGGGTAACGACTTCGGGAATCCGGCTGACAGCCAATTGGGGGATAATCTGGGGTAATCCGGGGTAATCCAGGAGTTTTGTTGTAATCCGGAGGTATTTTGGGGATAATCCGGGGTAATCCGTAATACGGCTAACACGAAATTTACCAGTCGTTACCCCCTCGTGGAACCGTCAAAAAATTAGTTTCTGTGCCTTTGCTATATTTGCAGGCCAATAACCCCCGTCACGCAACATTAGATCGTGGTGCATGGACAGCAAAAAAAAAGTTCTAGTTGTTATAACCTAGAATTCCGAGTGTCCTTATGCAGACATTTTAACATGCAGAAAAAGAATTCCGAGTGCATTTTGGCGATACTTGTCCTGTCCTGTCTCACTACACTCAGCCTGCAAATGAAAATCGAGAAGCCTGGAACCCCAAAGTCAACCTGTGGACCGCATGCGGTTTGGCGCGGAAGCGGGTCCCCCGCGCCACGCCGCGCCACGCGCGCGAAGATGAGCCCGACGCCCCACGACAGGGCGTCCTTGAGGGCAGTGTCCATACGGGAGCAGGGGGACCATTCCAGAACAGGTCGCGAATATAGTCCGGCCTGGAGATGACCCACGCCGATGTCAATTTTTTTACAAAATATCTTCCACTATCACCACTACCACCACCACCTTTGCTACTGCCCCCGCGCCGCCATTCCAGTGCCCACGAGGTCGTATAAAAGGTGCCGGTGCCTAGGGGATGGTCACAGTCGCAGTCCGGCAGTCCCAAGCACACCACCACAGCACAATGAAGGTCTTGGTGAGTAGCAATGGCAACGCCAGCCGGCGTCAACGACAGTGGCGCATGCAGGGGAATGCGATGTAGCAAACGTTGCATACCTTGTCTAGCGGCTTGGCTGAATTCAGTGAGCCATCCCCTCCCCTCTGTATCGGCACTCAGTCCAGGAGCCACCCAGCACTCCTTTCCTGAAAAAAGCGTTTTACTTTTCAACACTTTATCACGCGACTTACTTATTTCTTTCAGCATGATGAAAAATTGATTGACAATGTTGCAACGCTTTGGATCTCAGCCACTGAGTACCGATGGCCATTGTCAGGACCAGCCTTGGCCGAGCTCTTGAGCCGTGGCTCTCGACTTCAGTGACAGGGGGTGGGGGTAACCTTTAGCTTGTTGGAGCAGCTCACTTGAAACATAACGAGGGAAATAAAAGGATCGGATCGCGGACAATCGCGGATTCCCCGCGTGGAACTGCTGCTAGTAGATTTTTATTTTTTGGGGAAGGGTCTGATGTGTGACCGAGGAATAAGGTATGCTAAAAAGAAAAGTCGACGAGCACGTCCCCCGAACAGCTATCCCCTGACTCCGCCTTCGAGGCCGGGGCCCTACGCCTTGATGACACGCGCCCTAACCCTTTCCCTTTTGCAGTTGATCGCCGCCCTCGTGGCCGTGGCCGCCGCCCGCCCCCAGGAGTACCACGACGACGTCTTCCACTTCTCCACCAAGGTGAACCACGAGAACCTGGCCCGCTCCTCCCTGGTGAGCTCCGTCCCCGTGCAGTCCCTGGTCGTCAAGTCCGTGCCCCAGTACCAGCAGCAGTACCAGCAGCAGTCCGTGCTCGTCAAGAGCGCCCCCGTCTACAGCCAGGTCCAGCACCACGTCGTCGAGCAGCCCTCCGTGCTGTTCCGCTCCGTTGAGCAGGAAGTGCCCGCCATCAGCACCGTCCACACCCACGTGCACCAGCCCGCCGTCTACTCCCAGGTCTCCGCCGTCCAGCAGGTCGCCCCTGTTGTGTCCCGCGCCTCCTTCGTGCCCCAGGCCTCTTTCGTGCCCCAGTACCACGCTCACAGCGTCGTGGAGCCCAAGATCAAGATCCTGAAGCAGGTCCAGGAGTTCGACCCCGTCGGCATCTACCGCGTCAAGTGAGTATTGCGTCTGCTGCGAAGTACTTTTCTGCAAGTATGATTACGAGACTAAGGCATTGCCTTTCCTTTTCCAGCTACGAGACCGAAAACGGCATCAACTCTGCCGAGCAGGGCACCGTTAAGGACACCCACGCCAAGGAGGGCCCCGTCGCCGCCAAGGAGGGCTCCTACTCCTACACCGGCCCTGACGGCGTCGTCTACACTGTCAACTGGGTTGCCGACGAGTTCGGTTACCGTGCCTCCGGCGCCCACCTGCCCGTCGCCCCCGCCGTCCCCGCCGAGATCCAGCGCTCCCTGGAGCTCATTGCCTCCCAGCCCCAGAAGTACGACGCCGAGGGCAACCTCGTCTACAAGCAGTTCTAATGTGTCCCGTACCGCGTTTCTCCTGACGTCGTTCCTCGCTGCATTTACAGGATTGATACGCTCGATCTAGTTAGAAATATAAAATAAGTAGGAAAAAATGTTACCGATTTCACGAGCTCGCAGACATGTGGAAAGGGGCTGTCACCTCCCTCAGATGACTTGATTCAGAGTGGAGTAGGAATCTTCGCTACCCCTTTTCTCTTGGATTTGACGTGTGAAAGTGACTGAAGCTTTAATTAAAGAACGCTAATATCAAGTTACCCTTTTGTGTTACCTTTCCTGCACAAACTCAAACATTTTCAGAGTGAAATTGGCAGAAGGATACGAAGAGCAAATATAATACGAACTAAATTCGTTTATACTAGAAACCCTTTTTTACTCGTTCTTTACACCCTCATTTCAAAATTTAGGTTAATGTGAAGAGAACGAGTATTGTGCTCAAAATCGGTTTTTGTTAGCTACATGATTCAACTCGCTATGCACACAAGGAAAACCATATGTAATGTACTCATTTGAAAGATCAAAGCCTCCTCTTTAAGGCGTAAATGAAGTATTTTTCATTTCACTATGAAAGTTTTTGAGCAAATGAAGATTGAAAATGTTTATTAAAACTGGCTGGTGTCTAGTAATGAGAGGTTATAACACTTCGTTTTTTCGTGATTCATATCGAATTGGCATGTGCCATAGCAAAAATCCACCTCCCTGTGCTTTGTTTAACATTTTTCATTTGAGGATTATCTCTCTTAGCAAACAAACATTTAAAATATCTGCAGTTTTTCAACCTTCCTTTGGACGGCCTGCCGCTAACATCGGCGACCCGTGGCGCCACCACGCGGATTTCAAACGAACTACTGTAATGGCGGTAGAGTTTGAACGTACTTTCATTTCGAGCTTAACAATTATTTAACCACCTGGCCACTTTTGAAAACCACTAGACATCCTTCATTCACAAAAAAAATGTGTAAAGAACGAGTTATTTATTTAATATCAATTCATTGATATTTCGCACCATCCTTTAAACTTTTTTTCTTTACTTCTTGTTGCTTTTCTTTGTTGGGCACAAGAATAGCTTTACATTACAAAGAAAAAATACGATTTCAAGAAATCCTAGGAGTCACGAAGTCAATTTGATTATTGTGTAAGAGTGTGGAGAAAGAAAAGAAGTGGTGTTGTGAAGTTGTGGCTCAGGGGACTACCAATGGCAGTGGTACCAATGTAGTCGATGTGCCATCCGTCGAAATTTAAACTTGACAATAAATAGAAATCAAAATGCTGGTAAATTCAAAAAATTCCAATGGTTATGTATTCCGCAGTGTTCTGACAATGGAACATCTTTGAAGTCCATCATGATTAAAATGTTCTTAGCAGAAAGAAGTCAGTAAATTAATTTTCTCGGGTTGGCAACTATTTTCTCGGCGTCTGCGCCCTTGCGAAAATCGCGAAGCTGAAAGCGCCAGCAGTCGCGCATTAAAACTGCCCCTCCATTGTTGTGGACGTTGAATTGTTTGGCTTGTTTCAAAAGGCTATGGTTCTCTAGTCATGTTTTCTTCAATTCTGTGTAATAGTTCTCCCTTACAACGTATCAACACCACGACGGTTGGTTTGACAAACTTCATAAACTCGGGAGGGATGGTTTCGAAACGCGGGTGAGTCTTGTTCGAGGAACATGAGCACTGCAAGTCGCGAGGTGGAGCGAAGTGGTCCTAGTGCTAACTGAATCACAACAACAACACTGCGCATGTCCAAAAACACTCCAATCAAGAAGTATTATTGGATAGTTCTACCCGAAAAACTGCGTTCGAACCGGCACCAATTCTATTGTTGCATCTTGTCTACCTGCAGTCAAAGAAATTTTTCATTTCGAACGTTGCTTTTTCAGCTTTTGGAGTGAGCTGTACAGACCCAAAAAGAAGCTCCGCTATTGGTCCGCCCCGGCTCGGCTCCCCCCACTCCCTTTTTTTTCCTTTGACGAGTCGAGTTTTGCCATGGAAACGGCGATTTTGACAGCAAATTTCTCAAAATTGGCCACCAAATTTTTGACCAGATTTCAACATCAGAATCAGCGTTCAAAGTTCTACTAGTCTGCAAAATCTCATTAAAATCGTATAGAAAACTTCCGAAATGCATAAAGGGCCACACAAATCAAATCTCGAGCCGGCTGAGTCCTGGGTATACTATAAGGCTACTTCGTGCCTAAAAATGGCTGCATAATACGTTTGCACAAAATTGTTTTTTTGGCAAGGCTGTTAGACTGCAATGACGTGCAGAGGTTATAGAGTTGGTAACGCACCCTTTAGTGAAAAACGCACCGTATACACAAGTCAAGCAGCCTCGGGCTTGAGTGTGTTGTTACGGCTGCCCTCTGCTCAGCACAAAACCTAATTCAAGAGTGCTCTTGTACCAGAAGAAAAGTGATCCCTACGCGGGGCTCGTTCACAGAATGGATCCCGCTACTTAAAATGAAAGTATTGAAAAAAACTAGGTGTACCATACAATAGTAAAATTTTATTTCATTGTGCACAAGTCTTTCTATAGGCAGGTGATCCTACCAACGACTTTAAGAATTTAAGTAGCTGTTTAATTATGATGCTCATGATGATGCTCGTGATGGTGACCATTTGGAGCTGGTGCCTGAGAGAGGCCCTGAGGAGCTGGCGCGTGGTGGAGGCCCTGTGGGAGGCCCTGAGGAGCTGGTCCGTGGTGGAGGCCCTGAGGAGCTGGTCCGTGGTGGAGGCCCTGAGGAGCTGGTCCGTTATGGAGGCCCTTAGGAGCTGGTCCGTGGTGGAGGCCCTGTAGGAGACCATGAGAGGATGGTCCGTGGTGAAGGCCCTTAGGAGCTGGTCCGTTATGGAGGCCCTGTGGGAGGCCCTGAGGAGCTGGTCGGTGGTGGAGGCCCTGGGGGAGGCCATGAGGAGCTGGTCCGTAATGGAGGCCCTTAGGAGCTGGTCCGTGGTGGAGGCCCTGTGGGAGACCATGAGCACTTGAACTTGATAGGCTGGACCAGGTATGATCGTTAGCCGATTCAGGCCCGTCCTGGCCGCGCCAATCTTGCTGAGCGCAAACCAGTACGTCCTTACTAAGAGCGACCCCATCCCCGGCGGACCGGGACTGAACGCCCACAGCGTCCGGCCCCCGGCGGCTACTCGACCCTTAGTGTTGTATCCCACAGACAGAACGGCCCGCCGGTGAGTAGCTGTATGACGTTAGCCATCGGCAGACCTATCCGCCATGGGTGTCAGACACCAGGACGTGTGAGTCTCCGGGGACACAACCGGTTCAGGGGGACGGTCTTCTTCGCCCCCGTGAAGGGGCAGCTCCGGGTCAGCTTGGCGATGGGTGGTGCACGCGCTCCGCGAGCTCGTCGTCAGCGTTGATGTGGGGGTAGTGCACCCCGGCGGCAGGGGGATCTCCTGGGTTGATTGTTGGCGCGGGTTGACGGGGTAGTGCTCGGGCCCTGACTGGCCTGCCGGACTGTCTGCTGGGCGCCCGGCCCATGCTGGCAGCCAGTCGTGCTGAGCGGCCAGGGTGAGAGGAGCCCCCTGAACCCTGGAGGCTGGAGGCGTGTGGTCGAGGCAGTAATCGCAATCGCTGTCGGACGCCCGTCGGGTAGGCAACCCCTCGGTGTTCTCCGTCGTTGGTGCTGCCTACGTGCCAGGCGCTGTGGGGGCTGTCACTACAGGTGCTCAGCTGGCCGTCCCTGCGTCGCTGGAGCGGCCGCGACAGCCGTCCAAGCAGCAAGGGGGGAGGACCTACACCAAAGCCAAACCCAACACCGAATCCAAACCCCGAAACCCGAACAGGCACTCATCCTTTAGGCGCAGGCATCCTTCTTGCTGACTCCAGGCTGGGTTGTCGGGATGTGCAGATGTCGATCCTGGGTCAGAATCTGGCAACACGGCCTGGTGCCCGCGGGTCGCCTCTGACCGACATCTGGTCATCTGGTGGAGCCGTCGGTGCGAGACGAGCGGAGCGGCGAGGGCCTGAGCCGAGCCGAACCATGCCGCGGACCGGCACCGAGCCGAGCCGGGGTAAACCCCGGCCTGCCGACTGCAGCGACGAACGGCACGGCACGGCCCGGCCCCGCCCGGCCCCGAAAAGCCGCCCCGCCAGCCCGTCTCCCTCGCACCTTACGGAATTTCCACGGGTGCGAGAGAGACCGGCCGGCGAGACGACGCTCCGGAGCCCGGCGGCACCCGCCGCATCGCACGCGCGCCGCCGCTGGGCCTCCGGACATCTAGCTCCCGTTGAACGCCTCCCTGAACGGCTTGTTGAACGCGGGAGAACGACACAGCGGGGGCGCGGCGCCGGTGCCGCAGGTGGGCGGAAGCTGGGCACACGACCACCGCGCCGGCGGATCCACCACCGGCCAGTTGCACCACGGGCACGGCACACTGATCTTCACGACACAAAGCACTGGTAGCACTAGACACTGCACTAGACACTGCACTGGCGACGGTTGTGTACCGGCCGCTGGAATCTTGAAGTTTTCGGCTCTGGGGCTGGCTGCTCGGATGGCGTGGGCGCTGGTGTGGCCAGGTAGCTACGGGTGGCGCGCTGCTCGGTGCCGCGCCGGGGTAAACACTGACGCCAAAGCTGACGCCAAAACTAATTTGCACAGAACTCGGACACTGTTGCACCGATCGCCGCGAAACTTTGTAGCTCGACGCGCTAGATGCTCACGGACCGACCGATACCACACTCGACCCGGAAAACCGACTTTAAACCACCAAAATCGAAGGGCCAACACGGAGCGACGTGAAGGCCCGCTGCTTCCCGCCGCCATGCCCCCCACTCTCCGGAGACCATGAGAGGATGGTCCGTGGTGAAGGCCCTTAGCTGGTCCGTTATGGAGGCCCTGTGGGAGGCCCTGAGGAGCTGGTCCGTGGTGGAGGCCCTGGAGGAGGCCATGAGGAGCTGGTCCGTTATGGAGGCCCTCGGGAGCTGGTCCATGGTGGAGGCCCTGAGGGAGGCCTTGAGGAGCTGGTCCATGAGGAAGAGAACGGGGAGCCCTAGCGGCTAAGTGAGCAGCGCCGTTTGGGTGCGCCAGAGGACCCGCCTTGTGCTGGTGTTCAGGTGGAGCTGGTCCCTGGTTGAGGCCTTTAGGAGCTGGTCCGTGGTGGAGGCCCTTAGGAGCTGGCCCGTGAGGATGGCCCTGAGGTTCTTGTCCATGAGGATGGCCCTGAGGATGCTCCTGAGGTCCTTCTCCATGAGGATGGCTCTGAGGTCCCTTTCCGTGAGGATGGCCGTGAGGTGCCTTTACGTGATCGAGGCCCTGAGGAGCTGGTCCATGAGGAAGAGAACGGGCACCCCTACCGGCTGGGTGAGCAGCGCCGTCTGGGTGCGCCAGAGGACCCGCCTTGTGCTGGTGTTCTCGGGGAGCTGGTCCCTGGTTGAGGCCTTTAGGAGCTGGTCCGTGGTGGAGGCCTTTAGGAGCTGGTCCGTGAGGATGGCCCTGAGGTTCTTGTCCATGAGAATGGCCCTGAGGATGCTCCTGAGGTCCTTCTCCCTGAGGTCCCTTTCCGTGAGGATGGCCGTGATGGTGTGCCTCAATTGCTATGGCCTGGAATAGTCCGTTAAGTCTGTTAGTGGTACCTTAGGTGGTCTCATTGCAAAAATTAAGAGAATGTCGAACGGATAGTTCTTGAGTTATCATCTTTAATCTATCCTCCGAAGCGCTCAGCATTGAAATGTGCTAAAATGGAATGCTTCAGGGAGCATATATCACATGTGAATGACAAGCAGTAAAACTGTATTATGCGCGTTTCGCCCCAATATGCATATCTTTGTTCTACCCTACCCATCTCAAAGTTGAGTGCTGCTGGAGTTGTCAAGAACCTTCAAACAGGTACCAGCCAAGGTTGCGATGGCAACGGATTTGTTTGGTGCTGGGTCGTACTAGAGTCACACCGTCGAAAATTACCGCTGGCGTGGGCTCATCTTCTTACTCTAATTCTTATAATAACTCTACCATCCTCTGTCGTTTGTTTCATCAGCTCCCGTAGAAAAACCCAAAGGTCCAAAAGTGGTATTGGCTTACTCACCAAGAGGGCCACAGAGAGGGCGAGAAGCAGGACTCGTGCCATGCTGATCCTTGATGCTCCAAAGGACTGAAGTGCTGTCTGCCTCAGTCGCACTCCCTTTTAAAGGGCGTCGATAGTGACGCACTTTCTGCCGTGTCGGGATACACCTGTGTCGTGGTCACGATTTTATGGCTTTGGCGCCTCTTTGCTGTGCTGGGCAGCATCGTGGCCATACTTTATGGCCTAAGTTGTAATGAAGTAACCGTGACACGGTAGGATTTGAATAGGATGCCCTGTTATAAAAAAGAGACGTCCATTTTTTAAGACGAAACAAGGGAATGAAAGCAAGGGATATTTGCAACTTTGGGATTGTTCTTCGCAAAGTTGGGATAGTGAAGTTCTGACCCTTTACTACCACATGAAGGCGTTTGCGTAGAGCCGATTGAACTAAGCGCCCTTTTTAACCGGGATGTAGTTAACTGTTTAATCTAAAATCCATGTGTCCTACAAAAAGCCAACAATCACCAAAGCCCCCAAACAATAAAGTGCAATACTCCTATTTCCTGTTGAAGGAAGTACGATACGCTCAAATGCACACTGAAAATCCAAGTGTGGGACAGGCATGCACTAGATAACGTGGGACAAAATGTCCCACGCTTGTAAGCGTGGGACAAAGTGTCCCACGCTTGCAAGTGTGGGACACGGATTTGTCCCACGCTTACAAACGTGGGACACAGTTTGTCCCACGCTTGTAAGTGTGGGACACGGATTTGTCCCACGCTTGTAAGTGTGGGACACGGTTTGTCCCACGCTTGTAAGCGTGTAACACGGTTTGTCCCACGTTACCTAGTGCTTGCCTGTCCCACACTTGGATTTTCAGTGCAGAAGGGAGGTGTTTTTTAAAGGGCCCTCGATACACTTTCGGAGTGATGGAGTGGGGCATGGGAAAGATGTTAGGGTCAGTTGGGGTAATAATGGGACAGTTTGAATAATAAGGTTTCCACAACTCTACAATGGCGAGTTGGAGTGTTTCTAATGCTTTTAAAGGATAGGGTACTCTGTTCCACACCATTTGGCGTTAAAATAAGATCAAAAAGTCATTTAATTTTGCAGTTGTGTAGTATAAACTGTGAAAATTCGGACTTGTAAGTTTGGGGTAAGAATGGGACACGCTGGGGTAAAAATGAGATAGGGGCTTAGCAGTGCTAAAACAGGCCTCAAAGTTTTCCAAATAGACACCACTTTATAAAATTCGATCCGTCTCAACGCGAGGAACAATAAATGTCATCACATGCCACATGTTCGGATGAAAAATGAAAAAGCATTGCGCTTCAAAAGAACTTGGGTGCAATTTGACCTTTTGCGACTATTTGTTAATTTCAAAGCCCATTAACTTTTTAAATATCCGTCCAAACCCATAGCATGTGTTGAAATTTTTTGTTTGTATTGTCGAGGCCTATCTATTTCCGTTCAGAGATGTCAATTCGAACAACTTTAAAAATTTTCTCCCAAAAGGCCACTATTTACCATTAACCAAGTGTCCCATTTTTACCCCAGGAGTGTCCCATTCTTCCCCAAAGTGGTGTCCCATTCTTACCCCACCGGAAAATTCTACAATTGCAAGTTAACGAATCCATTGATGTCAAAATGAGTTGGTGGATCGAAATCCTCGTTCTTTTAGCTTTCCAAAACACTTTACTTTTCTGTTTATGTGGGCTTCTGTAGTGTTCTTATTAGATGACCTCTGCGGCAAATTTTTCCAATCTTTAGAAAACCCATAATTGCCATGTTTCGCTTGATTTCTTAATTCCCATTTCTATGAGCAGTCATTGTCGCGCCGGATGAAAAATGGAATACTAGACACCTCAATGAGCATTTTAAGCACAAACATGTCATTATAGGACGTTTTAAAATGCCAAAACTCGTCAAGTTTAGAAAGTGTCCCATTTTTCCCCAAGTTTTCAGTGTCCCATTATTACCCCAACTGACCCTATCTTGTAAAAGCAAATTCTTGCCCTGACCTCCAGTCAAAATGTTATGGGGTAGGGAGAAAAGATGAAGTTGGTAAAATGTGTCTAACTTTTCCTTTATTGCAATCCTTCTCGAAACACAGCCATAGTAAATTCACAATGTGCGGTTTGAATCAAATTAATCTTTGAATCCAGTCAGTCATATATTCAACACTCTCGCAGTGCAGCGGACGGATGCTACGTGACATCACGCCGACCGAAGACATATCAGCAAGTGCACGAATAATCGTGCACAGTACGTCCTGACTTTGTAGAATGTGCGTCATGAAAAAATCTGTCAGCAGTCTTGTCTCAAGCGTAGGTAGTCTAGTAGTCCTTCTGCTCGGCGTACTTAGCGCTCTCCTCGATGGCGTGCTGTGCCTCCTCGGACAGCTTGGGCAGGTGGTCGCCGTAGGCGCGGAAACCCTGCTCGTCAGCGGTGTACTGGACAGTGTACGTGACACCGTCGGGGCCGGGGTAGGAGTAGGAGCCGGAAACGGAGGAGGATCCCTCGGCGCTCTTGCTGGCGAGGACCTTGCCCTGCTCGTCGTGGTTGATGCCGTTGGATGTGGCGTATCTGCAAGGGAGACAGCACAACGATGCTTTAAGACGGGTCTCCATTACGAGTGAGAGCAGATTCGCAGCCGCGCAGAACATCCTCCAAAAGAATTCTATTTAAAAAAAACCTCAAAGGAAGTACTCACCCGTACTGGTAGATTCCAGTGCCAGCGTCGTCATTGTAGAACTTGAGGATGGAGGAGGCACCATCGGCAGACTGGTAGCTACCGGGGAACATGGCACTACCGCCATACTTGGCAGAGGCCTGGGAGTACAGAAGGGGGTCCTTCTGGAAGGCAGCTCCGTAGGCAGCAACGGCAGGCTTGGCGGCGACGAGGGACTCCTGCTTGAAGGCGGACACGGCAGGGAAGGCGCTGTAGGAGGAAACGGCGGGCGCGACGAACTCCTTCTTGTAGGTGGCCAGGGCAGGCTTGGCGGCGATGAAAGACTCCTGCTTGTAGGCGGACGCAGCAGGGAAGGCGCTGTAGGTGGAGACAGCGGGCTTAGCGGAGATGAAAGACTCCTGCTTGTAGGAAGTCAAGGCAGGTTTGGCAGAGATGAAAGACTCCTGCTTGTAGGCGGACGCAGCGGGGAAGGCGCTGTAGGTGGAGACAGCGGGCTTAGCGGAGATGAAAGACTCCTGCTTGTAGGCGGACGCAGCGGGGAAGGCGCTGTAGGAGGACACGGCGGGGGCGACGAACTCCTTCTTGTAGGTGGCCACAGCGGGCTGGGCGGCGACGAAAGACTCCTGCTTGTAGGCGGACGCAGCGGGGAAGGCGCTGTAGGTGGAGACAGCGGGCTTAGCGGAGATGAAAGACTCCTGCTTGTAGGAAGACAGGGCAGGCTTGGCGGCGATGAGGGACTCCTGCTTGTAGGCGGACGCAGCAGGGAAGGCGCTGTAGGTGGATACAGCGGGCTTGGCGGCGATGAAAGACTCCTGCTTGTAGGAGGACAGGGCAGGCTTGGCGGAGATGAAAGACTCCTGCTTGTAGGCGGACGCAGCAGGGAAGGCGCTGTAGGAAGACACGGCGGGGGCGACGAACTCCTTCTTGTAGGTGGTCAGGGCAGGCTTGGCGGAGATGAAAGACTCCTGCTTGTAGGCGGACGCAGCGGGGAAGGCGCTGTAGGAAGACACGGCGGGGGCGACGAACTCCTTCTTATAGGTGGTCAGGGCAGGCTTGGCGGAGATGAAAGACTCCTGCTTGTAGGCGGACGCAGCGGGGAAGGCGCTGTAGGAAGACACGGCGGGGGCGACGAACTCCTTCTTGTAGGTGGTCAGGGCAGGCTTGGCGGCGACGAAAGACTCCTGCTTGTAGGCGGACGCAGCGGGGAAGGCGCTGTAGGTGGAGACAGCGGGCTTAGCGGCGATGAAAGACTCCTGCTTGTAGGAACTCAGGGCAGGCTTGGCGGCGATGAGGGACTCCTGCTTGTAGGCGGACGCAGCGGGGAAGGCGCTGTAGGTGGAGACAGCGGGCTTAGCGGCGATGAAGGACTCCTGCTTGTAGGCGGACGCAGCAGGGAAGGCGCTGTAGGAGGACACGGCGGGGGCGACGAACTCCTTCTTGTAGGTGGCCACAGCGGGCTGGGCGGCGACGAAAGACTCCTGCTTGTAGGCGGACGCAGCGGGGAAGGCGCTGTAGGTGGAGACAGCGGGCTTAGCGGCGATGAAGGACTCCTGCTTGTAGGCGGACGCAGCGGGGAAGGCGCTGTAGGTGGACACGGCGGGGGCCACGAACTCCTTCTTGTAGGTGGAGACAGCGGGCTGGGCAGAGATGAAGGACTCCTGCTTGTAGGCGGACGCAGCGGGGAAGGCGCTGTAGGTGGACACGGCGGGGGCCACGAACTCCTTCTTGTAGGTGGACACAGCGGGCTGGGACACGAGGGTCTTGTAGCCGGACAGGCTGACTAGAGCAGGCTGCTTCTGGATGTAAGCGCTCTGCTCGTAGCCACCAGAGTAAGCGGTCACGGCGGGCAGCTGCACCTGCTGGGCGCCCTCGAGCTTCTCGATCTTCTCATACTTCTGGATCTCGCCGTTCAGGAGGACAGGGTTCTCGATCTTCTCAACGGTCTTGAGAAGGGTGGGCTGTCCGGACACGTATGCGGTCTGCTGGAAGGCAGTCACGGGCACCTGGAAAAGAAACAGAGTTATGCCCCAAAAAATTCAGAAAAACGTACTTTTTTCCTCTCTTTTATTCAATGTTTTCTTGGTGCGCTTACCTGCTGCTCCACGGACTTGACGAGCACGGAGGCGGGCTGCTGGAATTGCACCTGGTATGCGGGCTGGGCAGAGGTCTGAACCACCTTTTCGTAGGAGAGGGAGCCAGAGGTGTACCCAGCGGGCTGGAGCTGCGCGACGGCGGCCGCGGCGAGGCAGGCAACGAGGACCTGGAACCAGGGCAGGGTGAGTGAGCACCAGGCGGGCACGGCGAAGTACGGCGAAGAGGGCGGATTCGCCACCGAGGCCGATCTTGCCGACAACGTACCAGGACTTTCATGATTGCAGGCTGGCTGTTCCTTGAGTCGATCAGGGTCAGACTGACTTCTGGACCACCATGCCCGAGTATATATATACCCGGTGCCAACAGCAGGGCGGTTCGGCTTGGAGGGGGAAAGGGTTTGCGTGCCGCGCGAGTCCTGTGTGTGCGAGAAAGAAGGAAGGGGACTTTGCGAGAATAGTCTGAGCAGATTCATCCCATGATCACCGCTTCCTCTCTTCTTTTTTCTGCTCTCTCGTCTTGATCGGCGCGGTCTTTGGCTCGGTCCCCACAGACCGCGCGGGGCTTAACGGACTCAACCCAAGCCTCCTGAGTCCTTCCAATCGACCTGGGTAGGAGATGCCGAAGTGCGCAGTGGAGGGTGCAGTGCAGGCAGCGCGCTGCAATCGCAATGGTAATGCGGGTAGGCCACCCATTCGCTAGCGCGCTGCGCTGATGTGCTGGTGGCCTATGCTGCAGTTCACAGGCGCTAAGGATGAGCGTCGCCGAGAACTATGACTGTACTTTTATCAATAGATGTGGTTTGTCTCTCTTTGTTTTCCCGGGGATTGTTGGCCCGACTTGACGAGACTGCTAGTGGGCTGCCCCGCCGCGCCGGGCCGCCCTCGGGGGCTGGGCCCGGGTCCGGTCCGTTTTGTGTCTCCAGCTCCGAACGAATGTCAAGCGGCCAATAAAGGTTGGCGACAAGGCGCCTCGCAAGGCGCGACCGCAAGCCAATGTCATGTCGGTGAGGAAAGGGGCGGTGTCGTTGAGGCGGGCGTCGAAGGGGCGCCTGGGATGCAAACTCCTTGTTTCAGTGCACACGTAATGACATGAAGCAAAACGTGCCCTATGAATTATCATCAACCGAGATTTTCTCTGACAGCCCGTTCTCCCGATAAAAAATTTCGTTCAAAATAAAGTGTGTTTTTTTTTCCTCGCCATGATCTCTTTTTCGAATAGAGTTTTTACGTGAAGCAAACAACGCGTTTTCTGGCTCCGGCGATCCATCGAGCAGTGATTCAGGCAGGCCGCGAAACTGATCGCAGGCCAGCCGGCAGTTTGACCCTGACCGTGGCGCGGCCCAGCACTGCAGCCAGTAGTGCCGCCAGTGCTGGCGGGCCTGGTGAGCCGGGACCCAGGGGACCGAGTCGGGACGGGTTGGGGTGGCAAGGGGACAGCAGCAGCCGTCTGATTCCGAACACTGCTTCGTCGCTCTGTCTCTCTCGCACCCCTACGGAGCGCCCCATGAGTGCGAGAGAGGCAGAGCGACGAAGGCAGTGCTCGGAATGAGACGGCAGGGTCGGCGGGCCCGGCGGGCCGGTTCCCAGAGGTCGTGACCGGTGATGCTGGTGCTATGAGGCGGTCCGCGGGTCCGCGGTGTTTTGAGTGTTACGCGCTGATGGGGACAGTTTCACGCACATGGCATTTGCCTCGCACCTCGCAGTGGGTATGTTCATGTAAGAGTAGGCTTTAGTTAATGCTGGTTGACTCTAAATGTGTGTATAGATATTAGTCAATTGACACGTCGCAGGAATTGTTTTGATCGCGTATTCGCGTATAAAAGAATTTTGTTGCGAAATGTGGAATTTGTGAATCAGGTTTAGGGGTGGATGGTCGCCACTGGCAAAACAAAGCCATGAAAATAAGGGTGAGCGAGTAGTCTCTTACGATGGGATGCAGCCCTTCGGAAACCTCAACGCTGTAGGCACCGCTGGGTGGAGTGCGAGCTCACTGGACTGTTTTGAGGCTCCACGGATCAACTCGATGCCAGCTTTGAACTGGCCCCACCGGCCTGGGAAGCATTGCCAAGCACCGCCAAGCCGCCCCGGCCTTGGCCTTTGAGGCCGCATCGCTGCTAGTCGCTGCTAGTCGCTGCCCGCGGCCAGATGGGCGGCGCAGCGTCCCTGGTGACGCTGGCAGTGCTGCAGTCGCCAAGGACCATAGCCCTAGCCAGATGGTGATCTGCAGACAACGAGACTCGGCATGTGGATCGCTGTCAGAAACGTCAATTGACCGAATTCGTAATTAGTTACCACGCCAGTGCGTTGGTTCTGCAGGGGGCGTGGTCTCTGACCACTGGCCACAGTGGCGTATTGGCTCGGCGGTCGCCTCGTAGGTGTGGCAGTGGCTGGCGGATCCGGAGTGGAAAGAGGGGGGCGTGTTTGGAGCTAGGGACGAGAAGCTCGCCTTATAGTTCGTGCCTCAGGTGGGGTGCCGGCCGGGCCGGCGGGCGCTCGCGTCACTAAGGCAGAAACTATCTCGATGGGGATTCGCAGTTTGGTGTTTTTCTTTTTGTTCTATTCGAGCGGGAGTCCAGTCATGGCACTAGAGGGCGTTGACATGTCTCTGCTGGACCATGTACGGTACTCGGATGGAAAGTTGAAGATGGGACAGTCATTGCACTGAAACTGGGTAAAATGAGCTCCGATTTCAATAACGATTTCTTTTAATACACAATTCTAATCTGAAATGACTTTTCTCATTGAATATTTTCAGATATGAACACCAAACAAATACTCTGAAAACAAATAAATATTAATGTCAAGAAGACATTCTGAAGAAACAGAAACATTGAGGTTCATAACTAGAGCACACAACTGTGCCCTTACTAGACAACATTTACACTTACACTTAAAACATTGACTAGCTGTTTCATTCTGCATCAAACAATGTGGAATACAAACTTCTGTCAACTGCTTCAGAACTGTGTCCCCACACTCATCTTTATGAAATGTTAAAAAAATGGAGAGAGAATTGGCAACATTGCAAAAACAAATTCAACAGTGAGTGATTGGCTCATGTCCAAAGTGCTGTTTTTCAAAAGTTTGTCTTGAGAGAGGTAGTTTGTACATTTAAATTTTCTCTGTAAACTTGCTTAGAGACATCTTTTCTTCTAAGCTTTCTGGTAATTCTTGTAAGAAAAGTGGAGGCAGGGACCCTGCCTAGTTTAGGCGGATAGAAAATTAATACTTCTAAGATTTACAATATCCATCACAAAATATTACAATTATGTTATCTCCGATGAATAATGATATTAATAATGATGATAATAATAATACACTTTCAAAGACAACAATATTTGAAAACTGATCCCATTGTTCTACATAAAGGCTATGATTACACAACAAATGTAAAGTAAAGGCCAATAATACGCTACTTTTTGTTTCCAGGTTTAGTACAGCCTATTTCTGATTACCTTGGCAGATATGATGTACTGAGAGGAAGGCACACAAGATGAGCAAAAGATAAAAATAATATGAATAGAAAGTAACAAGTAAATTACACTTTTCAGACAACACCAAGTGTTTTTAAAAAGACCTATGTCGACATATATCTGCAGTTATTCATTACCCTGTTAGCACAGATGCAACCAAATTGTCATGGTCATCAACGGCTTTTGTTTGTACTATGTATATATTGCATAATTTCCTGAAAACAAACAAAAGGCTAGACAAGCACACTTTTTATGCATTCGTGCTTACTGGGTCTGCAGGAATATAACAGAGCATGATCGCTTCAAATATATCTTTTAAAACCATTGTTCCAAAAATACAAGTAATTTCAATTTCTTTGAAAATGCAGTGTCCCTAATCTTAACTCAGTATTGTAAAATGTAATACATCTTTATATAAATAAGGTTGAGTGCATCGTCCTACTAAGTGCTCTGTTGAAGAAATATCTACAGAAAACACTTTACATTTAATCCAATAAGATTATACACTGACACAGCCAGACGTTTAAAGTATTTGAAAAAATGTACAGCTATCAAGGAATGGTAGGGGTAAGTTTGTAACAAAAAAAGAAACAGAGCATTGCCTCAAAAATATAATTGATAAAACTAATGTAAAATTTGATCATTTGCCCATTTTCCTTACCATGCATCACACACAACTTGTTTTAACAAAAACAACATACATTTGTAAGAATTTGGGCTGTATATGGTGTTTGTAGTAAGGCACTCAATCATGCTATGCAATCACCAGTTTAGATATTCGGACAAGAGTAGTAAAGTTGAGAAAAAATATTAATCTAATAAATGCCACATTTAGCATTTTGGTAACACTTCACTCCAATGCTAAATGTTTACAAAAACCATTCTGCTCAATCTTTAAAAAACGGGATACATGAGAATTTAACTACATATCTTATGAAGGAATGTGAGCGTGAGCGGTTGTCTAGCTGTTTCTATTTCCCATGCACCGTGACTGCACACCCTAGCACCACCAGATGCTCTTTGTGCATTAGAATGCACATGAGAGCTAACACATTTTATGCGCATTAGGCACATAATATTCGTATAAAACGTGTTACATTAACACTTTGTTGCAATAATTTTTCACAACCCAACATAATATTGGCTCTCATTCAAATAACGATCCAAAAAAAGCCGGAATTTCAGTTGTACTGAGCCACGGTTGATACATGCCAGCATCTTTGTTGAGGATGATGATTCAAGGGCGGCAAAGTCCATTAACAGCTATATTGAGTTCGAGATTGATACTAATTAACTCGCTCGCTCACGCATTCACACAAAGACACACCTACATACACAAACACGCATAAGCTCGAAAGCTACTTGTAAAAAATATGTATCACAAAAATGTATCATTGTATTCATTCTACATCGTCTCGAGACAATGGACACGCGTTCTTCGCCTCTCACATTTAATACTGTTCCACAGACACAATGACAGGCCTTCGGCACTGCTTAAAACTTGCGAAGGATTCCTTGGCAAAGTAACGCTCATACTTTGCAAGGTTCAAGCAGTGCGTCTTCGCCTCGCCCTATGGTTTGGCGAGGGTTTGGCTTGGTGTTTAATCTCCAATAACACCCTGAAAGGGCACCCGAAAGGGCACCCGAAAGGGCAGAAAGACTACTAGATGTGGCCTTAAAACCTCGATCTGGTGTCAAGAACCGGTGACAGACAATATGTTGATCCAATGTGACCTCTGCGACGGCACGGGCACTCCCTCTTCGCCACCCTCACTGCTCCTTGCTGTCCTTGCTGTCCTTGCTCTTGACCGAGGAGCACTGCGTTTGATGCCGGTCGTGGGGGAACAGGTACGAGAACTCGGAGCGGCCTCGGGCGTAGCTCTCGAACTCGGCTGCACAGAGAAAGCAGAGGTTCGATTACAAACAATATTCAGTCTCAATTAAAAGAGAATAATAATGACGCCTTCCCTTCGTCGAACTTTGACTATTCATATTGACTGTCATGGTGAGCGTCTCGTGTCTTTGAGCGCGGGCGCGATCGGGGGAAGTCCCAAGAGCACCGCCCCGGTGCCGCCCGCCCCGTGGTGCCCAGTTTCGTTTTGTCGATTGGCGGAAATAGCAGCCGTTTAGAAAAGTGGGGCAGTCCGTCGCATCGGGGGGCAGAAACTAGAGCCAAGGCCGACAGAGCGGCAGCGCGGCCCGGCCGGCCCGGCGCCGGCGGTGCTGTTCGACTCGATTGGACGGGACGCCGCCGACGCCTGGCTATCAAACATGCATCGGGTCACCAGGGCGAGCCGCATCGACCGAGGACTCGATTCGGTGGCCACTGCGGACTACCATCCTTCTTACAAAGGGCTCGAATTTTTAAAAATTGGATTCCTCATTAGAGCTAAACTGAAAGACCGAAGAACACAAAGTTATGCCCTCTGCACTGAACAGCAGGTCTGCGGCAACTCAGCAAACCAAGAAGTTAAATCATTCCAATTAGAATTTTCTTATATGTAATTTTAAAATGTATCAAAAAGAACTTTTTAAATTATGTACTTGGAGAAAATAAACTATTTCCAGGGCTTCTTATTTATTCGCCTCGCCTTCTTTCGGACCGAAAAGCTAAACCCACACTGATCGACAGCTGAAAAAATTGACTGATTTGGGTTGAATAGTGGGTACTAACCGAATGTGATCTGCCCCTTGCCGTCGACGTCCACGTGCCGGAAGGTGTCGTAAGCGTCTTCCCAGGAAAGGGCCACCGCGTTGTGAAGCGCCTCTGCCACCTCCTGCACCCCGAGCCGGCCCACGCCGGTGCGGTCGTAGATCTGCAGTGGGGAACATTCACAGTAAACAACACCAAAGGCTCTGCTGTCTGCTGGGTCAGGGCGCTGCAGCATTTTACTTCCGCCACACTGCGTCCGACCCCGCGCAGTCTCACCTGGAAGGCTAGTTGGACCATCTCCAGCGACGTGGTGGCCTTGGAGACGGCCAGCACGCCCAGCAGGTACTCCCTCAGGTCGACCACGCCAGCTCCGTCCTGCACATTGCACAAGGCTCAGAGATCATCATCACCGCGCAGCCAGGCAGCAGCCAACCGTCGCTCGCGCAAGTCGGATGGGTTGCCTACGCAGCCCGGCGCGCGCGCTCGCGGTCGCGGTCGGCCAGCGGACCAGTTCAGGCGGGTATGCCTCAAGACCCTCTTTGAACTTGGTCCCACCTGGGACTCAAATCAAGCCCTAGCAATCCCTTGGCACCGTCGAGCGACAGAAAAGAGGCCGTTTGAAGGACACCGCGACCGAGCTCAAAACGTTGCGGTGTGTGGTGCCTCACCTTCTCGTACAGCTGGAACAGGTGCAGCGTGGCGGGGTCCTTGGCGTCCACGCACAGGCAGTCGGCGAACTGGACCAGGGTGACGGCACTCCAGTCCAGGGCGTTCGGCCCGTGCGGCCTCTCCGTCAGCAGCCGCTCCTCCGCGCAGCTCTCGTTGAGGCTGCCCAGCACAGGTTAGGTTAGCTCGACGGAGACGGACTGACGGTGACGACGGCGGCGGAGCGCCGAGCACCGCGGATGGAGGCACTCACCCCAGCTTGGCGCGCAGCTTGTGCACCTCCAGCAGGTTGGCGGTGCGCGCCAGGCGCATCTGCTTGACCCTGGACAGCAGCCTGCAGTCGTTGTAGGTGTAGTCGGACACCGGCACGTCCAGCGCCCTGCGGCACACAGCGCAGTAGAAGCAAGTCCGCCCGCTGCGTCACTGACACGTCACTGGCACGTCACTGACACGTCACTGGCACGTCACTGACACGTCACTGGCACGTCACTGACACGTCAATGACACGTCACTGACACGTCACTGACACGTCACTCACCTGGCCATGATGCGGCGCACGTTCTGCGCGTACAACTTGGGGTTCTTCTTCTCCTCCTCGCTGGGCCGGTACACCGGCAGGAACTCGATCTCACAGCTGCTGTGCGGCTGGGTGAGCGTCATCCAGAGCAGCTTCAGCCTGAAAAAGACGATGCCATTACTGCAAAGCTGCTGAATGAGGTCACGTTTCTCGATTTGCGGCGAAGGGCCGGAGGTGACGTCGAGCGACTGCTGCGGCTTCGCAGGCTTCGCAGGCTTGGCGCGCCCCGAACCCTCCTCGAGCTGGTGGAACGTGGAACTCACGCGCCCGGCCCCTCCCACGTCCACGTGACCGTGTCCAGCTTGTTGGGGTAGCGGATGCAGACGGGCTGCACGGGCACGCCCGGGTAGAAGGCGCCGTGCTTGAAGGTGATCAGGCAGGACCGGTTGGTGCACGTGCCCTCGGGGAAGATGAGCACCTGGAACAGCAAGGACAGGGTGGTCACACTGAGCCAAACTACGAAACCGCTCCAGCGAGACGCGATTGCTCGAATCACCCCTTGCCGGCAACAACAGTTGGGGAATTCGCTGCCTAGTGGTGGAGAGCCGGAGGGTTGCCTACCAGCAGGCGCCAGTCAGCGCCCGTCAGTGCCAACAAAAAGGGGAATAGGGCCTCAGAAAACCCTGAAAGAAAAATCGAGGCGTTTCGTTCGAGTTCAAAATTGCGCAAAACTAAAGCTGTGACTAAAATTCACTGCCATGATTCTAAACGACTTGAAACAGCTTGGATCACAAAGGATCCTCTGCTTTTCTCGGCCCGTACAAGTGGTGTCTGGGAAATGCCATCGTGAGATGATGATGCGATATGCCATGCGGCCGTAGAGGAGGTTTGTATCACGGCCTCTGGAGAAAAAGGCTAACCTGGGGCCAGTCCGCCGCCGACGTCGCCCTCTGGACAATCTCCTTGATGGACTTCTGGCGCGACAGGGGATCTTCCCGCCAAACGTACACGGGCTGGGTGTAGTTGATGAGCTCTGGAAGCAGGAGAAACTGAGTCATTAAAATGGCTATTCATTGCGGGAAAACGAAACAACGTCACCAAAATTCAATAACGTGATTTTAATTTTATTGGGAGTTTCTGATATTTTTAATCTGGACGATGGGGAAGGCGTAAAAATTTGACCCTCTTTCCTTCCCTTAGAGACCCAGAAGCACAGCAGGGCAGGAAGCTAAAGCTATAGACTCATTAAGACGGTAAGTATAGCTATTTGAATGCATTTTGGTACCGATCAAATATCTGCAAAAATAGAATGACTGACGTACTGATGTGCTCCTGGGCCTGCAGTATGGTATTGTGACACAACCAGGCAAATTTGACACACAATCTAAACAACACAAATACACATCATTATCCCAACAACGACGATGATATGATCTCCGTGCATGTTTAGTAAGCTAGAGCATACAGTGCTGGTTAAAAGTTGGGACACAAGAACAAAAGTAAGAACTAAGATACAGTACTTATTCGTGCCATCTAGGACAAAAAAAAAATTCAACAATTCTCATGCTTAGTTCAACGTAGTCCGTAATGATACAAACATTGAAAATCAACGTTATAAACGTCGGAAATAAATACCTCAAAAAGGTAGCCCGCGCGAGCTTTCGAGCTAAATATGAGGGCAGAGAGGGGTGGGGGGTAGTGGGGGTTAGTGGGGGGACGTACTTCGCAGCCAGACGTTGCGGCCGCTCTCCTTGCGGCAGATGATGCTGGGGTAGCCGGTGAGGTACACGATGCCCGCGTCCAGGAACGTCGAGTGCGGCGCGGCCACCAGGACGGGGGCCTCCTCGCGCGCCGCCTGGCGCCCCTTCACCACCAGGGACATGCCGCCCATCTCGTAGGACAGGCGGCCCAGGACACTGATCCAGCCGCGGACGGTCCTGCGGCCAGTTTGGACTTACACTCTCGGCATGGCGGTCGCGTGGCGGCCAGGGCGGTCACCAGGCGTGCGAGCCACCGCGGTGCCGCCGCGGTGCCGCCGCGGTGCTCCGCTACGGGGTCGCCGGATGAGGAGGAGCTGGCCAACAGGCCGACGGGCCGACAGACATGCACCCTACCGTTCTACTGGTTCTACTCGCGTGAGCTCGCTCCCACCCGGCGACGCGCTCGACGCGCTACACTACAAGCACCACGCCACCAACATGCAGGGCCAACACACTACACACACGACAGCGGAGGGCCTTGGTCAAGGCGACAAGGCCGGGACACCTACTGCCGAAGAAGGGCAGGTAGCCGGTCTCTCCCTTGGCGACGACGCTGGGGCCGCCCAGGCAGACGACTGGCAGGGCGTCGAAGTACGACGAGTGCGGCGCCACCGCCAGCACGGGGGCCTCCTTGGCGGCGGCCTGGCGGCCCTTGACGCGCACGCGGTGGAAGCCGCCCACGGCGAACAAGCCCCGCATCAAGAAGCAGAGGGCGGACTTGGTGTCTCTGCAAAGCAACAGGGCGGTCGGAACCACGACTATCGCCAGAGTCTTCCTCGTAGGCTCTCGGCGAGGCTCTCGGCGAGGCTCTCGGTCCAGCCGCCTGGCCGCGCCGGCCGCGCCGAGGAGGAAGATCCAAGGATATGTACAAGTCGGAGACCGATATTGGTCAATTCTGGAAGCCTCCATCAAGCGGGGCCGTGCAGAAAGTACGTCGTCGCGGATCTTACGCCAAGGTTTCACCTATTCACTCACTCATCCAACGCATAGACAATTTTATTTTGCCATGCAGCAAATTTGGCTATGAAGTCAAATGACTCATCGCATGGAGCAATTAGAGAGTGGAAAGGGTACGGAATCCCGTCCTCTTTGATAAGGCTTCTATAATGAAATGAGAAAATCATCTTAACTCACACCTTAATGTATTTTCAAACGAGAAGCGCAATTTCTGCACGGCCGATGGGCAATGTCAAAGTAGAGGAAGCATGCAAAGCCCGAAAAATGTTTGTACATTAAAGTCGCCCTTTAGCGTCGTTACTGAATTACTATTTGGGGACAGTACCGGAAGAAAGATGAGTGCCCCAATGCCTCGATTGGCAACTTCAATAGGCATTTATACATTCCTTAAAAAAGCGAAGTGATGCTCGTTCAAACTCGATTAGAGAAAGAGATGAGAAATTTTAAATATGAAAAAGGAAACCCAAAACCTGCTGTATTGTTTTACCCACTGGAGTGTATTTCCGTGGGCAGAAAATACAGGCACTGTTTCGTGTTATGCTGATATTTTAAGTCGTTGCTATTTCTAATATTCGGTTTTGCATAAAAGTATTTTTCAGGTTTTTTTTCTTGGTGGATCCTGCTGTCTGCGCCCAGTCACCGGCCTGCTCACCTAGCCCCCTAAAGGCACGAGGCTGCACTCCCCGCGCCAGAACGCCAGAAATAGCCCGGCGCTGCGTCCCACTGTGGGCCAGAAGACCGGTGGAGGCGGCAAAAACTCTAGACACGCTTTGCGCTACAGAGTCGCCAAGCAGGACTCGAACTGAACGTGTGACCGCACCAATGGTTTGCTCTCCGAACGAGGAATCCATTGGTGGGGTCACACGTTCAGTTCGAGTCCCATTCAGCGACTTTGGAGCTCAAAACGCGTCAAGGGTTTCGGCCGCCTGCGCCGGTCTTCTGGCCCACTGTGCGTCCCGGCGCTGCCTCTGGGGCAGGCCCCTGCAGGCCCCCCTATGGCCCCACACCACTGCGGGCTGCAGAGAGGCCCTCTGGGGCGCAGGGCCGCCCTGCCTGGCCTGCCGGACTTGCCAGCCCCCGTCCCGTTACACCCCGCGGCCCCGCGGCCAGCAGCATGAGCAGCATGGTCCATTGTCAGCCTCGACACGATTCGCTGCGTCACCGAGTGACACGCCGAGCCGTGCTGGGCCTGGGCCGTACTTGCGCCGCGGGGACTGGGTCAGCCCAGCCAGTGGACCCGGCGGGCTTTCTGGCGTGTCTTTAGTGGCGATGGCGAGTAACGGAGGTGACAGTGTTGGCAACACCGAGCGGCCGTTCAACACTTGAATCGCGACCGACGCGCAAGCGCGCCTTCGCTCCTTCGGCCCACTGGGTAGCGCGAAGCAGAATCCACGTAAATTGATCTACTCTTGAAGAGAAAGAGAAATTTGTTGGCACTGTCGCGAAGCGTGAAGCGACGGCGACGTGAAGCGGGTGGCTTACTTCCTCCAGCCCGTCATGGGCTTGGTGCGGAGGTCCTCCTCGCTGAGGCCGATGAGGCCGACGCACGCCAGGAGCCATGCCAGCACCAGCAGCACCGCGATGGCCAGCACGCGCAGCGGCAGCACCGTCACGGTCAGCAAGGCCGTCTGCAACCAGAGGACCAACAGTCAGTTTAGCAACAATACCCGGGCAGTGTTTGAAGCACAAGGCAACAGCAAGACATGAGTAATGGGCCGAAACTAGTCCTCGGTGTAAAAATTAGCCTACGGTATGGTTCTTGTTTTTGTTTGATTGTTTGGAAACTGAAAACACAAAGTATCGTAGAAATGGAAGGAAATATCAAGATGAACTTGTAATAGATTCGGAAAGGTTCTGGTTAGTGATCCTTGGGACTTCGTTTAAGGGTAGTTGCCCCCTCCTCTAGTGAATCTTTGTGAATGGCGGCCTGCTTTAGGGCGCGGGGAGAGGGGCGTTTAAAGAATGCCCGGCAGCGCGCTCGCTGCCAAAGCTTGGCCGCCGTCTCGGCCACGTGGACCCCAGCGAGTGCTGAACTTGACCTCTTGTTGAAAAACAAAGCGGAACAGTTGGCAGTCTCGGGAGGGAAAATGCCGAAGACGCCGTGTCCAACCATGACGCGCAGACTTGACGAAAAATACCTTCTTTTTTGGGGAGGCAGGAAGGGGAGGAGGGGAGGGGGCATTGTCGGCAGCTTGCCAGGGACGCATCGGCACATCCAATTTCTCCCTCGTTAAACGTCGTCGTGAGGTTGGTAGCGCCGAATCGTCGGGCCGTTGGTTCGTCTTCTTCCGGTGTATCGCTTTTTTTGTGCCGGGCGCCTGAGAGGTAGGCCACCAGCGCACACGCCTGCGCAACGGGCCGGCCTACCCTGGCAATACCATTACCATTACGGGCTAGACCACACATGATCGTATGCCGTTTCGGGCCCGCCCTGCCAGGCCGCCGGGCCGCTAGGCCGCCACCGGGCGGTGCACTGCGTACTGCACTGCGTTCTGCGCATCTCATCGGCGGCGCGCGGCGCCCTCTGCCTCCTCCAAAGTTCCGCGGCACCGCGGGCATGCCGCGGCCAAGGCAGGCAGCCGCAGCCAGCCGCAGCCAGCCGCTGGCACTCGGCCGGCGCGCTGTAAACCTCGTCACAATCGAGCCGTACATCACCTCGGTCCGCGTCGCGTCGCGGCGAGTGTGCCTTCCGGCGCGCACACACACAAAGACGGCCATAGAGACACACATGCACACGCTCCCGTACACACACATTGACGGAAGGCTAGTGCCCCTGAGTCTTCGTGACGTCGTCGCGCACACACTCGCACGCACACATGCTATTTCAGATTTCCTTTCGGACAAAGAGGCGAGTGCGTTGGCGAGGCAAAGAAGAGGGGTGGGGGCAGCTCTCGGGGTTGGCCGTCGTAGGGGTCCGCACACACACACATACACACGCACGCACGCGAGGCGCACGACCACGAAGACGCGGTGCGGTGCACTGAACGCCAGGGCTTCGGGGCGCTCGTCGGAGCGCTCGTCGGGGCCAGCGCCGCCAGCACCGGGTCGGCGAGGCTCCCCCAGGACACGACGCACTGGTTCGCGCGCGGCCAACTCGTTGACACGCGCTGCAGCAGCCCGGCCCGCCGCGGGCAGTGCAGCACACAAAGGAACCTCCACCGCGGGCACGGCCTGCACCGCCACCGGGAGCACCGCCGCCACGTGGAGTCGACTCGACGAGACGGCCGCAGCCAGCCGCAGCGCCCACGAGAAGTGCGCCGTCACCGCCGTCGCCGCGGACCATAGGCAGAGCATCCCGGTCGACATCCGCGGCCTTGTTCACGCGGCCAGAGCAAGGTGGCATCGTCGCCCAGCCTCCTTGGAGCCCCGGTCCTGCCCTCGGTTAAACAGTGCTGCTTGTGCTCGCTTGTGCTGGGGGTAAGCATTACTTCTAAGGCATGAAACGCGAAAGGCGCGCGGGGTCCGTGACCGCTGCCATCCTCCTCCGCGTCGCTAAAGTGTGCCAGGCAGGCCAGCAGGTTAGGCAGGGATGACGGTGCAGGCCCCGTAGCGGCCCGTAGCAAGTGCCATAGGTGCGCCGTGCTTGCCCGTGCTCTGACCGTCTCCGTCCCCCCAGCCATGTTTCAGATGGACTTTGGGCTCCCGGCCCCAGGGCCCCGCTCGGGAAGCCTCCGGGACGGGCACGGCCACGCGCAGGGCGTGCAGGGCTTCCACGGCGTGCAGGGCGCGGGCCGCCTCATCACGGCGAGCTGCAGCCACCTGGACCTGTACCAGCTGCGCGCGCTCAACCAGGGCGGCAAGCTGAAGCTGGCCCAGGTGCGCCTGCAGGAGCCGGACGTGCAGTGGACGCTGGTCGTCGTCCGGGACTTCGGCGGCGACAGGGCGTCGGTCCGGCTGGCCAACGTGACGGGGCGCGGCAAGGCGCAGGTCAGTGGCACTCACTGCGTCAGTTACCCGTCGTTGGAAAACGACAGCGCGCCGCGACGTCGCCGTCTCACGCACTCCCTCCTCTCCTCGCCAAGGTGCGCTTCACGGGCCGCATCGACACCGAGTCCACGTTCGGGGCCACCACCCCGGGCACGGCGCGGTGCGTCGGCGCCGACGGCCTCATCGACGAGCTCACAAACTTCCTCAACGGCCAGCAGTGCAAGATGCAGGTAAGCCAAGCTCGCCGAGTCGGACGACCGCGCACGGCACGCACGACGTGCATCTGGACGCGTGTCTGCAGGTCCACATTGCCGTGCAGCACACCGGCGCCTCGGCCGAGAACCTCCAAGGGGACGACCTGAGCTCCGACCTCGCCAAGCTACTCGAACAGGGCGTGCTCAGTGACGTCATACTGCAGGTTAGCCAAGAGTGCAAATTCGGCTGTCAAACTGTTTCCTCTCTCTCCCATCATGTCTCTCTGGTCCAGGTGCAGGGCGACAAGGCGAACAAGGGCACGGACATCCGCGCACACAAGGCCGTGCTGGCGGCGCGGAGCCCCTTCTTCCAGAGGCTCTTCATGTCCGACATGGCCGAGAGCCGCACCAGCTCGGTGTCCGTGGACTTCCCCGCCGCCGTCATGGAGCACGTGCTCCGGTATGTAGAGCTGCAGGGCCACTCGCCTCGTTGGAGACGGTCACCTTCATGAGTCCTGGCGTCCGCAGGTTCGCGTACACGGGGCGGCTGGTGCTCGGGGCCGAGGCCGGCGTGGAGGGCGGCAAGCAGAGCGGGGAGGCCGACGCCACCACGGCGATGGCGCTGCTGGCCGCGGCCGACTACTACCAGCTCTCCGGCCTCAAGCGGCTCTGCGAGGAGCGCCTGCTGCAGCGTGTCGGCTTCATCCCTGAGGAGGTAAGCCCGGGCAAGCCCCACTATGTACCAGGACACACGTCAGGCGGGGCGGGCGGGGCTGGCGCCACTCTATCGCACCATGTTACAGGCCCTGCACACCCTGGTGCTGGCGGACCGCTACGGCGCGCGCGCCCTCAAGGACGCCGCCCTGAGCGTGGCCGCCGACCACCTCAAGCCCCTGCGGCAGCGCCCCGAGTGGGCCGAGTTCGCGAGCAACCACCACGACCTGGTGGCCGAGCTCATGGTGGTGCTGGCCGACAAGCTGGAGCAGGCCAACGCCAGCCTGGCCCTTGGCCTGGCCGAGCGGCAGCCCGGCGGCCAGCCCGGCCACCAGGACCACCACGACGCACGCACGCGACAAGCCGGCACGCTGCCCTCGCAAGGCACACTGTTCAGCCTTCGCGGCCCGCCCGTCCTGTGAGGGTGCAACGACTCACAGTGTGGGGGCGAATGCCCGTGGTGATCAGACATTTTTACGACTCAATAAATTAAGTGTTATCATAATTAACGCTTGCAATCCTTCCGCCCGATATCCGCCGATCGACCAGGTGCGAGTACAGGGGAGGGGCAAAGGGGCTTTTGCCCCCCCCCCCCGGCCCTTCGACCCCTGATAGCCGCCTGAAAGGTAGGCAAAAAGGCATTATTTGCCCCCGTCAGTAGGCACAAAGTGCTACCCCTTCTCCCCGTAAAAATGCCGCCTCTGGATCCGCCACTGTGAATGAGACCGGTCAAGCTTTGCGCTGGTTCAGTGCCTCGCGGTGCCCGTGTCCAAATACGCAGCGCCCTGGGCAGGAAGACCAGATTAGGCGGACGACACAGACTAGGAATCCGCAAGCAAAATCATAAATGAATCGATGCCTCTCAAAGCGCCATGAAGCTCAAGAAGTGTCGAAGAGTTAGGTCCGCCTAGACAAGCCGCCTAGCGAACTGTGCGCTGCTGAGCCCGCTCGCGGGGCGGCGGGGCGGCGGGGCGGCGGGGCGGCGGGGCGACGTGGCGGCGGGGCGGCGGGGCGGCGGGGCGGCGGGGCGGCGGGGCGGCGGGGCGGCGGGGCGGCGGGGCGGCGGAACGGCGGGGCGGCACCAGGAACGGGGCGGGCAGGTGGGCGACGGGATGACAGTCAGCATTTCGCGGGGCCAGCCGCTGACGCGGTCATCCGGCTGACTCGGCGGTGAGGTGCACCGCGAGGCTTCGGCCAACAACACGCCGAACTCGGAGCCGCGGCGCGCGCCGTCGTCAGCAATGCAAGGGGCGCACCGTGGTCTTGAAGCATGGGACGGCGAAGACAGCCGGAAAAGGGGGCCACGCCGGCCCACGCCAATTGGCCAATCGATACGTAGCGCCAACGGCCAAGGGCTGCCACGGGCCGCCCCCACGCCGCCACGCCTCCTTCGACCAGCTGACCGCCACGCGCGCCTCACATGACATGACACCCCCGGAGACGAGCCGGGGGGCGTGCCGCTCGGCGTGCCGCTCGGCGTGCCGCCTGCCCTCGGCCCGGGCCACCGTAAGGTCATATGGAAGATAGGTCTGCGCAACCGAGATGCATGCTGGGAGACCGGGCAGCTAATCCCTCCCGAATCCGTCGCCGGCCGCAGCGGAGGACCGCCAGCCTGCCTGCCAGCCTGCCTGCCGGCTTGCCCGGTCTCCCAGCATGCATCTCGGTTGCGCAGACCTATCTTCCATATGACCTTAGGCCACCGTGCCTCGGGCGTTGCCGGCGTAGACGAGATGTCTCAGCCGCGGGCCGCGAGCCCTCCGGCAGCGAGCCCTCCGGCAGCTGCCACCAAAGACCGAGCCGAAGGCCCATGTGGTGAAAGTGGGACGCCCATGCGGGCCGCGCCACGCCGCCCCGTCGCCGCGAGCAGCACCGGCAGCACCTCGCCGAAGTGCAGTGCAGCGAGGCCTCGCTGCCGCGGCTGCTTGCCTACCTGCCAGGGGCTGCCCGAGTGCGGGAGGGCAGGGGGCTCAAAACACCTGCCAAGCCTGGCCGCCCCCAGCTGAGCTAGGTTGGCCTATGCAGGCTGGCACACATTGTAGTATAAAAAAGAAGAAGATACATCTTGCACACTAATGAAGTATTAGACGGAGGGTGAGTGGGGGGTTTATTCACAAGGCCTCCAACAGGCTTCGCTCGGCCGAAATAGAATCAATACGCAAGAATGTGGTGGGTTTCGGCGGCGTGACCACTGCACCAGAGAGAGGGATGGCCGCACCAGCCCCGCTGCTGCCACCGCTGCTGCTACCACTGCCGGCCCGGAGAGGAGGTCACAGCCCCGAAAGTGGTAGCGGAATGCGGCACGGCTGTGCTGCCGGCCATTCCGACCGCTCACCTTGAGAGAAGCCTCGTGAACCCACCCCGCTACAGCCACCCTGGCCGCCCCTCCGCGGCCCGCAATGACCCAGGGAAGACCCGCGGCTACGACGCGCCCCGCCCCGGCCCGCCCCCGCCCCGCACCCCACCCGCGTCGTGTCAGTCTCGCGTCCCCGGGAAACGCGATCCCGCTACACTGCGCGCACCGCGGCGCGCACCCCACACCGCCTGGCCCTGGCCTGGCCGCGCCATTCCCTCTCGGACGCCGACCGACACGCCCCAGGCCCAGACACTGCCACACACGGCCAGACACGGCCCCCCGTGCCGTCGCCGTCTCCGACTCGGAGAAGTAATAACGAAGGACAATTCTGCCGGCTGCCCGCGGCGTGCGCGGTATGCCGCTCCTGGCTGGTCCCAACAATACCGGCACCACAATAGCCCCCCCCCCCCCCCCGCTCGTACCCCACAGCATCCAACGAGTGGACGAATGCCGCGCTCCCAGATATCTGCTTATAACCTCCAAAACACGCGCGATCGCGCGTTCCGCGAAACCCACCCCTCGTTGCCAAACGCGTTGAGGAGCGGTTTATGGCAGAGAAGGAAAGTCTAAAGACAGCTGATGCAACAGTGGACCAGATTTTTGTTGCGCCTTTGTCATAATTTCCAGTCCGTTATGCTATCGCCTCCGAAACAGGCAGGGGTGATTTTTGCTTTAACCCCCGACACACCAAGAAGAAAAAAATCCCACGGGCATAGCGGTTTTCCGGCCTTCGCGCCACTAATTTGCGACGATTTGCAGTAAGTTTGACCATGTGCTGCCACTGCAGACAGCAGCTGTTCGACTCCCAGCAAGGGGTGAGTTCAGTCGCCGACAGGGATGACGACGAAACGAGATTCCCTCCGCGGATGCAACGCAATGCCACGCCTCGAGAGGAGACGAGCAGAGTTCAGCCACACAGCCCACTCACCTTAATCTTTTCGTACGTGGACGCGAACTCCAGGCGGTGCACGAACGGGTTGATGAGCTCCGTCGACAAGTCATCCCCAGGATGCATATTCTCGTTCATATTGATCCTCCCCAGCGATGATTCACTGAGCTCCGTGTTTTAGAGGGCTGCTGCAAGCATATTCTTCCCCTTTTCGGGAGTCCGCGTAGACTCTGGCGAAGCTTCCGGCGCTTAAGACCCACCTCGCACACAAACCTATCACCGCCCCTGCATACGACGAGTGCGAATGCAGCACGCGACGCGAACCGAACAGAGCTGTCTAGCAGACGACAAGACGTAGTCTGCTGGCTCCTGTCACTTCTGGTGCTTTCCGACCTCCGACGCTAGGGGCGCTAGCGGCGCGCCAACTGCACAGTGGTAGCCAACCTCACACAGCTCAGCGGAAAACATTTTGTCTGATCGTTTGCTCGAGTCATATGCCCACAATTGCTTGTTGTGTAGCTTATTTGAATTGATTTTGATATTTTATGATTCATGAACTCGCGAAGATGAGAATATACTTATTATAAGTTTGCCAACTTTCAAGGGGATTTTCAAGACTTTGCAGGCGAGCCTTTGTTTATGATCCGTTAGCCTTATAGGGCATGGGCACATCGAGACAAGTGAAGGTTTCACTGGGGATCATTGAGCGGGAACATTCAAATGCTCCCCTTTTTGTAAGGCATGGTGTTTACTGCTGAAAGAAGATAAATGTTGCAAAGATGCCTAGGCAGGGCGCTAAGCACGCATAGAAGTTGCTGGAGAGTGTTAAGATTGCTTAATCAAACTTTGGCCTTAATGAAAGTAGGACCCCCAGCGATAGCGCCTGCTGGGTAGGCAACAAGCAGTACACAACCGTCCATAACCTCCAACTGCATAGCTTTTATTTGTTTCACGTGATGAAGTCCTAAAATTTTCAATGAATCCAGTTCCTGTAAGGCACGAATGCCAATAAATTCGTGGGCGAGTGATAACCTCCTTTTAAATTTAGATATCTGGAAAGACGTCGAAATTCAAGCTTCCCGCGAGATTGATCCCCAGTGAGTAGAGAACGTTCTGGGTCCCATCACCGCTAGTGACTTCCAAAAAGCCCACTGCCCATGCTCTATGTCAACTAACCTAAGTAAACATGCTTAAGGTGCATTCACGCTCGATGACGCTCGACGCTAGCGTTGACGCTAAGCGTTGACGCTGGCGTGGCGTAGCGTAGTGGAGCGAATTTGAGCAGACGACAGGCGTCAAAACAAGCCCAAAGTGAGAGGTTGCAAAATGCTGACGCTGGGCTCGTATGGTGATGCATAGGGTGTGTCCAGTTTAGCTCGGATTTGCGGAAGTCCGTGCGGAATCCGTGCGGACGCTGCGGAACTTGCGGACGCATGCGGAACTTGGCAGTATTTCTCTGAAAATGGATTGAAATGACTCAACCGACATATTTTTGGAAAGGGGAGAGTGCGAGGATCATCATCGTGTACTCACTTTTTGATTTTGAGGCCTTATTATTGGACAAATGTGCTTTGTTTGACTTTGTAAATACGAGGCGGCGGGCAACATGCTGCGCGCCCGAGAAACTCATTAAAATCATTGCAATGGCACTGGAAAGGGTCACATCGCTATATTTTTGGAAAGGAGGAGGCCAAAGGAGTGCAACAAAACGAAAAAAGGGATTCTACAAGAACTCCAGTTTGAATAGAAGCCGTTTGAAACGTACTGTTGTGAAAACATCGGCTGCGCCGAGGAATTTTTCATGCTCCGCCACGAGAGCTTCTTAGGTATGAGAAATTCGTCAGCGCAGTCGATGTTTTCACAAAAACGTTTCAAACGGCTTCTATTCAAACTGGACGTCTTGTGGAATCCTGTTTTTCGTTTTGTTGTACTCCTTTTGCCTCCTCCTTTCCAAAAATATAGCGATGTGACCCTTTCCAGTGCCATTTTATAGATTTTAATGTGATTTTCGGGCGCGCAGCATGTTCCCCGCCGCCTCGTATTTACAAAGTCAAACAAAGCACATTTATCCAATAATAAGGCCTCAAAATCAAAAAGTGAGTACACGATGATGATCCTCGCACTCTCCCCTTTCCAAAAATATGTCGGTTGAGTCATTTCAATGCATTTTCAGAGAAATACTGCCAAGTTCCGCATGCGTCCGCAAGTTCCGCAGCGTCCGCACGGATTCCGCACGGACTTCCGCAAATCCGAGCTAAACTGGACACACCCATAGCCCCGTACCAGTATCGAGGGTTCAGCGGGGGGTCATGTACTTTCAGTTTAACCTCTATCGTGCTGAAACATAGCCAAAAAGAACCAAAATGTGCGAGTGAAAAACTCCGGACCGACTGGCCGGGGCGTCATTCCGTCACATCCATCCCGAGCGGCACCAGTTGGTCGCGACTGACGACGTGCCGACCAATCGCTGCTCCGAAGTTTGTACGGAGTTTTTAATCGCACATTTTGGTTCTGTTTGGCTATGTTTCAGCACGATAGAGGTTAAACTTAGAGTACATGACCCCCCGCTGAACCCTCGATACTAGTACGGGGCTATGCATCACCATACGAGCCCAGCGTCAGCATTTTGCAACCTCTCATTTTGGGCTTGTTTTGACGCCTGTCGTCTGCTCAAATTCGCTCCACTACGCTACGCCACGCCAGCGTCAACGCTTAGCGTCAACGCTAGCGTCGAGCGTCATCGAGCGTGAATGCACCTTTATATTTTAGTTTTGTTCATCGTCAAAAGCTTAACTTGTGGATTTCTTTTATTTTCACCTCTTTAAATTTATTGTGCAGTCATTTCTTTTTTTAAAAGATGGAAGAACTGGAAAATTCACTTAAGAAATATTTCCTTTTTCTTGGTAAGCACTGTCTACTTTGGGAAAGTGCTGCCAAGAAAGCCAGCAAGTCTTTATGTGCCATTGAGAATTTAGCTGACCAACTTCAATCAGCATCCAGGTTAAAACAATATTCCTGCTAACTCGCGTAACAAACTTTCAAGGTAAACTAACGCTATGATTATTTATTTCAGTACGGGCCCTGATGTTCCAATTAATATACAATTCCCAGACTTGAAACAGCAGATCATCTATAAAACTCTCCTGTCTTTAGAACAAGAGCTCATTCCTATTATGAGTGTCATGTATGTATAAATATAGTATCATAGTAACAAGCCTGACCTCATATATGTATACTAATACATCTGTCCATGTTCTTCAGAAAGGAGATAAGTGAAGCCACAGACAACTTAAACAAGTTGTCAACAATGATTTACAAACATGATGTGAATAATTTCGCATTTGACACAGTATCACTTCGTGTGCTCTTGGAAAGTGTGCATGATACCAGACAATACTATCAAGCTCAGTATCCTTCTACCTGTTACTTCAGATGCCCTTTTTCATCCTTGAATTGATGGTACTGCTCCTTATCTATTTTGGAAGATATGCTGGACTACAAACTGCACTAAGGTGTCTAGATTTCAGAGACAGTAACTCAATCTTCAATTTGCGGAAATGCTTAATAGAAGACAAAGACTTGAAGAGACATGCGGAACGTAAGTTGGTTACATTCACTTGGTGTCATTCACTTGTTTTCTTCCTGCAGAGTTTAACTAAATGCATTTTATCTAATAGGTTGCCTTCTATTTGGAAAATATTTTTTATCAGCCATGAATGCAGAAGAAATTTTCTGATGTCATAAACTTATTAAGTCAATCTTCCAAAATCAGAGCTTCAATTCATGTTTTTTCTGTTTTTTTTTTTTTTTGGGGGGGGGGGTCAATAACATTTCAATATAAAACTCACATGAAGAGATACACATTTTATTTAGTTGTATTTCAAGATACCTCTGTCATTGTTGAAGAGCTACACATCAGTGTGTCAGTCAACTAATATTACATAAATTGCTGCAAAGTTAAGATGCAGAATTTTCACTTGGCAATAAATGATCAAGAAATAACTTAAGTATCACAGTTCAGGACTTAAATAATACTGACACTACATAATTACAATCATGGTATAATATCAAACAAATGCTTTCATATATTCTTCTGTTTCTTATTTTCTTGCTTGGGATGGCCTGTACCCCTCTTCAGTGTAATAGGATGATGTCTCAAAATAAGCTTTCCTGCATCATCACATGACATTCCATAGTCAACAAGGACTTCTCGAGCTCTAGATGTGATGATACGGGGACAAATTACTTGCTTGTGAGCCCCAATTATGAAAAGGATTACTGTAAAAAAGTGGTTCAAAAGAGAGATTCAAAATTAATAATAAAACAAGCTAAATTTAGTTTAAAACGTTAAGGTGTTACTACAGCGCACAAAAAGTATTTGAAGCTGCAGCATCTAGTTTTGTCACTGCATTTTGTTCATGAGAATTCAATTGCAAGTGAAATAGTTCAACAGAAAATAATTACACCAGTTTAAGTAACCAACAACTGACAGGAACCATTGTCTGTCATTGAAGAGGGGTGAACACAAGTAAGTTCCAATGACTTAAGAGTAATCTAGCATCTGCAGTAGATTCTCTTACTGGTCACTGTTAGGGCAACAATATGACAGACCTATTGCAACTAACGCAAAACAAATGCCTAGTAATGCACTTGTATACCAAACATACTTGACTGTTTTGAAACGCCATGAGTACCTTGACCCTAGCCAGGCGACAATGAAGTTGAGCTGAATGGATATACACAGTAAAACTAAGATAATGGACAAAACATAATTGATGCCCAGTATAATGAAATGACCAAGACAGAAACAGAATGAATATGAAGCTTTAAATTGAAATAAATTTGTCACAGATTTTGCTCGCATAGTGTCAGTCAATGGCTGTCAACCATCTATTTCTCCATAGTTGGAATTAAGTGGTAGGCCGAGGTTTTAATATAAGCTTTCCGGTGTCATCACATGACATGTTGAAATCGCTGAGAACTTGTCGTGTTCGAGTTGTGATGATGGAAGGAGCTATAACTCGCTTATGAATCCCAAGAACGAACAGGAACACTGTGAACACCACCCAAAGTATTGAATAAAATCAGATATGTTGAAAAGACGGCTTGGCTAGGAGACTCAAAATGAGGATACTTATAAATAGACATACGGCCCAACCCCTAGAATGTTATTGGTTCAAACCAGAATGCATTATTATATAGAAAATGACCCACTATAAACTGAAAATTAACTCACCTAGTATCACACTGGAGATTGTGAAGAATGGGTGGTTCAGCAACGACTGAGTGAATGAAACCTCAGAAGTATTTGGATCTGTCAGCCAGTGCCATGCTCCAACAGCAGTGCATATTGAAACAACTGCCAATAAAACTGGTGAAATAAAAGACAATGAACAACAGACTATTCATTCATCTGTGCTAACAAAAACGAGCGTACTTACTTCTCCAGCGAGTAGTCGATGGCTGGAGACATGATATGACTTCCGTCAATCGCCTTTCAAATGCCTTCAGATCTGCAGACAAAAGAAACATTTGAAGAAAACAGACGAATTTGGAGGTTAACAAAAGTTTTCAAACAGGTAGCTCAGGAGCCTGACTAAGAGAATTACTATACTTGTCATTGGTGGAAAGTACCTTCGCAAGCAGTTTGTTCCAGAGACATCCTTCGACTGGCTATTTATGGTTTCAATGATATATAGATATATCTAGATTTCCCCCGCGATACAAAATTTCCAACCCCAACCAACAACAGGAAAAGAGTCAAAGAAAAGTGTCTATTCGCAGTAAAGTCAGTCTGTGAATAGCGTGCCGCGCGAGAGCATATCAACATCAACAAACCCGTTTTTTATTTAGTCCATTGAAGTGAATTAAAGGTCGTATTTAGACAGTCATCTTGAGGCGAACTTGGAGCAAATTCTTTGGTCGACCAAAAAAATTGAATTGAAAAATTGAAAAATTCATTTTCATACGCCGACATGTTGAAGGTGTGTATAACCTGAAGAAACTGAGACACCCATGTGGAAATGGTTTTTCTCTACAAATTGTTCTTGTTATAAATTGAAGCTTTACTCAGTCTATTTTAACCCAGCTCTGGTTCATTTCCAGAATATGGTTGCTGTTGTTACTGGTGCTGTCAATGGTTTGGGACGACAAACCCTTGCTCATTTCTGTAAAGAAAATGCCTGTGTTTTTGGCTGTGATATTCGAGATGATAATGGTGAATTGGGAAAAACATTTGGCAGCAGTGTAGCTTTTTTAAAAGCTGATGTATGTGCAGAAAGATTTAATAATTGGTGTTTTATATATGTTCATTCATTTATTTCCAATGTTGCTGTGCCTTTATTTATTTATTTATTTTTCATCTACACAGGTACGCAGTGAAGATGACATGCAAGATGTGTTCAATCAAGCCAGGGAAAGATTTGGAAAAGTTGACATTTTAGTTAATTGTGCAGGATACTCTGCAGCATTCCTTACGATCACTGCCGCTGGCAAAGTGTTTGAACTTGAAACCTTTCAGCGCTTATTAGAGGTATGAAGTCCATCGATTCATACAGGTTGTTAGAAGTTCACATTTTTGTTCTTTGCATTAAAATTTTTGATTGGGGTTTAACAGGTAAACATTACTGGCCAGTTTAATGCATCCCGGCTAGCTGCTGTAGAAATGGCAAAAAACAAGCCGACCGAAGATGGTGATCGTGGTGTCATTATTCTTACGTCTGGCTTCACAGCAAGTTCTCCTCGAAGAGGTCATGCAGGTATAAGTGCATGTCATGGTGGGATTAATAGCATGACTTTGCCCATGGCAAGAGACTTGGGACCTTTAGGAATCAGAGTTGCAACTATATCACCAGGTATTTATCATTTACTCGCTAGTTTTCATAGTAATAAATTAAGAATAAGAAATCTTTATTCAACATAAGGCCCTGCACAGAGTAGGTGGATGTGATGTTGTAGTCCATATTCAAAGCATTCTCTATTACAAGAGCAGCAAATCAAAAGATAAGAAAGTAACAAAAAAAAACAGAGACACTTACTAGCTAGATTTGATTTTTTGACACATTTCTTCCATAATTTGGGTGATCACATATGTACAGTTCCAATTGCAATAATAATTTTGATAGTCTTTTCCTTAAGTTGTCACCAGTTAATCCTTTGACGCTATGAGGGAGTGTATTTAGATAGCTTATACCGGAATAGTTTGAGTTCTGTCCTGGCAAAGTGTCCTCTATAAAACTCCTGAACCAGGTTGTCTTTAGTTCTTATTATGATAGTGAATTTACGAATTTTCACATAGATCTTTTGTTTTGACAAGTGAATAGAATGGCGTTGTGAATAAATACTGCCTGCAGAGTGAGACCCTTTAGTTTCTTAGAGGTTCCTCTGCAAGAGTCATTGTACGCTAAATTAGGAAGTATTCACACTGCTCATGTTTTAGTAAAAGAATTCTTGCAGTACATTTCTTTTGGAGGTATTCCCCTGTATTGAGGTACTGTAAGCTAAGTGTAATTATTTAAACGGTAATAAATTTTTTTTTTTAGTAAATCATCAGTGACTACCCGTTTTAGTTGCTTTAAGTTTCTTACGTAGGGCTTCTATATGAGTGTTTGAATTGAGAGCAATATTGATATTAACTCCTAGGAACTTTGCACTAATTAACATTGGCTTGTTACTTCATGACCATTCAACAATATGAAATATTCTTTCAAGTTTCAAGTACAGTAAAAACTGACAATATTTTTCTTCTCTCATTTTAGGTCTTTTTGCAACACCTTTAACCAGCAGTATTCCAGATGACATTAAAGAGTTCCTCGAATTCTGCCAAGCATTTCCTCACCGATTTGGTGAACCCATTGAATATTCAGATCTGGCACTTCACATTATAAAAAATAAAATGATTAATGGAGAAGTGTTATCAATTGATGGTGGTTTGTCTTTACCAGCCAAATAGTCTCACTAATTTTTTGTTGAGTTTCTAGTAAATGTGTTTTCTCTTTGGTGACATTTAGCTATTTCCAAGTTGTAAATAAAGTTTACTGTTAGATCCTTCTTTATTATATCTTTATTTACTGCCATATTCCTTTCTAGTACATTATAGCAATACAATAGGCGAAGAAAATTTAGAGAAACTACAAAAAAATATAATTAAATGGATAAACATTCAAGTTGGGCAATCAGGTCCATGTGCTTAAATTCAAGGGGTTTATTCGTGAATCTGTCCATGATTAGTTGACGTTTTTCATCATCTTGACCATAATAAAGTTGTATCTGATTAGCAAGACATAGTGCTTCTGTTGCATTTACGATCTCTTTGTTAAATTCTCCTTTCATTAACACAATCTTTTTATCGTCTTTGAGATCAACATAATGAGTTATAGTCAAACACTCAGGAGCATTCTCTTTATGAGCTTGATAGCTTATTAAAGGTGTGAAATGAATTTCATTGCTAGCGAATTGACAGACAATAAATTCGTAACCTTGGCTCCTGGGCAATGCAAGCAGGAATGTGGGATGTTCGAGGCTGCGCTGATATAACTTGTCATAGATGTCAGATGGGATTGTTGCCGCAATCACATCTTTAGACTTGTGATAATCTATCCAGATTGACTTGATTTCGTCGGGAGTCTTGTCCAGCAGCAATTCTGTCTTCATGATATCACTTAACACCTTTGGCTTTGTCAGTCCTAAAGCATGACCAGGTTTAGCAGGGGCAGGTTTTGAGAATGCTCTCTCTTCTTGATTGGATTTTAGACCGCTTTCAACTTCATCTTTTTTAAACGCTTCTAGTCGACTCAGGAGTTCTTCAGGAGACGTCTGCTGAAGTTGGGCTATCTTCTTCGCATATTTTTCGAAGTATGGGTTTCCCTTCAAGGCATCTACTGCTTCTTTGGCTTTCAGGGCAGGAGTTGTCATGATGAACCGATCAGTTGTTTGGAGGCAAGGAGATTTGACCTCTGCGTTAAGGCGAAACAGTGTCCTCTTGGATAATATCCTGAATATGCCAGACATATTTTAATCCGTCTTGTGTATCATGTCCGTGCTCGCACACACGCAAAAGATGGAAAAACGAACCAGACCGACTAACCAAACCAGCACCGCGACGAAAGTTCGAGGTTCCGAGGCGAGGCTACTTGGCTCGGAAGAAAAATTCAGCCCCCAGAGTCTTTTACAATACTGAAGGGTACAGTAGAGGACTTTAGTGCCCAGAAGACTCAAAAGGACTTTTTGGGAAAGCATTTCATACTTTCATTTGCATGAATAATGGATTGAACCTGATAAAGCCATAGCAAGGACATGTATTTGTTCATCTCTTATTTTAATTTCCATAAAATCTTTAAACACCCCAAAACAAACTGGGTTTTGAGTTAATCAAAATATGATGCCTAAAATTAATTTATAATGTCACACAAACCAACTTTACAGAGTCCTAAAAAATTTACAAGAAATCTGAATCTTACCTCTACGCATTATATCAGTATGTTTACACTCACTTATTTATGATTAGTTAGTATGAGATACAAAGGCAAACTATTTACAAACATTTACAGATTCCAATGTCAAGTTTCACGAGGCAAGTTGGACTTGGTGAAACGGCTTGGGGGTCCTTGATGTCCCTGGTTCATAAAAACATATGAATCAAACAAAACTACTCCCATCGTTTCTAAAAAAAAAAGAAAAAGTATTAAACACGTTATTTTAGGAATCAAAATTGGGAAATAAAAGGTATCACAATTACAAGCAATAATTCTAACACTCAGGTTTTTTTTTGTTTTGGTTTTGTTTTTTTACAGAATTCTTACCTGTTGTTGGTGAGGATGTAGAGCTGAGGGGTGGCCAAGAGAATGAATTTGTTGATGTGCATGGCTTCCCGGATGGTTGGGTCCATGGCTCCCAGGATGGCTGGGTCCATGGCTACCAGGATGGCTGGGTCCATGGCTCCCAGGATGGCTGGGTCCATGGCTTCCCGGATGGCTGGGTCCATGACTTCCTGGATGGCTGACACCATGACTTGATGAATGTATGCCAGAACTTGACAGATGAATGCTATGGCTTGACTGACTTGGGTGATGGCTGCCAGCATGGCTAGTTACATGACTTGCAATTGAGTGGGTCAGAGTGTGGCTGGATGGATGCCCCTGTGTGTGGCTTGCAGAGTGAGGTGGAGGATGTCCAGATTGGTGGCTAGCTGGATGGCTAGAAGGATGGTTGGCAGAGTGACTTGAAGGATGGGTCGAAAGGTGGTTGGAAGGATGATTTGAGGGGTGGCTAGAAGGGTGGTTCGAAGGGTGGCTAGAAGGGTGGTTCGAAGGGTGGCTAGAAGGGTGGTTTAAGGAGTGGCTAGAGGGGTGGTTCAAGGGGTGGCTAGAAGGGTGGTTCGAGGGGTGGCTAGAAGGGTGGTTTGAGGGGTGGCTGGAAGGATGGTTCGAGGGGTGGCTAGAAGGGTGGTTCGAGGGGTGGCTTGAAGGGTGGTTCGAAGAGTGGCTAGAAGGGTGGTTTGAGGGGTGGTTGCCAGGATGGCTCGAGGAGTGGCTGGAAGGGTGGTTGGAGGGGTGGTTTGAAGGGTGATTAGAGGGGTGGTTTGAAGGGTGGTTAGAGGGGTGGTTGGATGGGTGGTTAGAAGAGTGGCTGGAAGGATGACTGCCTGGGTGAGAGGAAGGGTGGCTCGACGGGTGGTTGCCAGGATGACTCGAGGGGTGGCTACCAGGGCGGCTTCCAGGATGGTTGCTTGGGTGGCTGCTTGGATGATTTCCTGGGTGGCTGCCGGGATGGCTGCCTGGATGGCTGCCGGGGTGGTTGCCAGGGTGGCTACCTGGGTGGCTACTTGGGTGGCTACCTGGGTGGCTACCTGGGTGACCACCAGAGTGGCTGCCAGGATGGCTCGAAGGATGGCCGCCGGAGTGGCTAGAAGGGTGGTTGGAAAGGTGGCTCGAGGGATGGCCGCCAGGATGGCTAGAAGGGTGACTGCCAGAATGGCTGGAAGGGTGGCTGCCAGAATGGCTTGAAGGGTGACTGCCAGGATGGCTTGAAGGGTGACTGCCAGAATGGCTAGAAGAGTGACTGGGATGGCTTGAGGGGTGGTTAGGAGGGTGATTGGAGACATGGCTTGATGGGTGGCTTCCTGGATGTGAGGAAGGCAGGCTAACTTGAAGGAACTGCATGTGTCCTGATCCACTTGTGGTAGGAATCGATACCAGACGATGGGGATAAATATTCTGAAATTCAAGAAAGTTGATGTAACTAACTCAACACACATAGCGTCTTTCCGAAGTAAGAAGTAACACATACCACTTGTTGTGGAATGATGGGGCCAGCGGGCTGGAAAGTTGTAGGTCTAGGTGGAGGCTGTGGAGAAGCATGTGGTGATGCATGTTGAGATGTGGGAGGCGGCGCAGGAGAGCGTACTGGATAACCACTTGTAATGCTCCCCGTTTTTCCACCCTGACAAGTCGAGGAGGAATAAATTACAGAGGTCCCGTCAACACCAAAAGTTTCTCTGGACTGGAGCAGTTAACATACCTGAGGTGTCTGCTGAATTGGAATAATACCTCCATGGATAGGGACATGAGTTGATGGTCGCACAGGGAACTTGTCCTGATCTGTAACACAAGAACCACACACAAAAATTAATGAAGCAAGTAAACAGATAAAGTTGACAATCATCGCTACCAAATCAACGTACAATTGATTGGGAGACGAGGTGGGTACGAGGGTTTCATCAACATCGGCACTTCACGCTCTAGCTTCCTTTGAATACTTTCTCGTTCCTCTCGCTCCCTCTCTCGCTCCCTCTCCCGTTCCCGCTGCTCCCGCTGCTCCCGTTCGCGCTCCCGCTCCCGTTGCTCACGCTCCCGCTCCCGCTCCGCTCTCTCTCCCTCTCAGCAATGGAGATGGAGAGCCCGGACGCCATGGTGGAGGGCGGAGGGGCCGGGGCAGAGGACGCCGCGGCTGAGACGGCGATGTGGGGCGGCATCGAGGGTGGCATGATGGAGTAGATGGGGCCAGGATGGTGGCCCGGGTAAAAGCCTGGTGCTGCTGTTGTGCTGTATGTTTGGCTCTCTGCAAGAAGCATCAATGTCAATACCAAATCCACCAAAAATGAAATTGACATATTAAGATGCAAGAAAATTATGCACTTACTGTTCCACAATACTGCACGACCACCGTATTCGCCAAGACCACGATGGCTGTCATCTGTTACTTCTGAAAGCAGTTAAAGAGGAGTTTGACAGTCAATTTTCAAGGGCAGCCAGCTGATCCGCAATGAACTGCAGTTCCTAACATCAGTCAGTTTAGCTGCTCAATCAACTTCCTACATAATTACTATGAATAAATACTTAAATGTGTTATACTGATAATATGATACATAATACCTGGCATTTTACTGGCCTCACCTGACTGTAAGATAGAAATACATAGAAAATTAGAAATGTTACATAACATTAAGCAAAACAAGAGGCAAAACAAATCAGGAAAGATTTAAAACTTACAGCAGTAATTAATTGACCCGGGGCATGCCCCACTTTATGCTGGTGTCTGGGTGGCAAAGGTGCTTGTACTACATTGTGGATGAACACTTGTTGCTGATGACCTGCAATACCACCAGAGCCTGGACCAATCGGCATAATTGGGTACTGTTTGCTGAGTTCACTGAAAGTAATACACTGCATCAATTTGAAATTCCAATCAATCATCAGACAGGAACAGGAAAAGGTAAAATACCTCATTTCTTCAAAGCGGCGTTTACGCATGGCATTTTCTTCATTCAAAACTTTTTTCAGTTGAAGGAATAACTGATGCTTTTCGTCTCTTAATTTGTCCAAATGTCTCTCAAGGCTTGTAATCTGCTTCCGAGTTTCTCCCAGTGTCATACGTTCTTTCTGGTACTGTTCCTCACGCTGTTTGCGGCGATTTTCCTCAGCCTCCTCCTCCTCAAGTTCTGGAAAGGAATCAAATACAGAACATTAAGTTTAGGACTGTTTAAAAGTTTACCAAATTACAACTGAGTAACTTAATGATCAATGATGAAAGTCAGCATTACCTTCTTTTTTCTTTTGTCGAATCCGTACTATGTGATGCTTTAAAGCTTTCCACGTTTCCTCCTTACACTCGGGCCGCTCAATAATAATTGCTGGCATTTTACCTGTAAAAGAGAAGTAATATTCAATATTGAAACTCTATTTTTACCAAGAAGTGGGATACATTCAACTTATGAATTGACAATTTAGAAAACATAGAATGCTATCTATGATGAGTGGAGGAAAAAGGCCCCACCTTTCATGAAATCAGTCATGAAGTTTAAGTTATTGGGTTAGAACAAAAGAAAATGCCTACAGTGAATCAAGTGAGATTCTGATCAAGAACTTAAAATCTGAAACTGACCGGACTCAATCCTGACTGACGGCTAGGGGGACAAGCAGCGGTTAACCTAAGAGGTTAACCAAATCCGTGCCTCCTAAAAGGTGGCTTCAATAATTATGGAGAGTCAAACGTTTCACAAGAAACTAAATTCCAAACCTAACTTCAAACAGTTATTATTGATAATAAAAGAAATACGATTCAAAGGAAACTAAAAACGCAGAAAACGCCTAAAAATTTCTTCTGCACCAACAAAACAAGACAACAAACATGCAAAGGCCAACAAGGCTTTTTCTCTGTTTACGGCCTCTATCTCATTTCTTCGTTTCCGAAGGCAACCGAGACAACCCCTGCGCAAGGCTACGAGCGCCTGTACGCCACCACACGGATCCCTATCGAACTACTGAAATGGCGGTAGATTTTGAACTTGCGGAGGGTTTAGGCGGTGTGTTTTGGTCCAAGCCTATTATTGACTGTTATTGTTTTTTTCTGGTGATAACGGATCATGTTAACCTAATGTTTTATTGAAACTTAGATGGTATTTGTTCTCAAACAATTGATTGATAAATTTATAAGTGCACCTTTTTCTGTGGAAACGAGTAAAAAATTAATATTCCCAACCCTCTATTTCAAAATTATCTTTATTTAACCTCGCTTGCATATTACTTCGTACACAGGCTGCATGTGCATGGCAGCCCCCCCCCCCCCCCTTTTCCCCCCTCCGGCACACACCGCGCTGCAACCCGCACATGATCTCGCAGACCGTCTAGTGAGGGAAAGAACTGTCACCACAAGGCCGCCGCGAGGCCATTATGGATTCTTTTCAGCAGTACTTGGAACATTGGGATTGGGCACTATGTTTTGAGCCGGAAGGTCAGCAGGTTGATGTTGTGAGAGCACCTCCTCTAAATGCCAGATAGATGCACTTGGCGCCGGGCGGCCGGGCCCTCGCTACGTCGTGCCGCGGTGCCGCGGTGCCGCGCTTCGCGAGACTGGAAAAAAGCGAGGAGACCTGTCATAGGGGGGAGGGGGAGGGGGCGGCTCTACCTTTGATGGGGTCACCGTGGCAAATGCCCTGCAGGGCGAGGCCTGGGCCAGGCGGCTCACGTGGCCAGGGCCCGGCCGGCCCGGCCTAGCGAGCGGACCGATTTAAATAACTGGAGCGCGGCCGGCCGGCAGGGTCAGTGGGAGGGTCCACGGTGACAGCGCGGCGTCGTCGGCCAGCCGCGGCCAGCCCTGCGGCCGGTCGGGATGCGTGTTTGCAGCCTGCTTGGACGCGAGGACCTAGGGCCAGGGATCGTCGCTCTATCTCTCTTGCACTCACACGCACAGTAAGCCAGAAGACCGGTGGAGGCGGCCAAAACTCCAGTCAAGACGCGTTTTGATCTCCAGAGTCGCCAAATGGGACTGGAACCGACCGCGTGACCCCACCAATAGATTGCTCTCCGAACGAGGAATCCATTGGTGGGGTCACAGGTTCGGTTCGAGTCCCATGAAGTGACTCTGGAGCTCAAAACGCGTCTGGAGTTTTGGCCGCCTCCACCGGTCTTCTGGCCCACTGTGACACGTGACGGCGCATGAGAGCGAGAGAGACAGCACCATTCGGGACAAGCCAGCCGCCGGACCGCGCAGCCGGCCAATTAGGGCCTCCGTGGCACGGCGGACGCGGCGGACGCGCAGACCTGCACAAAACGCAGAAGGCGAAGGAGGAGAAGGCGCTCACGCACGCAGTCGCGCAGCCGCGACTCCTTCACAGCGACGCCTCATAGAGGACCTGCTGCGAGGTGGCTGCGGGGAAGACCGCCGCGGCACCCGCCCGGCCCGGTTGCGACACCGATCCGGCGGCCGCCATGCCGCCACGCCAATTTGAAAGGCATCGTGGACGTCGCGGACCCATCGCGGACACGGCGGCGTCATGGAGGGCGCGGCTTTTGAATGGATTCCCATTATTTTGGCCCGGGTCTTGTTCTCGTTCTTGCGCAAGATCGCCTCGCCTACTCGACGCACGCTCCTCGCGCTCCTCTTCCCGCGCCGCTTGCGCCGCTTGCCGTGTTTGTCAGAACGCTCGGAATAGATTGCCCTGTCGAAGCAGAACGACCCGCGGTGATTCCCTAAGCAAACAGGCAGTAAACCAGAGACGAGTCCAGCCCGGCGGACCGTACCCGGCGGCTGGTTGGCACACCTGGCTGTTCTGGCTACCTGGCGCAGGGCTCATTGTTGCAGGGCGGCTCGATCACTCAAAAGCACTAAATAGATGTAATGATAATGCTGCTTCGGCCAGCCTCGGCCAGCCTCGCCTTCCTCGAGCCGCCTGGAGAGGCAGGCCGCTCCCTCCCGGCCGCCTCGACGCCGCCGCCGCCTTCCTGGCCGTCATCACGTCCAGGCTGGTCCAGGCTGGTCCGCGGACGGCAGCGCTCGCGCCAACGAGACTGCTGTCGCAAGGTGCCAGGACCGTGCAGTGCGGGCAGGACATCAGCAGCAGCACCGGCCGTGCCACCGACTCGAAGTGATCAAGATTCAGAAACGACAAGTGAAGACCGCACTGATTTTGGCTGTGTCGCTCGGCTCGACGCTCGGGCCGCTTGACCAGCCCTCTGCAGACCCACGCCCTCCGGCCCGGCCAGCGGCCAGGCCTTGTCGCGTAGAACTGCGCTCACTTTTCGAGAAAATGTGAAGGGCGGGCGGCCGGGTCAGGGCCGGTGTCCTGCCGTGTTGCCTACCCGACTGGCGCAAGCCTGGAGCAAGCCTGGAGCAAGCCTGGAGCAAGCCTGGAGCAAGCCTGGAGCAAGCCTGGAGCAAGCCTGGTGCAAGCCGTCACGGCGAGGCATGTGGCGAGGCGGGGCAGCACGCCGCCCACCTGTCACGGGGGAGGCAAGTGTCCAGAGTGTGGACACCCGCCGTTCGCCGATGCTTGACCAAGTGCTTGACTCTTAGGACGAGTAGCGTGTCGACAGCCTGCATCGGCTGCCACCCCACCGCCCCGCCATCCCGCCTGGTCGTCGGGGAGGGAACGCCTCGCCTCGGACCACCTCGGGCCGAGGGGCGGAGACGGGCGGAGGCGGGTGGAGGCGGGCGGAGGTTCCGAGAAGCACAGCAAACGACATAGGTCGCATCCGTGAGTGCCCCGGTGCCGCGCGCGGCGTGCGCCTCGAAGAAGAGTAATCTCTGCGGTCGGTCCATCGGTCGGCGCGCGTGTATCGCGGGGGACTTGGCGGCCGCGGCGAGCCTGGGCGGCGATGGGTGCCGATGGGCCGCGCGGCGGGCTGGCCAAACAAATGTATCAGTGGCGGCAAGGTGGCGGCCGGGCGGCTGGGAGACGGATGGCGGCGACCGCAGCGCGGTGCAGCACGGCGCAGAGCGGTGCGTCGCCGCGCATCCCGGACCGCAAAGCCAGCAAAGCCTAGCGCCGAGGCCCGGGGCTACCCGCGGCTACCCGGGGCGCCGACATGGCGACCGCCGCGCCTTGAGGCGGCGGGAGTCCCGAATTTCAAGGCGTCTCAGACCGAAGCGCGGAGGCGAAAGTGAGGGAGCTTTGCGGCACGTACAAGCTGCCGGCGATAAATACTAAAGAATTAATGCGGCAAATGGGTCGCCGTGGCGCGCCGTGGCGTCACCACCCTCGCCACTCTCCGCGGCGCGCGGCGATGACGAATGGCTTCGCGGCTTCGCCAATCCAATCACACACGCACAAGGGAGCCGCCTGCACCAAGGCCCCGGCCCGCCCCGGCCCGCCCCGGCCCCGCATTGTCTCTCATTTGGCGCCTCATTAAACGGCTGAGCGTCAACCGCGAGGAAGATGAGGAGGTCGGCCGCGACGGCCACACTGCACGGCGCGGCGCGGCACGGCGCTCGCTTTGCGGGTGGAGGCTGGCGGGCTGGCGGGCTGGCGGGGGAAGGCCGCGGGAGGGGCAGGGCCCTGGCAGGGCGGGCAGGGCGGGCAGGGCCACCCCGTGCTGCCGTCCGCGGCGTCGTCCCCGCCCCGCCCGCCTGGACGCACCCCACCTAGCGCCGGCGGTGGGCTGCGCTGCCGCTGCTGCCGCTGCTGGCGCTGCACGCGGTTATAAAAGATTGCCGGCTCGTGGGGCCGATACAGTTTCGGTCCGACGCGAGCAGCGAGCGGTGCTACGGAACACGCAACCACCACCATGAGGACTTTGATCGTAAGTACAACGCCGGGCCGGGTGCTGACAGCGCGCGCATTGATTGGAGCAGCACAGTGACGTGCCATGGACCTTGCCATTCGGGCTCTATGCGAAGACGTGCGTGTTTGAGTGTGAAAGGCCGGGCAAGACCTAAAGTGAATTTCGTTCAGAATGATTAAAATCGTAAAGTCGTCTGCACAATTACCTCGGTAATTAAGTTAGGTTTCTTGAATCAATCAGCGCCGACTGGTTTCCAGATTCCCCAACAGCTCGTCAAAGTGGTGCAGGTCGAGCCGGTCCCTCGCTACATTGCGCGCAGTGCAGGTGCAATGGGTGTCCCTCTTCTTGTGCCACTGCCACCTCGCCTAACGACAGCCGCGTGAGACGCAGCGACGCAGCCTTCCGTTTTTTGAGGCCCCCAGTTCACCCCGTTGTTGCCGGTTGTGCAACGCGCACGCAGCGCATGATGGGAATGCATTGCTTGATACATCTCACAGGCCCGGCGGCTCCGGCCGGCGGCCCCCCAGGCGTTACCGCGTTACCTCGCTCGCGGCGCGCTTGTCTTGTCCCAGCAGCCCCAGGCACAGCCCCAGGCGGCCCCAGGCGGCCCCAGGCAGTCAGACTGCAAGACTCCGGCCGACCAGGCCAGGGTCCAAGTTCCACATGGCAGCAGGGTGCAGCAGGGGGCAGCAGGGCCTCGCACCCTCTGGTCGCTAATTGGGCGGATCGAAGCAGAGCCTCACGCACTCATTGTGGCAAGGGCAGCTCGCGTGCACTTGCGCGTGCGCGGCGCGTGTGGGAGAGTATTTGACAGGTATATGGACTTCCCCGCACCGCACCGCGACCGCCGGCGGCGGCGTGTTCGGCCCTGTTGCGATCAGAACGCCATTGCAGGCAGTCCTGTGTGAACGGCGCGCGTGCGGCGTTCCCCTGCTGGCGTTCCCCGGCGTTCCCCTGCTGGCGTTCCCCTGCTGGCGTTCCCCTGCGTTCCCCTGCTGGCGTTCCCCTGCTGGCGTTCCCCTGCAGGCGTTCCCCAGCGTTCCCCTGCTGGCGTTCCCCTGCTGGCGTTCCCCTGCTGGCGTTCCCCTGCTGGCGTTCCCCTGCGGGCGTTCCCCTACAGGCGTTCCCCTGCTTGCGTTCCCCGCGTAGCGTTCCCCGTGGCGGCTCCGACGGCTTCCGGACAGGGCAGGAGCCAGGGAGCAGCCGCCCGAATCCGAAGGGTCATTTCGTCGCTCTGTCTCTCTCGCACTCCTTCAGGGCGCGCCATGGGTGCGACAGAGACAGAGCGACGGAACGATTCTCCGGAATCGGGCCGCTGGCCCGGATGGGAAGCCCGCGGGCAGCGCGAAAGTCGTGAAGACGCATCGGAGTGACATGATCTCTTCATAGTGCGTCTGGGTCAAAAGGGATGAGTCATTGACAAAATTTTGGCATCTATGTTTAACTGACTGGTCCTTGGTTCTCCTTGCAGGCGTTCGTGTGCGGGGTGCTGGCAGCGGTGGCGGCGCAGCAGTTCCAGCAGCCCTACCAGTACACCACGCCCATCCCCATCATTAGGCTCGACAACGTGGTCAACCCCGACGGCTCCTTCTCGTACACGTGAGTTCGCAACACGACGCGTCCAGCGTGAACTTTGCAGATTGGCTCGTCGGTGACCTGGCCCCCAAGGGCCGCCCCGCCCCGCCGCCCGGCCGCGCCCGTTTCCCACGGGCCGGGAGGGGCCAGGGGCGGGGAGGGGCGGGGCGGCGAGAGCCACAGGGCCGAGGCTGCGGCGGCTGGATGGCCCACTAATAACTGACCGGCGGCGGCGCCGTGACGTAGTGCACCAGTGCACCAGTGCACCGCCACTGCCAGCACGCCGCCAGCAGGGCGTCGCGGCGACAACGCCGGCCGGCCGAGTCTGGGCGGGGCGTGGGCGGGGTGTGGGCGGGGCGTGGGAGGGCCTCGCCGCAGGGTGGAGGGGGAGGGGGCGTGGGAGGAGCGCCGTGGGGCAGGGGGCCGAAACAACGGCACCACACGGCCAGAGCGTCTGCGCGTCTGCGCGTCCCACACCGCACTCTCGCTTTCGCTTCAAGGTCACCCGTCCGTCGGCGGCGTGGCGGCCTTGAGCACGCGGCCGCCACCGGTACGCGGGCCACGCCGGCCACGCCGGCCACGCGCTCGGCCGGAGGCCGCGGAGGTCGAGCCAGCCCTGGGAGGACCCCGTGGGGCGGGGCCGAAACATGGGCCCACACTGCCAGACGTCCTGCGCGTCGCGGCCCCACTGCCGAAACTCTCGCTTTCGCTTCAAGGACCCCGTCCGTCGGCGGCGTGGCCGGCACGCGGCCGGCAGCTGGACGGAGGGAGCAACCCCTGGGTCACCCGGGCCACCGCTCGGCCTGGGCCGCGGAGGTCGGCCCCCGCTTTCCTGGCAGGACAATGCGTGGGGTCGTGGGCCTGTCCTGGGCCGCGCTGCCGCTGCGTGGCCGCGCTGGGCCATCCCCTGGAGCCGCGCGGCTTCGTTTAAAGGCCCGCAGCCATGCTCGTCCGGCCGCGCGGGCGGCAACGGGCCCGGGCGCTGGACGGCGGGGCCGGCGCGGGGCGTGCTGGACCCGCTGGCCGCGCGGCCCCTGGGCCGCGCGGCGAAATCTCGTTAGCAAAAGGTCGGCGCAGAGCGAGGCGCAGAGCGAGGCGCAGAGTGGAGGGCGGTGGGCGTGCACCGGAGTGTTCTACTCGTTCTACTCGGGTTTGCTTAGGCCGTCAACGCAGTCATCGGCCTTGGGCGTGGGAGACATCTTGAAGGAGCCGACTGCCGTCGCGGAGCGCAGCCCGAACGCCTCGCTGGGTAGGCAACCCTCGTGACCTCCACGCAGCGGTGCGCGGCGGGTCGCCTACCCCTTCTTCGGCAGGCGCTCTCCGCCATGTCTCCACACAGGACGCGCAGCGACGCGCAGGCAGGCCGCAGGAATAGGAGGGGCGGGCAATCGAGCCGCGATCGGCGTCAGGCTCGACTGCGTCCGCGTGATGCGTCTCCCTGGGACTCGCCGTGATAGCCGTGATGACGGGGTAGTCTTCCTCCTTCGCCATTGTCCCAGCACGCGGTGCACCCGGGGCTCTGGCGCGCTCCGGCGTCGAGGTCTCCGCCGAGTGGTGCTCGCCTCTCTCGACGGGCCGCGACGGGCTACAATGAAGCCTTGCGACAGCAGTCCAGCCACTCCCCATTTGGCGCGGAAACGCGGTGGCCTCCCCCATTAAAGCAGATGACACACTGCAGCGGGCGCCGCGCCGCGGTGCACCGTCACACGGAGGGGCACAAGACAAGTTCGGCGGGCACGACTCTGGACACGTTTTGCGCGCCGCACTCCTTGGAACTCGAATGAAACAGGTGATGGCGGCACCAATGGATTGCCCTTCGAACTGTCCATCTCGTCTTTGGTTCGAGTCGTTTAGGGAATGCAAAACTTGTCCAGTCGTGCTCGTCTGAATGGCCTCCCGGCCCACAGTGGGCCAGAAGACCGGTGGAGGCGGACAAAACTCTAGACGCGTTTTGAGCTCGAGAGTCGCTAAATGGGTCTCGAACCGAACGTGTGACCCCACCAATGGATTGCTCTCCGAACGAGGAATCCATTGGTGGGGTCACACGTTCGGTTCGAGGCCTGTTTGGCGACCCTGGAGCCTTAAACGCGTCTTGAGTTTTGGCCGCCTCCTCCGGTCTTCTGGCCCACTGTGCGGCCCACTGCGCGCCGCGTTCGAGGAGGTCGCTGGTCGCTGGGCCGCGGGGCGCGGCGGCGGGCCGTGCGGGTTCACGTGGGTGGGTGGGGGACGTCGATACACTTTTCCCAGGAATGCCGAGGTAATGCTTGGTCCGCGGCGCCGCACGACCTAGGCCCTAGGCCCCGCCGCTGCAGCGCGCTGCACGCGTTTCGAGTTGAGTAAGGAGAGCGGGCCGCGAGGCGTGTGGGGTTGCGGCCTGTGTCCGCGACGGTCCGCGCAATTCGTCTGCGGCGGCGTGGCGGCGTGGCGGCGTGGCGGCGGTCCGGCGACGGGACGAGCCGCTCTCCTGGACGCCCCGCGCTCCGCCTTCCATATCGCGAGGGGCAGATCTGTTTCACGACGCCGGCGTGGGTGGCCGGGCAGGGCCGGGCAGGGCCCTCCCCATCTGCCTAGCGCAACTACGAGGCGACGAGGCGCCCTGCGCTTGCCCTGCGCTTGCCGGCCTCGCTGAGCTGTTGCTTTCCGCTCAGTCTCAAAGTGACTCGCCGTGGCGCAGACCGTGACAGTCCGTGACAGGTGTAAAAGGAACAGTCCGTCAGTGCTTGAGAGCAACAGGGTGCGAGCCAGTGGCGGCACTACAAGGGCTTTCGGGACTCCAGCAATGGCGCCGGCGGCACTTTTAGAAATAGGCGCGTGCGCTGCGGAGTGATTTGTAATATTTGCTGGCAGGCCGGGGCCCCGGCGGGGCAGCCAGCTCCAATCGAGGCTTGCCTGGGCCTGCCTTTGCCGCGGGCGTCCCACGTCAGCAGGTCAGCGCATACACGGTGCAAGGCCCGCGGGGCTGCTCCGCTTTGCGTCTCGCTTTGCGTCTCGCTTTGCGGGGAGTGAGTTATGACTCGAAGTCGCGCCACCGAGGTCGCCGATAACCACCCCCTGGCCGGCGCCCCACTGGTAGTGGCAGCGGGGGCACTCGTCGCTTCCTCGTACCGCCAACGAGGTCCAGGCGCACCGCTCTGCGGCGGTGGCAGCGCGCGGGAGTTAGTGTCGGCCTCGTCCTCGTGGTCACGACCCGGGCGGGCGTCGGCGCGTCGGCGGGCGTGGGCCCCGGCAGCCCCGGCGGCCGGTGCGGTGCGAGGCGTTCCGCAAAAGTGTTTCGTGGAGACCGCCGCACCTCGCCAAGGCCGCCAAGGCCCTGCTCGGAGTGGCGCAAGTGACGGCGCGGAGGACACGATCTCCATCGGCACCTCCTGGACGACGCGCCGTGGACGTGGACCTGGACGCCGTGCTGGACCTCGCCCCGGGCCTCGGGCGGGGCCCCGGGCTGGGCCCCTGGCGGCTGGCGCGCGGTTTCGCCAACCCGGGCGGCAAAGGCGGGCGGCGTGGGTGTGACCCTTTGTGACCACGGCACCGCGGCAAAACGGCGACGTGACCGCCACGCCGACACGCCCATCAGCCGGCAGTGGCACCACGCCCGCCTCCACCGCCTCGGATCCAGCTCCTCGTTGCCCCACCGCTCCAGCTGCCGACCTCAAACAGGAGGAGCGGGCGGGCATCACACTGGCCGCTCTGAACTGACCTGGCGCTCTGTTGCATTGGTTGCAGCTACGAGACGGGCAACGGCATCCAGGCGCAGGCGCAGGGCTTCCTGAAGAACGCCGGCAACCCGCAGCTGGAGGGCCAGGCCGTGCAGGGCAGCTTCGCGTACCGCGGCCCCGACAACGTGGTCTACGCCATCCAGTACATCGCCGACGAGAACGGCTACCAGCCGCAGGGGGCCCACCTGCCCACTCCGCCGCCCATCCCCGCCGAGCTGCAGCGCGCCTACGAGCTGGCCTCCAGGGACCCCGACCCCAACGACAACGGCCAGTACGACCCCCGGCGCTACGGTCGCAAGTAGACCGAGTAGGCGCCTGGGCAAAGCCAGGGCAAAGCCAGGGCAAAGCCAGGGCACAGCCACCACCCCGTCAACGCCAGTGTCGCCAGGAACGTCAAGGAGAAATTCCTCTTCTACATTTGTAAAATCCATCCAAAATCCCCCGCCCACCCCCAGCCCCCCCCAGCCCCACCCCAGCCCCCACCCCCAGCTCCCACCCCCAAAGATGAAAAGAATGAAATCCAAAGGAATTTCTCACGATCCGGCAACACTGGGTTCGTGGTCAACGACTGCCCGCTCGAGGTGCAACGTGGTGGTCTCCAGGTGACCTGCGTTTGACCACTGCGCCATGTTGTACAATGTGCTGCTCCAAATACTGCACGCTCCATGATTCTTTCCCGGTGAGATACGTTCGAATGTTTCTGGATGTTTCTAAACTGTCACTATATGAGTATTTGTCACTCTTTCGACTGTTTACCACTTTTTGTATGAACGGAAAAAAATTATGCGCAGATTGTACATAAAGTCATAATGGTGCTGCATCTCCCAAGACAAAGGCAAAGCGAGACAAAGGGATCTTGAAAAATAAACTTTTCAAACGATACTCAACATCATGTCCGTAATTTTCTGTCACCCTCAACCGCCCTCAACTACACAGACGTTATGTCGAAAACGATGATCACGAACATAATTTATGTAATGAGACGGGACACTGTACACAGGGCGATTTAGCCGCAAAACACACTTGGTTGAAATAATCGGCCGATTGCAAAACTGACCTAGTGCCGGCCATCTGACGAAGTGGACGAAGGCACGCATCGTTCGAAAGGTCTGCACTGACACGCCAGACGTGCTGCACTTAGCGCAAAGACCACCGCCTGCTAAGTTGCCCTCCCTGCTCTGCATGACGGCTCGTCGACGACAGCATTGGCAAGGCCGGGCGAGGCAGAGCGAGGCGCCGCACAGTGGTCCAGAAGACCGGTGCCGGCGGCCAAAACCTACCTACCTAACCTAACCTACCTACCTAACCTAACCTAACCAAAACTCTGGACGCGTTTTGAGCTCCAGAGTCGCTAAATGGGACTCGAACTGAACGTGTGATCCCACGTGATCCCAGCCAGCAATGGATTGCTCTCCGAACGAGGAATCCATTGGCGGGGTCACACGTTCGGTTCGAGTCCCATTTAGCGACTCTAGAACTCAAAACGCGCCTACAATTTTGGCCGCCTGCACCGGTCTTCTGGCCCACTGTGCGCCGCGTGTGGCCGCGTGCCATGCTGCGCCGCCCCCGAAAAGCAGATCGTCTCTGAAACAAGTGCCGCGTTGCGCTGCAAAGTAGCGGCGCGCTCGTTTTGGGACCACCGGCTCTACTGGTTCCTCTGGGAACGGAACAGAGCGAGGCAGAGCTGGTCCTGCGCGCGCTGCGGCACTGCGGCGCGGAAGGCAAACGCATTCACTCACTCTCGCTTTGTCTGCCACGGCCGGCCCGGCCGTGCCACTGTTGCCAATGTGTTTCGGTTTCCTTGTGAAACACCATTTCAAATGGTCCTTTTCACACCGCGGTGCGGCGCCGCTCGGCCCTACTCGGCGCCGTGTTCTCCAGACGTGCCATGGCGTAAGAGAATTTAACTCAGCACGTGTTTAAATTAGTGTTCGAATACGGTACCCTTTTGAGAAAAGATCTTCAGATGTTCGTTTTCCTATTATAACATTTTCTCCCGTCTCCTGGACCGCCTCACGCCGTTGTGGTAGTCTGAAGCCCGATGGGTTGCCCACCTGGCAGGCGCAGGTCGCTCGACACGAGGCCCTTCTTGGAGGCGGCTGCCGCCTGCCGGCAACCGACCGTGAGAGAGGTGTATTTTCAAATCGTACTTATCGCATAAATATATTTATTTTCCTTAATCACTACACTGGTCGGCCTTGCCAAAAGCCGTGCTGCCTTATTCTAAGTCGATTTCTCGAGTTTTTGTCTTCTTCCCTCCCTTCATCGCTGGAGCCTGCGGCCCTGGCGGCCCTGCTGGGTCTGCGCCGTCCGCGCCGTCCGCGCGCCCTTCGGCGCGTTGAACCAGACGAACTCGAAGCCCTTGAGTCCGAACTCGGCGCCCTTCTCCGTGTCCTGGCGCGGCGTGGCCCTGCTGTCCGCGCCCAGCTCGCGCAGGGTGATGTTGGGCTGGAAGCCGAACTCGTTGGCAGTGTAGCGGACGGCACGCTCGAAGCCGTCGCGCCCGTTGAAGTGATAGCCGCCCTCCTTGTGGCCCGCGCGGTCGCCCACCTCGTGGTGGCCGTGGAAGCCCAGCGTGTAGTTGAAGCGGTACAGCAGGGCCTTCATCTCCTCGGCGGTGAAGCCCCCCACCTGCAACAGAGACGGCTCTGTAGCGAGCGCCGGGACGTAGGCAGCCCAACGGGCACAGCAGTGCTGCTGCTGACTCGGGGGCAGGCGCGTGTTACTTGCCTTGATGTTGGACTCGGAGTTGGCGACAGGAGTGTACGAGGGCTTCTGGGGGGCCTGCTGGCCCTGCTGGCCCTGCTGGCCCTGCTGGCCGTACGAGGGGGCCGTCCGTGCTCGGGGAGGCCGCTCCGGGGCCACCGAAAGCGGATGGTGGACGACTGAACGGGCCGCTGCTACCGGCCAAGCCAGAGTTGGTCCCTTGGCCGTTCTGTAAGAGACGACGAAAATGCACTTGTCCATCTGTATCTATTTTCACGAGCTTTCAAACGCCGCCACTGCTCGCAAAAGTGTCGCCACACTGTGAAAATTTGTTGTCACTTTATGACAAAAACGTGGATGACATTTTCATCACTTTGAAATGATGACAATCTCGTCACAAATTGATGACATTTTCTTCAAAGCTCCTATACTTATTGCATGGGCGTGACAACAATGTCATTAATTGACTTGATGACATCCTTGTAAAGAAAATTAGCCTTGAAATTGTCATCAAGTAACGACTCAAATTTCACAGTGCAATAGCACACACGAAGCGGGGCATGAATAGGAATGGCCGCACGCACGCTGGGGGCTCACCAGAGGCTGGGAGGGGCGGACGGGGATGGTGCAGCCACTGCAGCCGCTGATGCCGCTCAGGTCCAAGGGCTTGAGGGGCTTGAGGGGCGCTGGCGCGGGGGCCGAGCTGGGGGCGGCGAGCCCTTGGTGATGTCCGGCAAGTCTAGTCCCGCTGTGAGGCAAAAGAGGTGAGCCCGTGACCTCAGCCATGACGTCATCGTCTTGACACGGCCTGTCCCATTACTGTTGTTTTCAAAACAAAAGGCCAAGAAGAAGCCCAGTCTGAGAAAGGTGCGGGCCAACGCATGCCGCCTTTGCATGCCTGAATCCCAAATCCACTTGTCGCATAGGAACGTCGTGTAAATCAAAAGCAGCCGCCCATTTCTCGCTTCCCGGTCGCTCGTCACCCGGAGCAACCTTGGGAACCTCGGGCCCGCTGCTGCTGCCAGCGTGCTGGCCGCTCCGGGAGATTAGGAGAGCCTCCAGAGTGCGGGTGACTAGCGGGTGACAAGTGGGCGAGGACAGGTAGGTCCGGGAGGGTCTGCGATGGTTCGCTTGGCGATGTGTGAGTCATCCACGGAACACTCCAAAACGGCGTCGTCCGGCGTCGTTCGAAAGCCGGCAACGCCGTCCCGGCGACTGAACGCTCTCGAAAGGTTTCACAGTTAGAATTCGAATATTCGAATGCATCTCAAGGAGTAAAATGTTCTATGCCAGGGAATATCCGAGACTATGTTTTCCACACAACCTGTGCGTTTCTTTCCAGACACCACAGCCGTACGGTGTGTTGCCAACTCTCCCGGCGCACAGCTGCAGCTCGTAAGCTGCCAGTCGAGGGGGGAAGGGGCGTTAGCAATTGCGTCCGAAATGTACAGGACAGTGTCGTTGAATCTCCACCCGTGTTATCTGCGCCGCTCAAATCCGCACGGGCCTCGGCGCCAAAAATGCCACCACTGACCCGGGGACGGCCGGAGTATTTTGCTGGCCAGTTTCCTCTTTCTCCTTTTGCCTTCTTTATTGAGCGGCACGAGCCACCGGGCTCCACAACGTGGCGGGAATAAAAGTGTCCGGAGACACGACGATTTGTGGAATTGATGGGCCAGGCCGGCCCGGGCGGCGCGGTGGTGGTCGCCAGCGTCGCCAGCTCATAAAGGAGTTGTCGCCTAAAATCTCATCCATTCACAATCCCTATGTTAAGCTGATTTGAGTAATACTTGCGGTTGCGGTTTCACTCACGCAGGCCCACGAAGTAGCTCCTCATGCCGAGGATCTTGAAGTCGCCCTGCTCGTCGGTGGCGTAGGCCGTCTCGTGGTAGACGCCGTCCCCCGTCACGAAGCCGAACTCGCCCTTGATCAGGCCCTTCGTGTCTGCGCAGGGCGGAAGGAAGATCGTCTCAACGCGTGCGGCCAGCGGACGGACCAAAAGTACCGGACCTTGTCCCGCGAGGCTTACTCTTCTCCTCGAGTCGGTGCTGGTACTTCTCGATGTTGAAGCCGAACTTGTAGGGCTTGTCGTCGTCGTCCTTCTGGCCCTGCGCCAACGCGCCGAGCAGCGCCACCGCGAACAAGCAGCACCTCTGCACAGCATCACGCAGCCTTTTGTAAAACGCTCAGGACAACTCAAGAATTTCCTCGACGAGAACGTCGAACAAGAGTTGCGGTGTTGGCGTATAAGACAAAACCAACTACCAGAAATTTGGCCGCGCTAGAACTGATAAACTGGACACGACACTCACCATGCTCACCATGGTGGTGATGGTTATGTCGGGGAGGCGATGGCGATGGGTCTGGCTGAAGCTAGCTGAAGATGTCCCGCGTGACTGCGAGGCCCGCGCCCGGTCTTTGCGTTAAATACTGCCCTGGGTGCTGTCACCTCCTCCTCGGCGACCGTCGGCGACCCATTCCGCGGCCAGCCCATCCTCCCCTCCAGTGTGCGTGTTTGTGCGACAGTCGCGGCGCGCCCGTCACAAAATCCGCCGGTGTCCAATCGCAGAGGCGGAAGATGTTCACTGTATTCTCATTTCATCGTCCGCTTGGCGTGCTGCAAGGCTACTGCCATACATGACGAAATTTCTTATTTGTTCTTTCTTGATTCATGAAATGGGTGCGGGTCACAGAAATATGGAAAGAGATACGTAGGAACAAGCAGTTCTGGTTTTTGTTGTTGAGAAAATTTATTTATTTCAAAGTAATTTGTGAAGTCAACGCAACTCTTGTTAAAAGTTAGCTAGTTATGTTTCTTTTTATAATCAATATTTGTTACTTGCCGACTCATTACGTATGGTTCGTACAACGAACTCGATAAATTGGCAGTCTGGCAGTCGCGTTTACACGATGCATTTCGTTCAGTCCACAACTTCTGGAGAGTTAAACACAAAAAGATTATTATGCACTCACGCCACTACCTGAAAGCATTATTTCTCACAGTGTAGGAAGGAAGCAGAATGCTGCATTCTGTTTCATATGGCATTTTTAAACAAACATTCTTCGTCAAAAGTCCAATAAGAACTAATATTAATTCAATGAAATTCTAATCTGGCCGATCCGGTCTAGCAAAGCGATGAAAGCAACCTGATATACCAGAAAAAGATAATGGCAACAAGACAATTACTCTGAAAACTTTTACTTTCTTTCTCTATTTGACAATGTTGTTGCCCTCTAGATCAATACTCACCCTTTCACATGACTAGAGGTGGATCGGCAATTCAACCACGCAACCAACATCACTCTCTCTCTCTTTTAAAAAAAATTGAAGGGTGGGCATCATTACTTTGTAAACAACGATCTAATTTCGCTTTGCGCACTCACACTATGTGACAGGGGTAGCATCATATTCTTCATATCACAGAAAACTTACTGTCGAGCTCTTTAATTACTACTCACTCAGCAGCGCTCTATCGCGTTGCTCTTCTATTACATCGTTCGTTAACTCAAAATAAAATACTTAAAATTACCTATGTACAGCATTCACACATTTGCGCCTCTTCTAGAAATCTATAAACGCATTCACTCTAGTCGAGGGTTTTTTTCTTGTGAAAATTCCCCTGGAAATGTTTGAAGGAGAGCGGGAGTAGCTAACGCACAGAGCCATTTCCATGAGATTTTTCGTAACTGCAATGGCAAATCATTAAATTTAATGTCAGCTGAGCCAACGTGTGAGCCTGTTTGAGCTCCTTCCGTACATTCTTGGCACCTTTGCTTGCAGTTTCTGTATTTTCATCATAATTCTGAAATGGCACACGTCATTCATTTTAGCACCGAAATATTAGATTTTACATAAAGTAAGTTGGCTTTGATAAAACATTTTAGTACGTTTCGTAGACGGGGTGGTAGGTTCACACCCGTCGTCACTACTTGAAAAATAAACATCTCCAAACGCTCGGGACTATTTTCTGGCAAGTCGCGTCTGCGCTCCAGAATCGGACTCGAGACAGGCTGTTCGGCGAAAAATAGCCCTCGGAGCTGAACCGGCCCGTGCCGATGGAGTTCCTCTCGCCTCGGGCTTGGCGAGCCACGGACTGCTGCGTCCACTGCGTGCACTGCGTCGCTCGCAGGCGAGGTCGCAGGGCCCGAGGCGAGGTCGCATGGTAGAGTTCGCACTCATTTGCAGTCTTCGATGTCGGCTATGCCTCAGAATCGGGGGTCGTAGGGTGTCGAGTTGAAGCCCACGTAGCGATTGTTCTTCCGCACCTGGAAACCGGAGCCAGGCGACGAGTTGTAGTAGATGACCCTCCTGATGCCGAAGGGGTCGACGTAGCCGAAGCTGCCGGCCCGCCTGTCCCCGGGGAGGTTCTCCTCTTCCTGGTACTGCCTGGGCAGGTAGTAGCGGAAGCCGTTGTGGGTGACGGCGATGCCGTCGTACTCGGGGATCACCGAGTTGGAGTTGGCGTCGTACGTGCCGGGCAGCTCGCTGATGTAGCCGCGGCGCGGCGGCGCGGCGTGGTCGTACAGGTTGCTGCTGCTGTAGCCTTGGCTGTGGCCGCGGTGGAAGGGGTGCGGCCTGGCGCTGCTGTAGGGGCGCAGCGGCGCGGACGGCGACGAGTACGACGAGGCCTCCTCGCCGCGGATCGGCGACGGCGTGGCGTCGGGGATGGCCGGGGAGGCCGACGACGAGTAGCTCGGCGACGGCGTGGAGGACACCACCACGAAGGGCTTGGGCGTCGACGATCCGTAGGGCCGCGAGCTAGAGCTGACCACGGCGGGCGTGGAGGACGGGTAGTAGGGGCGGGGCGTGGAGCTGACGACGGTGGGGGAGGAGGACGGGTAGTAGGGGCGGGGGGTTGAGCTGATGACCACACTGGGGGTGGAGGACGGGTAGTAGGGCGGGGGGTTGAGCTGACCACGGCGGGGGTGGACGTCGAGTAGTAGGGGCGTGGGGTGGAGCTGACCGGGGGCAGGTAGGACGCAACGGGAGGCAGGTAGGCGGCCGGGGTGGACACCCTCACGCCGTAGGGCGATGGCGGCGTCACATACACCGTCTCCGGGACGCCGGAGGCGGGCGACACCACTGGCGGGTACACGACGTCGTAGGGGCTGGGCGTCGGGTTGGGGATGATGGCGTTGGCCACGCCGACGCCGCCCTGGCTCGGGGCGAACTTGGCCGTGGCCACGGCGCGGCCGATGGGCTCGTCGCCCACCCACAGCTTCTTGGTGCGGACGATGCGGTAGCCGTTGTTGTCCGCCACGTAGTCGCGGAGCCGCAAGTAGCCGTCCGCGTCCACCCAGCCGTACGAGCCGACCACGGTGCCGTCCTGGGGGCAGCGAGAGAGAAGCACAATAAGTTGCCTGCATCGCCGGCGCACGCGCGCCGCGCACACTGCCACTGGGAGGGCCTAGTAGGCCTGGCCTACCTCGAGCCGCTTCTCTTTGCGGTACTGGCCGCTGTCGGTCTGGTAGCGGAAGTAGCGCTCCGGGCCCTCGTCGGTCTGGATGTGGTACTGCGAGGTCTGCGCCAGGTTGTACCCGCCCAGAGTGCCGCCGAACCGTGCGCGCGCCACCGCGCACAAGGAAGCCTGCAGCAGAGAGAAGGAGAACATGAAAGCGTTGTTGGCCGACACGCGTTCACATTCGTACACACCGGCCCGGCCGGGCTTTGGCTTTGCACCCGCTTAGCGTGCGGCGGGGTCGCCGCGTATCCTCAGCACGCTTTGCAGACGTTTGCCCGTCAGGCCGTCTGTCCGTCTGCCTGCGCTAACCTGCCGCAGGTGCGCCGTGGCGCTAGGCCACCCAACACACTCCGCGTTCCCGACCCGCGGCAAGTAGTCCGGGCGAGTGGCCGGCAGACTCCTGGATGTAATCGTCGTTAGGGCATGGCCTGCCTGGCAAAGCATAAGGCGCCGGAACGAGCCAACTGCCACCATTTCACCGCCTTGCTGCTTGAAGAGCGACTCATTGAAAAGGTGCATTTCTTTCATTTTATGCGGACGCTGAAATTGCCTCCGATCGAGAGACACTCACTGAAGGAGCCCGGCCTCTCTTGGCCTTTACCCGGCGCGCCTAGTCTAGTGGGACTGTTTGGCTCGACTCACATCCTGCCGCGCCCCGCCGTGCAGTGCAGGCCGAGCATGCCGTGCCCGACGTCGCCGGCAAGTCGTGGGCGCTACACTGGCAAGGCTCCGAGCGCGGCCCGCCACGGCCCGCCACGGCCCGCCACGGATTACACAGCAGCAGCGGGCCGCACAGCGTGCAGCAGCGCGGGCCTGCTCAAGTAGAGCAACAGCGCGACACACATTATTTATGGACGACGCTATCCCGCAGGCACGTCCAGGAGCGCGGCCAGCCCGGCCGCCAGCCATGAGATGCCTCGCCGATGTCGCGAGGGGGCGCGGACGCGGCGCCTGCGGGGTAGGCCAGCCAGCGGAGGTAAGGCAGGGCGTGCGCCAGGGCTGCCCTGCCTTCCTTGTCTGGTACTTCGCTGCCCGGCTCGGGGCACTTGGGTTGGGCACGCAGTCTTGCTCAAAGCGGTCCAGTACCGAGTGCCTCGGGTTGGTTAGTAGTACCCGTTTTGTACGTGAGTGGCACTCGCCCACGTATTGCGCAACTTCCAGCGAGGGAAGGGGGGGGGGGACCGCGTGCTCCACAAGGAGAAGCGAGAGTGACAATGCGGACGGGATCAAAATGTGATCCGTCCCGAACGAGCGCCGCGTTGCTCCACGCGTCGAACCCGCGCGCCGCCGGAGTCCATTGCGGAAAGTGTGTGCGCATTCCCGTGCGGACGCGCTATGAGAAATTGGACGGTGCAACGGGACGATTGCAGGCGGGCCGCTGCAGCCTGCAGCCCCCCGCGGGGCCCGGGCCACTTTCCCTGTCACCACTGTGACTGTGCGTGCCCCGCGGCGTGCCCCGTGCCCCGGGGTCCTGGGAGGACGCGGCGGGACGCGGTGCGGTAACCGCCAGTGTCGCCACTGACAACATTCACGTCGTGATGCGCGCCACGCGATTTGTTCCAGCCGGGGGACTGCTCTCGCTCTCGTCCTCCAAGGGCGTCCAAGTCGGCCGATCGGGACTATCAATTAACCGTGCGAGTGCATGCAAGCGGGGCGGCCTCGGCTCGGCGAAGCTGCCGTCGACGCGCTGCCCGCCTGCCCCAATTGCGCGCGGCATGTCATGTTGGAGCCAGCGTCGTTAGCCACTGCATGGCGCTAGCCAGTGGCGCTAGTCGGTACCCTGTCGGTACCGGTGCGCGTGGCGCACGTTGTGTCATTGTCGCCGGGCCCGTTCGTCTCGTTACCGCGTTCTGAACGGCATGACACCGCGGCTGTGCGCGCCACGGGCGACCGCGGCGGCCGCCAGGGCCCGAGGGCCGAGGGCCCAAGGGACGGGCTGCTCTAACTGAAAGCCAGGCCGTCGTTGGGGTGAGCGGCGAGCGGCGAGCTCGGCGGGGCGGGCGAGCGAGAGGTCGTCAACTCACATCGCGCGTGTACGAAGTAATACAGTAATATATGGTAATATACGTCCTATATTACCGTTTTGAGGCCGATTTTTCATGCTACCTATGCTCTAAGTAGTCTATTTGGTAATATTTATGGACTTTTAGCGGTAATATAAGAGTAATATACAAGTAATATACAGCCTGAGTTGACTGAGTTACTGAAGTTGACGACCCCTCGCGGGCGAGGCTGTCGGGACGCGTTATTGGGACCGGCTGTCGATGCGTCGCTTCGTCGCTGCTCTCGCGCGGCCGAACGAGAGGTTCATTGAGCCCGACCGGGCCGCCCCGCCCACCTCGCGGGCCCACGCGGGCCTTGCCAGCCCGGCCGGCCAGGCAGGCCGGCGCGTCACCGTCATGGTCAAGGTTGGCGCGGCGCGTGGCCACGCCGGGCCGGGGTGGCCGTGGTGGGTGCCGCCCGGGCGGTCCCGGCGGTCCGCACGCCCGCGCCTCCTCGCCGACCCGACGATCCGATCCGCGGCAATCGGAAGCGGCGGGTTCGGTCCGGTCTCAGCAGGAAAGCCGGAAGCGGGCAGGCGGGGCAGGCGCCTCGCAGAAGACAACTGGCAATGAGTGAAAGCAGGCACGGCACGCAGGGATGCGTTGGGGAATGCCGCCGCTCGCGCACTCACGGCTGCATGGCTGCATGGCCGCGCGCAGCGCGGTGCAGCGGCACGCCGCGTGGTGGCGCGTGCCGGCGAGGACGGCGACAGTTCGCGCGGCAAGTCGTACCGTATGCCTTCGTTGCACTGAAAAACCACGAGTAAATCTGCTTTTTTGAGCATCGTAAATCTACTTTTTTGAGTATCTACGCGACGCGACCTCAGAATGGTTTTTCTCATACCGAAGACGCGGCTAGGCTAGCCAGGCTAGCCAGGACGGCGCGCCTCCCTCCACACGCAAAAAAATGTAAATCAGACCCGTGCTAATTTTTTTAACAGATCGTTTTTAGCACGGGCGCTAAAAAACTAGCACAGCTACAAGCGACCTCAGGTGCGCGCGGCCAGATGGTTAGCTGGTTACCTGCCAAGCAACCACTCTCGCAAAACACAAATTTGTGGCGGATTTAGCCAATTTTGTTTGTTAATACTGCTAGTCGTGGGCTGCTAACTATTGTTTGCAAGCCTTCAAAAATTTCTAGTAAACAAGCTAAATGTGATCTGACGAGACCAGTTGATGTCATCGTCGTCCAGTCACCGTCGCGGTGGAGGAGGTCGCCGCGAGAGTGCGCTGCGCGCGTCGCGCCGCCGCTCGCGCGCGGGGACAGTGTAGCATGCGTTTTCACTTAGTCTGGGCGCCATCGTTTCTACAATTGTCTGTCAGGTGGCGGATCGCTTCCCCTGCTGGAGTGACACTTGACTCCAGCGGGCAATTCTGAGTGATTCGTGAGCGCGTCAAGGGTCACTGACGACTCCGTCTTACTTAAGATGTGTCCGTGACCGTTAGACCACATGGAGTAGACATTATTCGTAATGATGGTTTCATCTTTTCATCTCGGAATAACTAGGGAGCAAACAACTTGAGTAGTTCATCAGCAAGATTTGATTGGTTTACAGCTAAGGATTCCTTACAGTTCCAGCTAGGCCGTTAGATCCGTTGCTAGAATCGCCCAGCTAACACTTTTTAGCCACACAGTTAAAAAATTAGCTGCGCCTATAGAGCTAATCTCATTGGTGCGGGTGCTAATTTTTTAGCTCTGATGAAAATTATTTTTTTGCGTGCAGGCCACCGCGGCGCGGTCACGAGGGCTTCTCAAAAAGGCGCTCTGGTCGCCTTCGGCGGTTGATGACGAACGGACTGAGTCAGTCATAAGGTCATCAGTTTGAAGAATCGCCCGTGTCAGGTTATGTCACCGAGGGGCGGTCCTTGGGGCGGCCGGGCCCCCGGCGAGCCAACAGGCTGTGCCCGCCCCATCAGCCCCATGACGGATGCTCCACATAGACGCTACAGCGCTCCAATGCGGCCGATGATCGATTTCGATATCGATTTGATTGATCCGTGGATGGCTCGGGCAAGCCGGTCGCAATCAGTAAGTACGGCGTGCGGACAAAAGCGTGCTTCTGTGTATGTGTGTGTGTGAGTCAGGTTCCGTCGTAAACGTACGTGCGAATTCATGTGTTTTTGTTTGTTTGTTTGTTTGTTTGTTTGTTTGTTTGTTTGTTTGTTTGTTTGTTTGTTTGTTTGTTTGTTTGTTTGTTTGTTTGTTTGTTTGTTTGTTTGTTTGTTTGTTTGTTTGTTTGTTTGTGTACATGTCAATGCACGGGCGTATGTGTCCGAAAACTAAGGGAGACTGCTTAAGTCGATTCCGTTTTGACCTGCCTGCCCAGCCGCTGAGTTGGTGGCCGAGGCTCGACCGGCGTGATGGGCGATACAGGTCGTGCGCCGCGGAGTGCCCGGCGCTGCCGCACCACTACGAATGCAGCGAACGTCGCCCCGGTGAAAAGGCTCGGCCGTTTGAAAAGCAAAACGAACAGGCCCCAACAAATAAAGCCATGTCGGAGCCGCCCGCCCTCCGCCGCGCCGCCGTCCGCGACGTCATGTGGGAAGCCTGCCCCGAGCCTCCCCGCCTCCTCGCCCCACGCCCCCACGCGGCGCGGCGGCAGCTGCGTCCGCCAACACGGCCTGCCGCCGCCACCGCGCTAAAATTCCAAACGTAAGCCGTGTGGTCTAATTATTGTGGCGGCGGCGTGACGCGGCGCCAACAAGAGCAAGAAGGGCGCGAGCAATCAATGCCTCCCTACCGAGCCAACATCGCTCTGCCTCTCTCGCTCTCATGGGGCCTTCCGTCTCGGTGCGAGAGAGACAGGGCGACGAAGCGCTGTTCGGAAGCAGGCCGCTGTCCGGCCCGCGGCCGCTCAGGCGCGACCTGATCCTGATTGCAATCAGCCGGCCTGTTAGTTTTACTCGGGCCGAGTCATCATAAATATGCGCGCAAAGGTTACGCGCCTTTCTTCCGGACGGCCCGGCGCGGCAGGGCGCGGCAGGGCGCGGCAGGGCGCGGCAGGGCGCGGCAGGGCGCGGCAGGGCGCGGCAGGGCGTGGCCGGGCGCGGCAGGGCGCGGCAGGGCGCGGCAGGGCGCGGCGG